GGATTGTAACTTCATGTAATAGCAATTCTTGTTAATAAAGTTTTTGTTTTGAATCGAGTTCAGTACTTAATTTTAAAAATATCTATAAGAATAAACCTGGAAAAAGCTCTGTTTTTATTTTCAACAGAATTAAATAAAAATTGTCAAGAAGTTGACTGATTCAATCTTTGCATATAATTTCTAAAATCTATTATCGATGATTATCTCCCATTATTTACAATGACAAATGACTTTACAATTGACAAAAATGGTGAATAGCTCAACTATTATTAATTTGCGAGACCCTGTGCTTTTAACACGCTCTAGATCATATGCAGTATCTCTAATATCTAACACGTCGGTTATTCGCGTTCGGTCACCCTCTCGTAGCAACTGTTCGAGGGATCTCTGCGTCGAATCCGTGTAATAAGCATCGGGAAAGTCTGGAAAGATCCGTGACGAAATCCTATAATTTCGTTCAGAGGCGTGACCCCGTTGCGGGCGACGATGCAACGGGGTCGGTGCATTGTTAGCGACGCATCAAAATCGGATCAAACACGTGCAAAAGCTGAAGGAGACCGCGTTTACACTCGCTTTATGTTATCTCATTCTTCCCCAGTTTCGCAAATTCGATAATCGTGCAATTTTCGCAATTTATGATATATGTCTGTACGTCAGAGCTAAAATGTATCAAATTAATTTTTGTCACACACGCTTTTGACCGATGTGTAATGTAACTTTATAGTATCTGACAAAAATGGATTTAATATACAATAGAAATTATTACAATTACAATTTTATTTAATATTATACGTTGATAAATGGAGTTAATGAACTTTAGTTCTGATGTACAGATATAGACGCGAATCTTTTTTTCAGAGTTTTTGTGAGAAATCTAAATTCCTTCGGAGCAAGTGTCAAAGATGTAGATGATTTCTGAGTACATAAGCAAGTAAAAATTAATTTTTCTCTTGAAATAAATGCACAAGGAAAACAAATATATATAATATATACAATTAAAAATAATATATATAATAAAATTTTAATATATATGTTCATTTTTTCAATACTCAAATATTATTTGTCATATCTCATATAAATACTTTCATTCAATATTAAATTATATAATATTAAATATTAATTTATTTAATATTATACGTTAAATTCGTAAGTTTATTTAATATTATACGTTGATAAGTGGACTTAATAAACTTTAGTTCTGATGTTTAGATATAAAATGACGCGAATCTTTTTTTTTCAGAGTTTTTGTGAGAAATCTAAATTCCTTCGAGATGTAGATGATTTCTGAGTACATAAGCAAGATGAAATAAATAGATTGAGTACATATTAGCAATTCGTAATTTAATATTATAATTTTAATAAACTCTAAAATAAGATGAGAAATCTAAATTCCTTCGAACAAGTGTCAAAGATGTAGATGATTTCTGAGTACATAAGCAAGTAAAAATTAAATAAATGCACACAAGGAGAACAAATATATATATATACAATTAAGAATAATATATATAATAAAATTTTAATATATATGTTCATTTTTTCAATACTTAAATATTATTTGTCATATCTCATATAAATACTTTCATTCAATATTAAATTATATAATATTAAATATTAATTTATTTAATATTATATTTAATATTATACGTTAAATTCGTAAGTTTATTTAATATTATACGTTGATAAGTGGACTTAATAAACTTTAGTTCTGATGTTTAGATATAAAATGACGCGAATCTTTTTTTTTTCAGAGTTTTTGTGAGAAATCTAAATTCCTTCGAGCAAGTGTCAAAGATGTAGATGGTTTCTGAGTACATAAGCAAGTGAAAATTAATTTTTCTCGTGAAATAAATGCACAAGGAAAACAAATATATATATAATATATACAATTAAAAATAATATATATAATAAAATTTTAATATATATGTTCATTTTTTCAATACTCAAATATTATTTGTCATATCTCATATAAATAGATTTCATTCTAAATCTGTACGTCAGAACTTATAATTGTAAATAAATATGAAATTGTTATTGTAACAATTTTTATGCCGATATACATATCTATACGCGTCAAAGCTAAAGCGTTATTAAGTCTATTTTTATCAGATAGTAAATTTATATTAAAAAGAATTATCGACAAATTATTATGACTTGAACATATCTCTTAATTCTAGCTTGATTCTTTTCAAAGCCAAAATGTTTAATCTTAATAGAAAATTAGGAATTCGAAAAATAAATTTCTTCTGCAAAAGATTTCACTCCCTGTTGATTCTAATTCATTTGACAAGCTGTAGAAACAAAACGCATTATTTTCGCGTGTGATTCTGTAGATATCGAATCAGTAGCTCCAGAAAATGATGGCGAAAAGCCCTGAAGCTTACCGGCGCCGACGCCTGGAACATCGATCCGAAGCGTCAGCTTGCAGTTATATATATAGTGCATATTACAGCGGGGCTGTATTAAACATCCACGTCGCTCTCTACGCGAGCTTACAATCCTATATGGATCCAGCTATCCCGTTTATCAAATATTTCACGCGATATTACGCAATTTCTTCACGGTCGAACTTTTATTGCACGAGAAAATAGTTTTACACGAAAAAGTTCAAAGTTATTACATAAGAAGATATCGTTTATTATTTAGAGACGTTTATCATTTATTAAAATTGAACAAATTTATCGCTAGATATTTAGATATCGAAATGACACAAGAAAAGATTGGACCGTCGACTGATTAATTAATAAGCCATTCGTCGACATCGCGCTGCTGCGAGGCGAAAAACAGAGGGATTTGCGAAGAAAAAAAATAATTGGGGAAAACTGAACGCGAGTGTGACGTAATTAGAGCGTTCTAAGGGCGCGGAAATATCGCGAGACGAAAGGGGACCGCCGGGGATAACTAATAACTTTATGCAACCCCCTCGTCAAAGTGACTTCGGGGGTAAACACGGGATCCGATTGTGACGCGGGATCCGATGTTTATACGCACTCGTTGTAAGAGACGGTCTTCCTTTCCCTCTTTCACTCACCGCGTCAAGTGACACGGCTAATATCTATTTAATTGATTCAGGGGTGAAACACACCCCTAGAATTCGCTCCGGTCTCCCGTTCGCGAATAACAATATGCTGGCTGTCCCTCGAAAGGACACAAGAGGCGAGCACGTGTCCGCCGAAATCGCAAATTGACTCTGCGTTTTGATTCGACGCTAAGCCAATTATAGACAGGAAGTATCAAAGATAATCCCCGTAAAATCGCCAAAGTTGTTGCCGACGTTATTTTTGAGCAAACAAAGACCAAGATAAGCTCGTCAAAAAAAGATAAAAAAGCGGGTCTCTCTTATAAATCTTGATAGCAGCGATGTGAAAAAAGCACTGAAAATAAAATTAAATAATTATACAATACGTAATTATATTTATATTTTATATAACTATACAAAAATATTTAAGAAATATATTTGTATATTATACTTTTTTATTTGTTTCTATATATACCTATGAAAAATAAAGAATAAATTATTAAACAATATAAAGATCAATTACTAATTATATATATATATATATATATATATATATATATATAAGAAAAAATAGACTCATCAAATTTCATTCTGGATCATTTTATTAAAACATTGGTAATGTAGATATGTATACGTGTGTGTCTGTGTTTGTATTGTGTATGTATACACCTACTATATTTCGCATCTCTATTTTACAGGTACGGTCAATGCCTACAGATAAGACCTATTATATATTTTCTTTGCTGATTTATGTTTGAAGCCATATATCTACTATATCAATACGCGGGGTTTTTCTTCGTGTAAACGTATAATGCTATATTGCTTAACCGAGGTATTCTTTGGCTCGGATAAAATTCTCCCACAACTTCGACAATTATCGCTATACAAGAAAAAATATCAAGAACGTAATATTTGTTGCTAGGTATCCATTCAATATGAGTTAGCTAATGTATACGTTTTAGCCTCGCACCTTCGGTAACTTCAAGCATCTGACTATCAATTTACATCAGTATTGTTAAGTCAGTTACTTTAACAGAGATCCTTTAACTTTTTAGATAAGAATGTTATATCTTCAGTAAGTATACATTTTTACACATCTTTTTCTATCTTCACTAATAATATGGCAATCACATATTTCTCTTTCTTTCTGTCTCTTTCTGCAGCTTTTTCTTCATATATATATATATATTCTAATATCCTGATATTCCATATATATATATATATATATATATATATATATATATATATATATCGATATTCTTATATTTAAATAAAACACAGCTATCACATAATCGCCATATTTATCTACATCAATAGAGCATTTGTACATCTGCAATAATCTCTCCAGAAAAAGAGATAATTCTATGCGTAATTACGATAGTTCACAGTCAACAGCGATGATCCTAGTCAAAACTATTGTTGCAGAAAATATCATCTGCCTAAAATTTTGATCATAATCGTAAGTAATCAAATTGCATCGTCAATTTATATTATTCGTTGATTAAAAATTCGTAACTTTCAATTCCTTTTAGAGTAAATATTTATAAAGAGATTTTATATTCATTGAAGTATGTTATGTAAAATTATTAAATTATAATTAAAAATTAAAATAAAATATACTATAAAGATACTAGATTAAAAAGTTAATTTTCGAATAATTCATTAATTCTTATTATAAAATCCATAAAATTTTACTATTCTTGTTCATCACATATTTTTTGTAAGCTCAGTATCGGGAATATATTATTCGTATGGATAAAAAATATTTTTATAAATCACAAAACAATTCAAAAATTAATAATTATTCCCTAAGTTCAAATGGGAATGGTATATAATACTATTTAATAAATCTTATTTCATCAACATGGGAAGGGGGGAGAATAACTCGCTATCGTAATTCATCTAAATGAGTAATCCTGCTTGTATACTTTTATCAGCCTTCAAAGAATGCTAAATAAAACTAAAATAACTATCTCGTCCTATCTCGTTCTTAATACTTTTAATATTTCAACATTTCTCTCGTAGTAATCGATGGAAAAGATAAACTATATTTTCTAAAGTTCTGACATCATAATCTTACGTTGTAGGAATAACTCGAATATCACAAACAGGAAAAAAAAATCGGTACGTAAATTTATTATCGGATGTTTACTTCTTTTCCTCCTGTTTTACGTCGAAACCCACGGTGATATTAGAGCTGTCCGTGAGACTGCTGGCTACGGTGAGTATAGGTTCCTCTTCTTGGCTCGTTTCCGAAAATTGTGTCGAATCTGTGCTCAATATCCAGTTCTGCAGATCCGCGTCCGACATGGTCGAGAACGAGCTTTGCTTCGAGTAACTAAAACTCGGCTCAGGCTTCGGCATTGCGGGCTTTGGAGCCGTGACGCTTTGAGAGCGCGAAAAGTTCTTTCGTTTCTGACTGTTGTGCGAGCCGCTGTTTTTCTTGGAATCTTTCCTCGCGGGAGACCTTGTTGCGTTTGAAGAATCAGATTTTTGGCCGAATAGTTTCGTTCTATCGGAAGCACTATCGGTTTCTTTAATTCTGACGTCGCCATGCGATATATCCGTACTCTCTACCCGGAATCTAGAATAAGCAGACAATAACAGGTAAGAAGTCACTTTAATATTAATTATAATCTGTTCTAAATTTCCCCTACCGTCCAATCTTCTTATAGCTGCCGCTTAGCTTCACAGGATTAACATTATCCCTTTGCTCGAATATTGATTTAACGTCTTGTTTCTTCTGCTCCTCGCTCTGTTTCAAGGTTAACGTGTGATCCTCGTCGTCGTCGATATTTTCGCAGGTAAGCTCATCGCTGCACACGAGCTTCGATTGCGCGCTGCCGGCACCTCCTGATTGCATCACTTGAGGCATTTGCGTGATTTTGCGAATCTGACCGTCCTCGTTGCTATAATAATCCGTATATGAAACGCTGCCGCGACTTTCTCGATTCTCTTGATCGAGGCGCATACAAAATTCGTTAAAATCGACGTCCAGGCAAGAAGTCGGGGAGAATTTCGGCGGGATAAAGAGTTGAGCGCTGCGAATGGAGAGACGTTGTTTCGTACTGGACATTGTTTACTATTAGTACTATTAGTGATATTACGGAGAAATTAATTGTAAAATAAGTTAACGAGAGTATACTTGTGGATAAATATATAAATATATTTAGTAATATAAAGTTAACATATCTGCAAAATGCAAACAATCAGATTAATTAATTGCAATCAAATCATTAATATGATATGAAAGGACTAGAGATACAAAATTAGGAAGGAATGGATCACATAAATATATCTTAAGACTCACCTCTCATTACTGATCAAGCTTATAGACATACTGCATTCGCCTGTCGATGTTGGCGCCGGTGAAGATGGCTCGGAAGATAGAAAAGATTGCGGCTCGCTACTCCATCCTATGCCTAAATAATGAATAGATTTAAATTAAATTGATATCAACTATCGCACGTAACTTGCAGCATGGATACCCACTGTTCGGACTAGTAGGCGATGGCATATTTCTGATGTCACACGTTTCCGCCTCTCCGAGGGGCTTATACAGTATCGGAGTCGGTGTAATGTATCTGTGAGATAATAATGTAGTAGTATACTTACACAAAAAGTTCGCGCTTATGATTCCTCTAGCACAATCGCGAATAATAAAATATAATAATTATATGAATAAATTGTAAAAATAAAAATTTAAGGTTCCTGGCTCCTCGCCGGCCATGTTAGAATTGTGATGTCAGAGGCGCAAGAACACGTTGTGTTTTTCAGCGTGTGACGTCACAATCTAATGGTCGCGGCGAGGATCCAAGAGCCTTAAGTAGTTCATAAAAAATGGAAAATTTTGTGGCACATAAATCGTGAAATAACATATCAATGAAATCTTGAAAACAAGTTTAGAGAAACGATCTTATTCGTAATACAATGGGAAGCGCAACTTAACGGACGCGCGAGAAGGAAATTAAACCGATATATGTATACTCACGGGCGCATGTTTATATAATTTTTTTATGATACCTGACTTCAGTATCGGAAGGGTGATACTCGCGGATGATCCCGGTAGTTGGATTGAGGGCTGGATTGAGAGACTGGATTGACTCGTGCGTCGATCCGGCCGGCGATGACTTGGGCGGCGACGAGGCCGGAGTCCGGAACAACGGTGCAGTCGTCATCATCATTAGGAAACAATCCAGCTGACGTAGCGACAACGCGTTGTGCAAGGTTTCCAGGGGTCTGATGGGTGGCACCCCGCCGAAGCCTTCTATCGCTGGAAATCGATAAACAATAAAATTAATTTTTACATTCTGTTATTTTTACTGTATTCTATTACAAAAGAGACTTTATTATTATTATTTCTTTGAAACGACACGTTTATTGCTTGTTTCGGATACAATTCAACCAAAAAAAGGAATCCTTGATACAAGTATATTTTTATTCTTGAACGCTATTTGATTCATTTAAGCATAAAATACTCTTTGTAATCACAAATCTTCATTTGCCTTAATAATAAATAAGTTTGTATGAATTATATTTTATCCTTAAAATATATTCTAGTTTTAAAATCGTTTATGATAAAAACAAACTGAATCACATTTGAACTAAACTTTAACACATTTGGACGCAACTTTATTTTTAAATTGAAGCAAATTTCAGATTCAACAAAGAATATTTTGCACTTTTGTTTTAAGGATCCTTTATCCAAGATTATTTATATTAGGCGTTATTATAAGGAAAAAAATATACTAGAATCAAGGCATATTTGCATTCTTTCAAGGGTACTGTTTTTTCTGTGTATTAATTAGATATATGCCGAAATATCAATGTTGAATATTCACCGGCGACTGCGGATGCGTGCGGTGGTACCATGTCCTTGAGGTTCGGTGCACTCGATGAGCCACTTATCACGGCCGTGCTGAAGAGGCTATTGGCCGAGCCGGTGAGCTTCTTACTGACATTGTAGCCCAACAGCTTGAAATAATTCTGTCCAGAGATACTGTGACGGTGGCGCCTTGCTGTGCAGGTAGGATCAGGTTGAATGATCCGAGGTCGCGCGTCTAGGAAAGGAGAAGATAGGAATAAGGCTTGGACGCGGATTCCTGGACGGACAGAGGACTCAGACAGTTGACAGACACTTCCGGGTAGTGATATGACGATTAATCTCGTGGAGTTGGTAGTGATGGTGGTGATATAGTAGTGGTAAACGTCATGAAATTGGTTACATAAGCATAGAGTGCATCTTCAATTAAAGCCGTGAAGATCGGCTACGTAATCATATAAATAAAGCTCTAAAATTTTTGCCACGACAGAATCGTGCTCGTGCTCGTGCCCGTGCTTGGCATTCGTGCTTCGCGGTTTCAGAGAAGAAAAAAGAATACCGATAAAGAGAAAGATATAGGGCAGTAACGAGCAAAGCAAATCGGTTGATGAACATAGGACCATTCCCATAAATCTTAATAAAGCGTTAATTTCTTTCTCTCTTTCTGTCTTTTTCTTTAAATAAATTTAGAAAAAAACAGAGGATTTAAAGTTTAATAAACTTTAATTAATGGAAATTATCCACATTAAAAAAATTATTTGGTAAATAAAAATAACTGGCGACAGTGCGTGAAAAAATCAAAAGCTAATCGAACAAATCACGTATTTATACAGAATTAAACTTTGCAAATATGTGCAGAATTTGTCGACCTATTTATATAATAGTTCCTTTTTTTCTTTCTAATTATTTAACTCGCATTATTTATGTAATATTTTACAGAAGACAACAATATAATTTTAATAGATTCAAATTGCGACAGAAAAAAGATATGGCAATTCGCGTCTTTTACATATTAATTTCGTAAATGAAGTTTCTCCGCGTTTGCAATATCCGATATTAAATTCACGAAAAGTACAGAGTAAAACATACGAAAAAATAATTTAACCGTGTAAAACTTACTATATCAGTGCAAATAAAGGTTTATAAAAAAATAATAAAAATATACCTTATTACTTACCAATTTAAAAGCGCGAAAAGCTATTTTCCATACATTTGTCAATGTAACGCGGAGAGAATGTTCTCTTAGAATTTACCCTAAAAATCATGGTACGATATTGGAAGAATTTTATAAGAGTTGCTTTGATTAATCTATAAGTTTCTCTGATTGATATTTACTATAATAAAAAATATTAATATGTACATAGTAAAATTAATCAAACATTTTATTGTAGTAGATATTAATATTTTTAATAAGAGAGAAACTCATAAAATTCTTCCAACACCATATTGATTTTCAGGGTAAATTCTAAGAGAAAATTTCCTCTGAATACATATAAAATATATACATATATAATACATATACTCTTTTATTTTCTCACAGCAAAAAAAATCTCATCCTGACATTTACCCTACACAAGATTAGACAACTTTTTCGTACGTAACTCTGTAGTGTAGACCGGTGTCTCTTCGTTATCTTGCGTTTATTATATTCCTTGGACTCACCGTAAAGCTCGATAGGTCTCGAGAGCAAAGTCACCTCGGAGTATGACCGTTCGTACTTTCTGCCGAGGCACCGATACCTGTGGACAGCCCGCTCCAGCACGATGCTGGGGATCGGATTGGGCAACGAGCAATGGACTGGTGGCCGTTTATCGTCCCGTGCATTGCTAAACGAGCACGAGGAAGGGAAACCTTCGTTCGACGAAATCGGCAGCTCCGGCGAGCTGTGCGACTGCGACAGGATCGCCGGTTTCCTCGGCAGTTGATCACGAGATTCCACCGGAGGAGTCGGTGATAACGTGGCTGATAACGAGTTGCGATAGAGAGTTGAGAGGAGAGAAAGTGAGGTGGATGCAAAATGCGCAGACATTAACGATCCAGGTGATAGCGTTATCAGAGGGGTTTACGGTGCAGCATTCGGTGAATGACGTGAGAGGAAAGGGAGAAAAAAAAAACAAAAGAGAGAAAGAGCCGATTAAAAATTAATTTACCGAAGAAACGGAAGAGCGCGACGAATCTTTTGGGATCAGCGACCGTATATATGTATATTCTTGCTGTGCGATATAAAAAAATTCCGAATCCGATCAATATTAATACAAAGACTTTGCACTTTGTAATAAATTTTCTTTGTACTTTTTTACAGAAATTTGTTGTGAATAATTAAATAATTATATACAAGTATGTGAATAATATATTAAGAGTAATAATTTTTGTAATAACAAAACACATTTGTAATCAAAATAATAAATAATCTTGTCGTTAAAAAATATTTTGAATAACCGAAAACTATTATAATTATTACGTTTTAGGTAATTGTGATGTTTCGTATAAAGATTCGTCACCGAGGAAAAAAATAAAATAAATTAAGGAAAGTGTATACCTTCGACACCCCTTTTCGCGGTTATAATTAATTAGTATAGCTATTAGTAAGTCGGATTCACGAGTACGCACACAATACAACAACCGTGGCACACGATAGCCATGCAACCAGTAAGCCAACCAAACCACACGACACGACTTTTACATTTAAGACAGCCTCGTACACTCTGACATTCATTAGAATGCCGAAGCTTGAAACGGCATTAGTATACGATCGATGATGATACAATAGAAAGATACGGCATGTCAACGTATGTGTGTGTCGGTCTTTTTTTTACTGTCCTTATGAATCATGAATGAAGAAAAAATCAATAAAAAAAAAACGTGGCGAAGATGTCATGCGCTTCATGAATTGTCCATCCGGAAGTAAGAAATATCAACATTAGGAGATTCGGAAGAAGTTCGATGAAAGATGAAAACCACGATGACGATAAACTTATATGAGAAATGTATACAGAAATGTGCGAGGTAAAAAAAAGAGACACCCAGAATGATAACTTTGATACTACTCTTCATTAACAAAATTATATTGATATGGATGAAATTGAACAGTGTTTGATTCCTGTATATGATTGTAATACTCATAAATCCCTCTAAAACTCGTAGAGAGTTGATAATAATGACGATGATGATGATGATGATGACGATGACGATGATGAAGAAGACGCTACGATCTCGGGATCGAGGATTCGGGATGGCAGGCTGAATGGATCACACAGTACAGTATGTACGTGTAACCCGGACAGTCGCCGATACTTTGATTAGTTGGCTTCCACGCGCACAACTATCGCTGAGCAAAAAAGTTATTTCAACTGGGAACTCATCGTCTCCTACTTTGGCTTTTGGCAAAATACACATCTCTCTCTCGCTATACTATATGAAACAAGATATATTAGAAACTTTTCCGGATAGATCGCCCCACCGGATATAGATCAACCAGACCGTGTTTCGCACCCCGTCCGGTATGTACAACATTCTAAGGGTTTAACCACATTGAAAAAAAATACCAATTTTTTTTCCTTCTCGTCTACACAGAGCAAGTGCGATATACTTTTGCAGAACTGATTAAAGTAAAAATAATGACAAATATCGATAAATGCAAACTGCAACATATATCGTGAGAAATTAATTTGTAGGCTGTAAAATATACAGAAAATTAATTTATACCGAGGAAGGGATGAAAGATACATCAGACTATTAGCTACTACGAGGTATGCGCAAGAGTTACTTTAATCAGCACTTCGAAGTAGCACGATGATGTGCGTATGTGAAGCGCATTCTGATATCAATATATTGTCCAACTACTATATGCACATATTCTAATTGCAACGAAAATAAAAAATTTGTAAAATTGCTTCATAATTGTGCTACATTTGCCAAGATATGAGATTAACTAGTGCGCACTAGTCTACTATCACAAGAGGGGATTATTTCATTGCAACGTGTGCATAAGAGTTTTAGATATAAAAAGACATCATATTTAAAAAGAAAAGATTAAGTAGAATCATCTACTCGATCATGGCAAATAAGAAGAGAATCATTAAAGTATCATTTCAAGAAGATTCACGTGTGCATTATCTTGAAGAGAATCATTTTGTATAAAAAATTGGTAGCCGGTAAACATACCTTCTTTGTTGACCGCGTCCAAGCTCTGATACTGCAGCTTGTCCGCAGCTACAAAAAGAGATAGCAGAACACAGAAAAGGAGTACTGTGGCGATGTTTCATCATCATATCAATTGCCAATAATTAGCCCTAAAATCTTTACGCGTGTAATAATTCAATAAATTGAACGTTAATACATTGTTTGCATTCAACGTTATTATGTTTATGTACTTTATACGAAATGGCATTTACAATTTTTTATTAAAAAAAATTATTATTTTAAAAGATATATCCCTCGATATAGTGTTAAATATATATATATATATATATATATATATATATATATATATATAAAAGTTGACGATATTATAATCTCTACTTTCTCATTCAACATATGACCAGAAATATCAAAGCTATAAATCTAACAGCTTGAAATTCAGATAAATATACCGATATCTTCTTTGAAATATTTCTTTAGGACATTTCATAAATATTTTGAAAAATTAATATGTTTCACACACAATTTCAAACACTATAAAAGTTGTACAATAATCCGTATCATACTATCGACTCATCAACTTAAAAACTTGAGTACCAAATATGGTATAAATTATGATATATTTTTCATTAATTACTACTATAGAATTCATCGTAATAAAATATAATTTCATGATATGAAGCTGTTGTACAATTTGGTAGGGAATCGTTATATAATTTGGAAGGGAGAGACATTCATCTATAACATATTATATAGATAATTGGTGCTATCCAAGTGTATATAAAAGAAAAAAATCCGATATAACAATTAATAATTATAATCATGCACAAACCATTAATGTGTTAAGGATACTATATATATTTATGTACACATTCCGTAAATTCGTGCGCATGCGTATGTGTATGCATACGCATACTCACACACAGCAAATATGTTAACATTGCATCTCTCGAGTTAACATATTGCTCTCCATTTAGTATTAGCATCCTTCACACTTCAGAATTTACCGCAAATCTGTTCTGATACAAATAAAGCATTCAAATAAAGTGCACTTACCTTTTTCGGGCTTTTCTTGTCGCTGATGATCATAGCTTCGCGCACGCGGTTCCATGATGGTCCCCGCCTCCCTGCTTCGACGTTGTCGTTGACTCGCCGCTAACTGGCTGCCAAGTCTAGCGGCTTCATGTCCGGCCACGGTTCTAGCGCTGTGTACGATAATGCGAAATAAGATTATTTTTTTTATATCATTATCATGGATGTCTGCAAGGGGAGCAAGAGAGAGCAAAAAATTTAAGCATTTGCTCTCCTTTTAAATAAGCACTGGAATTTATTTGCATATTTGATATTACAAAATTGAAAATAACAAAAAATTAAATTTAAAAAATTAAAAACAAAAATTTGAGCATGCCCTCCTTTGGAAAAAATCCTGCAGACGTTCATGATTATTATTCATGGTGGAAAACAAAAGTGGAAAATGTTTGCATTAAAATATAGGAAAACGCTAAACACAAGCAAATCTGATATCGAATATTGAATAACAAACCTGATAGGAATCGGAGCCGAACTTTGTAAGAATCCACTATCGTATGGTTCATCCATCATATTCGGGTCTAGGTCCATCATGTCAATTGCACGACTGGTCGTCGGACTATCCAACATAGAATCCACAGTATCCGTTTCCATTAGTGGTGGAGACGTATCCTGCAAGTCACGAATTTTCACAAAATTACTCAAAAATACTTAAATGATTAATAAATAATAAATCTCATACAATTTATCACTTGTTAAAAATTTAATACGATGCAAATCACTGTACTTACAGTTTGCACAGTGGAATTCATAAGATCATCTTCAATAATTCCCAATTCCGCATCCTCCTCCTCTATCCGGGTACTGCATTGTGAACTAGTGTCCTGACCAGAACCACCGCTTTCTCCCTTGAAGAAAAAGGCCAATAAAAAATTCATTTATTTGTATTATTATTTTTAATACATTAACCAAAGAAAATTTATAATCTACGAGAAATTTAGAATCTAAGAGTCTACGATACTTACCATGTTATGACTGCTCTCATTGCGCGAATGAGGTCTAAATCCGGGGCCAGGCGGTAGATTCTTCTGTACACAACAATTAACGCCAGGACTAAAGTGCAACTCCACGTGGAAACGTTCCTCGCTGCACGGATCTTTGGTCGGATCCTCGTACAACATAACAACAATTTGCGACATGTAATTCAACTCGGAGACCATGCTGACATATTCCATTGCACGTCGCCATTGTTCGTCTTTTATCACCTATAAATCGATATGTCAAAAATTAGAAAAAAAGATAAAATAAAAGTTTTTCAGCTAATAGTATACTTTACTTACATCGAGTAAACCACCATAACGCAATACAGTAAGCAAAGAATGTACGTGACTCTCGCTCGTGAAATATAATCTAGTACGCACATGGCGTCCAGGACTCGAGACACCATGGGAGTATCTATGGGAGATCACATTAATTATTATCGTTACTCAAGAAATCATACAGGAAAAAATTCTTTATAGATAGAACTTGATTGTACCTAGGGTTGAGCCTATTTACGGTCTCTTCAGATTCCTCGATATTTCGTTGCAAATCTGCTCGTATCTTCTTTAATAAAGGCGTGCATATACCTTGGCCGATAGTTAATTTCTCTTGTACCGTCAAGCCGTATTCCTGCAGATTAATATATATGTTTTGCATGTAAAAAAATAAAATCATCGATAGAATTATTAATATTAATAATAATGTATATATTATTAGAGCGACGAAAAGAAATTACCTGAGGAATTACTATATCCGCTAAAGATTTAGCATACGTGTATAATTCTTCTGCGTGTTCGAACTGCAACGTATGATTGTTGTGCTGCAAGTCGTATTTTATGCAATCGTAGATATCGGGAATTTTGGATATGTCGAAACGTTTATTTTTCGTGCAGAAATCTTTCTCGATCTTTCCCCAGCGACGTCCCATCAATTCCCACGTTTCACCGTGATAAAGTATTGTATCCTTCGTCTTCGGGTCGTCCTTCTTAATTCGCACAATGTCCAGAAGCTTTTGAATGAGACTATGAACGTGTTGGCAACATCGAACTGGATTCTTGACGAAATCTAAAGCAGCATTGATGCTCAACGCGTTTCCCGGATTAATCTGTTCGCGATCCTCGCGGGTGAATTCCCGGTCCTGTTGAAGCAGCTCGTGCAAGCGCGTTTTCACCCTGTAATTATAAACATCGTGCATATGTAGGAATGTAACAAAAGTTAGAATGCAATTGCAGGCGCAAAAAATAAGAATTTGTTTACTCACATATTTTGATATTTACTGCTATCGCAATCGTTGTCCAGAAGGCCATTGGTGTTCGCGCTTTTCACCATTTGTACGAGAATAGGCGTTAGTTCTCCTTCCAAGGCGAGTAATCCTTTTGCAAAGGCTGCCGCAGTCATTTGAACGCGTCCCTCGTCGCTAGCATAGATCTTCAAGTCGTGACGAAACGTGGAATGCAGACGTAACAAACCCAATCCTTGCGCACCTGCATATTCACCTATGTTTTTACACAAAGAAAATAATATCAGTATAATGAAGAAATTACTCGAGATATAACAATAATAATCATAGAGAACGCAACGACAATTAAACAATTCAGAGATTATTGTCAAAAAAACTGTCGAGATGACCTATCGAAGTTCTGATATCGAGATCATCATAAAATAGATATATTAACTGTGAATGTAGATTAACACTGCACATTGTATTATGACGCGAAAAATACCGCAAGAAATTTTTCATGTCTTTAAATGTTTTAGAGTTACCTTGAAACTCCTGGTGTTCAATAATTTTCGATAAAAAATTACATTTTGAGAGAAACATATTGTACATAGTGCGTGCACATAATATGTCTTTTGTGAAAAATCAGACAACATTTAATGTGTTATAGTGTTGTAGTGCCATTAAAGACAAAGAAACATTCATTAACATGTAGAAGAAGCTTGTAGCGAAAATCAAATTAGTGTAGTGTACAAAATGCTAAAAAATCATGCGACTCTAAAGCTGCCAATAACTTGTCTCAATGATTATGAGTTAAGTGACAGCTACATCGAGTATTCAAATAAAGAGATACAAAATTGTGCAAGTGTATTCTTACGCTAGCGCCGCCGATTCTAACATCGCTATTTCTAAGGACAGCAATACAATCTATAGAGAACTAAGGAATAAGCGTGGATCGTAAATAAAAGGTTACCGTGGTTTGGTAACATCTCTGATTCTTCCTCTGAAATAACATTTGAGATAAATTATCCTATATGTGACTCGAGAGAGAATGTAATTACTACATTTTACTACTAACTACGAGATATGATTGCCAATATGATTCGTGTCATAGTGATCATTGCACTGGCAATTTACTTTCGTTAAACTCGATATTAAAATTTACATATATAAGTAGCTTTTGTGACTCTTTCAAAATACAGTGAAATTGTATATACAAGAAAAGTTCAAAATCCGATCTCAATACGCCGACTTTTAAGCTGTCCAATACTTTTGCAATACTTGTACAATGTAGCATTCTCAAGATACAATTAATATTAATACGTACTAAAAGTTTAGAGGCTTTTAGATTGCATATATAATCCATGTATATTATGGATAAAGACCTAGATCAAATTCAACTAACAGAGGAAAGTTATTATATAGAAAAATAATCTCCGATATACTGTGTAGAAACTTAAAAGCGAGCATGGCAAGCATATGAACATAAGATACGAACCACTAAGGTGTCTACCTTGACCACCTGGGTACATGCAGCGAAATATGCGTCCCAGCTCTTCCGCTTGAATACGTCCGGCTGGCGTCAATTCTCCGCCCCACTTCAATATTAGAACGAGAGACGGTTCCCCTAGTCGATCTAAAAAAGAAATACGCACATTTCTATACATATAAAATCTTTTAAAATATCTACCTACATTAAACCTATACATTTATCTGTATTAAATATATATATTTTAAAAATATATTAGTACATATAAAATATAGTGAGAAATAAATGTGGCATACTAAGATCACTACCGTCGTCGGAAGAACTTCCTCGTGGTCGTCCTCGCGGTTGATATTTCAACTGAACTTTACGATTTATGCCAGAAAAATGTCCATACCTACAATGCACAATTATAAATGTAGCATATTCGCGATTTATTCAATTATTTATAATATTAATAACAGTCGCAAGATTTGACTATAATCCTTGCGCTAATTATTACATACATTTCCAAAACACTCTTGAGTTGTTCTAACTTTCCTTGCTTCTCTTCCAGTTCAGGTCCCGCTGCACGATGCTGTATTTCTGCCAATAAACTACGAGCTGTGTCAAGAATCTCTTGTAACTGCTTGGGCCGTTTTAACTTAACATGACCATGCTTGTAGCCATCGTATTTTGCAAATATCTCAAAAAATCTGTAAGATGTTAGAAATGTAATATTTTTTAATAAAAATGACCTATATATACCAGATATTTCGTACTCACTTTGGATGACGCACTTCTACTTTCATTTTCTGCTTTGGAGTTCTATCACCATGTCTGATAACAGCTACCACACAACGCAATTCCATCCTATAAATAAATATTTAGTAGTTTATAATATATTTTGATAATAATAATAATATTACTAGTTATATTAAATAGCGGTTATATATACTAACATTTTACCGAATGTAGTCGGAACAATAGGAGGGTCATCCAATTGAAAGGGAACGCTCCAAGGAATGTGTAATGTAGGAGCCAATTCCCTCAGTATCATATTTCCCAAAATTTTGGCACAGTCGTCATAATACTTATTCGAATTCTTTACAAAACTAAATCCATTTACATCACACACAAACGACTGACCGTTCGCTCTGCAAGTAAAACCACCTTGTATTATTTAACTTTCAGCCACTCATGCGAAAGAACGCGATCTTACATTCGCGATATATCGTGCCAGTGTCAATACTGGTTTCCTGACTAAAGCCATTTTACGCAACAGAAGTCAAAGCTATTGAATATGTAATACGATACGCGCTCTAAAGTGACAATGATATAATTACATTGACAATAGGCACAATATACATCTTAGTAACATTAGACAGACATATTCAAAATACATGTTATACAAGAAAAATACATCCTTTAATGCACAGAAGACATGTACTTATATGGTTAATTTAAAAAATGATTTTAAAAAATTTTAAAAACTTAATTTTTCAGGATGTATACTCACACACACACACACACACACACACAAATCTTATAAATAATGCCATTATTTTCCAGATACTTTTGTTCAAAATTCCAAGTAAAATTAAAATAAAAAAAATTTCAAATACAATTTTAAACTAAGTTTATTTTTGTTATACATCATTTTAACATAAATAAAATATTTTTTAACATAATAATATAATATTTTATAAAATATATTTTTATTTTAATATACTTTAAATAAACTTAATAAATTTTATATTTTTTAAAAGTATATTTGAAAATAAAATCAAAGGGGCAATTTTTTTAAAAATTTCCTGAGTTCGAAATAAATTCCATGAGTATTCCAGGATTTTTCAAGATAGAAAAAAATTTCTTGAGAATTCCAGATTTTCCAGGTTTTTCCCGGGAGTGTACACCCTGTTTTTTTTTTAATTGATGCTTAACAATTAATAATTATACACTCATACATACCTCAATAAATCGAAACCGCAAACCGTTTGCTTGAAGGCCATACATACTTTTCTACTAATAAGTTTCTCTGCATTACTTAATATTACTGGATAACGAATCTCTTTGCCCTCCGAGTCTCTTTCAACTTTGCCGTCAAGAGCCGGACTTTTTCTTGCCTCGGCATGAGCGTAATCAGGTCCCACGGTATAAACTTTAACATCAGTACCATCAGTAGGCATAAAATCTTCATAGATATAAGATCCACTCTTACGAACGCGAGATTCTGGCGAATATACGCTACTACGACTACCTATCTGTAAGAAACAGATATTATCATAAGTATATTTGCATATTTCTAAGTTTTTAATTTTATTTAAAAAAGCAATATACTAGTTTCTTTAAATTTGCTTATAAAAAAACTTCTATATTTAACTTGAAAAAAGACAATACCTTTCTAAATAATCTCTGACTGCCTCCACCAGCAGAAGTAGGATAATAAATGTAGATATTATGATCTTCGGCGGATACTGGTTTTTCCACAAATGGTTTGTTGAAAGTAATGCCATTCACTTCTACATGATCCTCCGATTCCACCAATTCGTGCTCTGAAATATATTCTACATTTTGTATATGTAAAGATTAAATATATGTAAATCCAACAGGAGTTTCTAAATATTTAGATGCACCATAGTTATTCAATCTCAAAACTCTAAATTGTTGAGAATCAAGTATTTATAATGCATAATTTATAATTAATTAAAATTTTACAACTCACGTTTCGGATCTGGTGAATCTCGATCAAGAACGGCGTATCGTGGAATTTCGATACCCTCGCTCTCCAGTATGGCATAAACTCTTCTTCGATCCTACAATAATTTTTAACTTGTCAAAATGAGATATGTATACACACATACACATTCAGACATACATACATACATACATACATACACATATAAATATATTAAATTAAATTTTGAAATATCAAAAACTTATATATACCTGAATGTCATACTGCATCGGAAGGTTATTAATAATAAATGAATTACGTAAATTTGCATAATTTATAGCTTTATCAAGGGGAAAACCTTTACTGTGAAAACTTATCAAGCAGTCGACTATAGGCCAATCTTCTACAGGTTCCTGTAAACAAGAACAAACATATAAAATGTATATTTTGTATAACATAGACTCTTTTCTTTAAAAATATATATTACCTTTAATATCACTTCTTCTGGAAAGACAATAATTTTAATGTACTCAAATTCCTCGAGCCTTGTTAAAATCTCTTTCATCGGTTTACTCTGCGATTTTTTCGCCATGGCACATATTCCAACCAAAACTTGTTTCCCCTCTCCTTCCACATCGCTACCACCCATATAAGCATCATCTTGAGTGCACCCTTCTGGTAGGTCCGGCTAGGAAGTAAAACATGATTAAGTAACATTTGCTCATAAGAATATACATAAGTCCTGGTAATAAATCAATATTAATAGGAAAATTATAACATAATTACACAGAATTTGAAATAAAATTTACTACCATACCAAAAATCAGTGATAGCCGAAGTAGAACACACAAAGCTTGATCTTTTTTTTTTATATAACATATTTTCTACAAATAAATATATGAAGCTGGTAAACTCCTATATATAAGCAGGAATGAAGATCTATAAAATCTTCAAGCTAAATGGTGCTCACCCAGTATGCCTTTAGACAGGATAGAAATCTAGGCTTGTCATCAGCAGGACAATTTTCATCGCGAATTCTTGTAAGATTACTCATTATATTCTTTAGTTTGATCTTTCATTAAGTAAGTTACACGTTGATCGCATATGATATTGCCTACATAGAAAGGTAATATTTATCAAGCAACAAAGCGTGAAACAAATTTGTGATAAACATCACGTAGTCTTTAATTTCGTGATTTAATATGAAAATTTTCTTCACCTTTACACGATTTAGTTTTCATCTATTTCCTGTTATTTCTGTATATGTTATTTCTATATGATATTTGTTATCTTTCACTACATTCCAGATCAATAAGGAATGCAATATCGAATCATGCAGTTACAAGCCAGTTGAAAGCGTATGTTAATCGCTGTAATAAAAAATTTAAAAGATTTATGTTACATAAAAAAAAATAAAATAAAATACAAGCAAAAAAGTTGGATATGTTAAAATCTACCTTTATTTTTTATTATTTAAAATTATTGTAATAAATGAAATATTTCTCTCGTGACATTTTCATAATATGATTAAGTATCTGATAAATTATCATAGAAAACTGCGACATATTATGTTAAATTTTTGCATTAAAAAATATATAATAAATCTTTTATTATTACATACACGTATAAATAGCTTGTTTCTATTCAATCATGTAAAATTGTTATTTCTATAATGAGAGATAAAGATACGTTTCTTTCTTACCAACACAATTACATAATAATGAACTACATATACATGGCTAATCTTTAATATATCTTTTTGTTAGAGAGTCTATCACAAAACGTACATTTATATTATATTAATTATAAATATATAATACCTTGGAAATAGAAATCATTGTATATCTTCAAGAATGTTACAAAATTTGGTAATCTGGGTTGTATCTACTTTTCTGATAGCAGATAATGATTTCATGTCGATAACTAATGTCAAAATATTAATCACAAAAAGTGATTATATAATGTATCATGATGAAAAGATTGAATAAAAATTATCAGTTCTACTTTCGAGTACACTTAAACATTATCACTACTACTTAAGACTCATATATTTGATAACACTGTCATATAGCATCAAAATAGTGCATAAAATAGTGTGCTGCATTTCTAATAAAAATATTTAGGTTGTAAATGTGTTGTGTTTGTCTACACAAGGTACGTTCACATATATTATTAAAATAACAAGCAATAAATCTTTCTTGAAGAACAAACTTTGTAGAACCTTGCCACAATTTTATCAGGACTAATTTTAGAAGCAACTTATAATTCAGTTAATGTTAGTATTGCTAGCGTATAGCCAACATATATCAATGAACATATTTCTATTTTTATGCAACGAGCAAAATGGCTAAATATTTGCACTGCATGCATTATATTAGAAAGTTTCAAATTCATTTTTATACTATATGTGCGAGCATACCATTCATGCTTGAATAATTTGTCTTATGAGATTAACATTACAAAAATTCTACCAATTACATTCACACACCCCAACACTAGATAAAGATTTATTAGTGTTATTATATATTTTAAATGTCCCCTCAAAAATCTATAAAACATTTCGTTAGCAGTAACTGTTTATATAATTATTACCATATATTTTTATTGCTGCAGAGAGCAAATATATTGTAAATAAGTATGATCAGATAAATTGTGTTTTATGTGAGAAGTAGGATAATAAATATCTATATATTATAAGCACGCCTACATGCCAGTATATATTTTTTATATGCAAATATTTCTAACCTCTATGTCAGAATACATTGTTATTAAACATATACGAATATTTACTAATTCTATGACATAAACACAAAATAAAAATAAATAAGTTAATGTGTTTTATTACTTTTTAATTTATCTTTTACTTCAATAACCATTAATTATGTCAAATTATTTTTATGTATTGCCATGATATCAGATACAAATCAATTTCATATAATTAAAAAAAAAACATTTAAAATGTTTTATTTTATACATATATATATATATATATAAAATTATATATATATATTTGTATGCTCAAAGTAAAAAGATTTTTTTAAATGTGCACTTTGTGTAATTTCATACACATGCATAAATTCTTCTTGCAACTGAATTTTAAAAGTAATAAAATAATGTTAAACTTACTCTTTTTGAGCGATAGATTGAAGAAATAACAGATGATTGCACTGTATCTCCTATATAGAACATTGGTCTTGCATTCTTGAGGCCCTGCGAGACAAAATCTTGTTAGAAATCCAATAAATGCAAAATTTTATTCAGAGTTAGAAGCACATTTACCTGATAACCATGTTCCAGTTCAGTGTAAGACATGTCAGATCAGGTTTCATTGATAAAAGAAACACCCGTTTCGTGTGCTTATATTAGATAAAATCCTGCACACTAAACATAAATTACATATTATCTCACACACATTATCCGCATCAATAAGTTAAAGTGATACATAATCAAAAATGTGCACAACTACTTGAGAAAGATTTATGAAAATGCTCATAAATGTTTGTTTCTAGTTCTCTCTTACAAGTTCTTTTGTCCCAAGTGAATTTCTTCAAATGACGTCTCTCTCTTAGAACGCGTTCGTTTAATAATCGGGCTTATCATTCGTTTAACAAACTGCAGCGAGGCCTATGCACGTCGATGTTTATAAATTACCTGAAAGAGACAAGATAAACATAACACTATAATAACGTTTGTACATACGAGGTAGATAACCCTTTTTTTCCCCCGCGTTTACAATAACACGATTAATTGCAAATAATGGCACGGTGAGCATATTTGTTCCCGGCAGATTAAATTCGATGATACTGCGCCGGAATTAGAAACGGAGTAAGAAAACAATCGATGCAAAAATGCGTCGCGATTTTGCCAAGAGACGAGAATGAATGGAGACGTTACTTACAGATCGGAATGAAAATGCGATTCGTTGTGACGATGCTCGCGCGGGAATCGTAATATGACACGAAATGCGTGATCCGAAAACGTGATTACGAAGCCGTTTGAATTTGCGTTTCCGCGTGACGTCGATCACGGTTTACGTGACATGTGCCTGTATGTGCCAAGATCGAATCTTGAAGCGGTGTTCCTCGATCGTAGGATTTTTCTGCGCATGCGCAATCTTTTATTTTCATACATACACGTCTATATATATATATAATATATAATATATATAATAAATTTATTTAATAAATTGATAATATTATATTATATATAATATATATAAAGATATTTGACTTCTTTTTGTTTTTTGAATAAATAATAAAAATAGAAGATAATAATAATAAAAATATACAATAATGAATAAATCAAAAAATTCAAATAGGAAATAGTTGACTTACAGCTAGTTTGTACATGTAATATACAATGTATTAGTATTCCATATTATTTATTTGTCGATTTGTACTTATAAATTGTACAATCTTGAATATAATTATAAAAAAAAAGATACTTTTATTATATATAGTTAATCTTGTAAAATTAACTCTATGTTCCTGGATTTTGTGACAATTTTATATCTATGATAATATATTTCATATACATATATTAATTCTTATATAGTATACATGTATCAAAAGTAACAAAAAAATTGTTTAATTACTGGGGATAAACTTTTTCTCTAGTAAATAATACATCAAAAATTCAGATGCAGATATTGTCCAAAATGTATATGATATACAAATTTTTAAATTTATAAAACTTATGTTATTAAATGTGTTTTCTTAGAAAATTAAATCTTGCATAAAATATAAAGCATCATATTTGCATATTTTTACCCACATATCAACACAACTGAGTTAAATCTTTTACATTAAAAACTTACATTACAATAATAATATAGTTTCATCATCATAAGTTTCTCATCTTTTAACCAAAGTTTCTCTTCTAAAAACTTGTTAATCTTCCAGGAATTATTCTATAAAAAGAGTTTAAGAGCAGATGTGAGACAAAAATGAGAGCTAATAATGCAGAGCAATTTTATATAATCGACTATAATGTAAAATTGAAACTTGCCAACTTGATTAAAAAAGAATTTATATTTTAAAATAAAAATTCTTGTCGTAAAAAAAAACACTTTCTGCATATCACATTTAGATTATTTTTACAATTTTTTGATATCAAAGTATTAATGGGACTATTTTCATCAGCTGAAAAATTAACCCAGTTTTTTTCATGCAACTATGTCAATATATGTAACATATTATGTCCATAGCACTCATATTTTTGTAAAATCTTGTAACTGTACTTAGGTTTTGCACCAGTTAATAAAACTGCAATATAAAATAAATTTTACTCACTTTTACAAATGTTTATAAACACTTAATCAATAAAATCCATTTTGTCATTGTGTATACTAAAACTAGAATAAATATTTACCTGTTCAATGCATGTATTATTCGTAATCTTTGTGAAACCTATCATCATGATCCCAGCCCTTGTTGTTCTTTTGCCTTGGTGATATTTTTAATGAATTAAGTTTTGTATTAATATTATCACCTTTTCTTAATGTATCTAGTGCACCTGATCCACGTATTGCTCTTGGAATATTAGGATTTTTTGAATAACTGCCTTCAGACACATTATTTTCTACTATTTCTGTTATTTCTTTAATTCGTTGCTTATTATATTCTCGACATTTCGTATCTAAAAAATTTTTTGTTATGTTTATTTTATTTCAATATATTATTCAAATAAAAAAAAACAAGAATATTTTACTATCACATTTTTACTATCACATAAAAATTATCATTTAAATATCAAAGTTAAATACAAAAAAATATTAAATTAATGGACAAAAAAATACACAAAAGATAAATAATATAAAATAAAAAATTTATTTGCCCAAAAAGTATTATTAATATAATTGTCATTTAAAGAATAACATGTTACCATGCATATTAAAAATCATAATAATAAAAATATTATTCACACACATAAGTTATTTAGTATTTAATAAGATACTATTACCAGTTTCAATTTTTGTCTCTACTCTTACTTCTTTTTGAGAAAATGGATATTCAAAGGAAATAGTCTTGATGTTTGAGATATAAAACTGTTTTAGTTCATCCTTGATTTCATAATTGTTATTGACTAACTCTATGATTAACAATAACATTGCACGATACTGAGAAATGTAACTGTTTTCTTTCACCAACATTTGTCTAATTATTAATATTAAGTTCTCTAATCGACTCGGACATACTGCATAAAAATCTTTACCCGATTTAAGAATCTAAAAATAAAATTTCATAGATTATAATGTCACATTTTGGTAAATAAACAAGAATTCGTTTTCTTGTATATATAGTATATGTATGTGTGTACACATCTAAAATTTCACCTGTATCATGATGAAGTAAATATTTTCTATACCATTGTCTTGCAATAGATCTTCCAAATATTGAATTAATGGTTCAGCCAATATATTCAATCTACTTCCATCACTTAATCTCATGCGATAATAAACTTCTGCATGAAGTAAGACTATATTCGCAAATGTCTTCTTATCGTCTGTTTTACTTTTTTCCCTAGCTAAGACAATATAAATGTATAATAAATATATAACCCTGAATAAGTAAACAAATTTTCCATCCAATACTCACACATATAATTATCTTGTAGGAAACGTAAGAAACGGCTTCGTACAATTTCCTTATTGCTATCTTCTATCATTGCAACCTTATAATCGCTGAATATCACTGCTATTTTTATAGTAAGTGAGTCATAAAGTATAGCTTGCTTCCACAGACTATCGCATGTATCCCTGAAATTTGCAATTTGTGTAAAAAAAAATGATAAAATAATTTCTTCTGAAAAACTGAGGAAAATCTGTAATACTTTAAATTGTCTTTGTTGATTGTGCCGATTAGCAAGTCTATAATTTCCTGAATCAGCTGTGGCGAGATGCATTCACGTGTGTCATAGGTAGCTACTTTATCTATTATATCCTTAACAGTATTAGTATAAGCTGTGTCTCCTGGTCTACGCAGAGTCTGTTCTTTATTTAACGAAGACCATCCACGTCCACGACCGAATGAAGTCATCTTTAAGTATTTAACAGTTAAACCTGTGAAGTAACAAATACACATCATACAAAACATATGTTTATATAAAAAAATATGTGTGTATATATATATATATATATATATATATATATATATGAAATATATACAATATTGAGTTACTTGAAAGAAATAAAATCTTCAAAATATATTTGACAAAGAGAGATGAACTTACACTGTATTTATATCTGCTATATCTGTAATGTAATCTCTGGTTTGTCCGTTTGTTACTACTTTTTTCCTTTGCTTATTTTGTATTTTGAAATTATACATCTGTTTGTACTCTTGTCGGCATAAACCACCTCCATAAACCATACATTACATACATATATACCACATGCAACACATCTTCTATAGGCCAAAAAAGTGTACAAAGTGTAGATGTGCAGATAAAACGAACAATAATAGAAATTGGACAGCATTTGTCTGGCGATTTCAAGAACATACTCAAGTTCCGCCATGTTTAATAACAAGTAAGCATATTTTAATTTTTTTTAATCTCATCGTTTAATAATAATTATAGGTAATAATAATATCTTATAAATAATATAGTTGAGAAATCTGCTCGATTCAAAAAACAGATTTATGTATAAAATAATAACCTGTAAGTATATTATATAAAATCCAGTAATCATTAAACTTATTTCACAAAAGTAAAAAAAAAAAAAAATATATATATATATATATTTTTTTCTGTATATGCTCTGGCTTTTCAATTCAACGATTTAAATCTCGTTTCAATATTTACGCAATATTTTATATATTGCATAATTGTGGAAAACCTGTATAAGTTGTTAAACCAGTTTATATATAGCAATAAAAAATTGAGCTGTAAAAATTTAATAATGGGAAAGTGGTCGCAATATATATATATATATATATGTGTATGTGTGTGTGTGTGTGTGCGCGCGCGCGTGCGTGGTGTGTGCGTGTGTCTGTGGACATACACACACGTTTCATGTACAAATCTAATAATAAATGATGTAATTATTACATTGTAATATACTCAATGCCAAATTTAATCGCTTTAATAAAATTATTATTGTGTATAATTTTTTAATTTTAATTAATCCGTTATTAATGCATATATATGTAAATGCATTATGCATTTATGTGCATTAATAAATTATAGAACAGCTTTTTATTTAAATATTTTACTATATTTACATTTATTATATTCAAGAATAAGTACAAAGAAAAATATTGTGTGTGCAATATATAATATACACAGTTATCAAGCTGAACATTTTATGAAGAAAAAATTAATGTAAGCATTTATATAGACTTAGTAATTAAAATTTTAACCTATCATTTTATAGAAATATATATATATATATATATATATATATATACAGGTATATATATATATATTACATTTATATATGTACCCAGCAAACACAATATATAAATGTTATATACTTAAGCATGTTACATGTAACGTATATGTTAGTTGTAATTTCCCACTCATAGATATAACATTTTTAATATTACATATATTACATTGTAGTTATAGTATTGTCATTATATCCCAAGATAGCACTGACTTATCAATACATCAATGTGCTATTGGTATATAATTACAATATAACTACAATGTAATATATGTTATATTAAAATGTTACATCTATGAGTGAGAAATTACAACTAACATAGTGTTACATGTAACGTACACGTTATATTACCTGTTATATTCCGTTTTATTATAGCATGTAACAATTATATATTGGTGTTTGCTGGGTATTTTTTATATACATTTTTATTTATATTTATATTATATATTATTTTTATTTATATATTATATTTATATTATATTGTATATATATATATATATATATTTATTTATTTATTTATATTTATATTAAATTTTATTAAATCTGCACTGCAGATTTCTCGCGAACGTGAACCCGAGCGTCAACGTCAGATGTCAGATGTTCCCGCGCGCATGCGCGCGAGGTTCGCTCGGCAGTGCTGCAGGCGATCGCCAATCATCAATCGGCCTAGCGTCTCCGGTAATGATCTGTCAATCATGGTCGGTATGGCCAGTCATCGTCTGGCGTCATTATCGATGCGGCCATCGCGTGATCCAAATGATCGGCGGTGAACGACAGCGACTGCTCCGGTAGTCTTTCCCCAGTTCGGACTGAGCGAGAAGTCGAGTCGGACTCCTGACGGAGAGGACGAGTCGTCGACGCCGCAACAGGGCAGCAGCAACAGCACGCAGCGGCAGCAGTCGCCAATCGTCGTCGGACAAGTGCGGTCCATCTCGGAGTGCTTTTTTTTTTTTATCCTTCACACTGCGAGGAGAGGATACCGCCTTATATCTCGACCCGCTTATCGAGAGGGTATCGCGCAAATTAAGTGATACCGCGTATCTCGAGCAAGAGGAACAGGGAGGAATCAAAATATCGCAGCTTTTTCTCTGCCGTTCAACATTCAGGAGAAAATATGTCGACGGAGGAGAAGTTTAACGCCGCCGTGAACGTCATCAGGAACCTGCCGAAAAATGGTAAATCTTTCCTCAAGGAGATAGTGTATATATAGACGAGAAACTTTGCGTATGCAAATGCGAGCGATAAATGTGTTCTCGCTTTTTAGCACTTCGCACTTGTCGGCTCGAGCCGATTCCTTTTCCTTTCTCGCTTCTCTCCCTTCGGGCGTGCACGCTTTACTGCGCGCTGGTTAAAGTCCAGACCTCACGGCTGAGTGTCGCCGATAGACACGGGCGTTTTATATTATTTATTCATGATAATGCGCGAAGGTGGCAAGTGGTACAAGGTCTTTCTTCCGCACTTTTGTAATAGCTATAGTTGAAAAATTAACCTCGTCGAAATATATATAAAAATTACACGAATCAATTCAATTCTCTTGAACTTCCTTGTCTGAAAAAAACGAAGAAAATTTATGACAAAGCGAAGCTGTGTTCGTTACATAAAGTATATTGAGTAGTAATATAATATGCGCATGTTTTGTAATAATTTTTCCGGATTTTTAATTCTCCCATTAAATTATAGTTTCTCTTAACTGCATGGAGAAAGAGATTTTTGCATGTGCCGTTGCCCGCACGCTATCGCGCAGAGAAATTTTAGCGAGATCGCGAATCACGTCATTCAGAAGAAAGTGAATGCAATTTCTCACTTGCGGCGTCGAAAGCAATATGAAAAGTTCAATTCTCCCGCAGGTTTTTTGTTTAATTTTTTTGCGCGATGCGCGTATATCCGATGCGGAAGAAAACTTCCCGATCGCGATCCTTGAACAATTGCGAGAACTCCCGGTTTACTTCACATTAGAAACTCACTTTCGTCACGATTATACTTCGTCTTTGATAATTACGCGGAAACAATTTTACTTCGCTGTCGTTCGACAAGGAAATCCGTCGATCTCTTTAATTTGCGCATAGACGTAATAAATGTGAAATGTAAGAGTAGAGTCTTACAGAGATTTTTATAAATAATTATAATTATATTGTATAATTACTTTTTGCACCGTTTACTTTTTTTAGTTTGTAAAAGAAAAATCTAGCTAAGATCAAATCTTTTGTGAAAATAATTTTCTCTCTTTTTATTTAAAAAATTACGTTTTATATAATTAGCAATTTATGCACAAATATAATGGTCAAAATACAAATAATGATGTGTCAAAATTATATGTAATTGGCTCGATAAGAGACATTTAATATTATTCAAATGCATACACATTCTTACTATTACTTAAGTGTATATGCATTTCATTGCTGTTTGGCCTTGATGTTGAATATTGCGTGTATACACTTTCCAGCCACTTCATATAGCTCTCTAAGTGACTGTATTACTCCCCACTTTACTTTCTAACAGTGCAAGACTAGCTGAACCATGCTTGGTGGTCAAAACTAGAATTTTCCTCTTCACTGATTGCAATAATTGACTTGTATTCCACCAGCAATTATGCAACTCCATTAACAAATCCTTTAATTATGTTTGACTATTATATTAACAAGTATTCATTAAAAACAAAAACTTCTATGTGCAATCTCTTAATATTCTTGTACTATGAACTCATATCGAACAAATACACAAAAAAACATGTAATATGTATATAGTACAGTTATATAAAGTATATAACATGCATCTTTTGCAAAAAATGATTCTATAAAAACATAAGACATTTGAATTAATGGATATTTCTGTCTTAATGATACCTTCCTATGGATAATGATCAGCTTTCATAACAATTACTTTAATAACTTTCTTGCTGCATTAATATTTATAAAATTATTAATGTTGTGTTAGAATTAGAAAACAAAAACTATTTATGTTTTATAATCACTAATACTGAACACTTTACTCTTTAATACTGTTCAACATTTATACGAAGATTACTATATAACAATTTATATTCTACTGTATCTTGTTTAAGAAAATATTCTCAACTCTGATTAAAGGTCAAGGATAGAAGATAAAAGAATCACACATCATTGTATCTGTTATCCATATCATCTTGAAAATAAATCTTGATTGAAATAATCTATTTATTCTTACAACACATATTTGAATACTGCAAAATGTTTTAAATATTCAAAACATCCCTTGCAATATTTTCAAAATAATGAAAATATTTAATTTGACAATAATTAATAATAACTTTAAAAGGACATGAATTCTAGCACAAATATTTTATTTTTTTATTTTATTATACCTGTGATACATAAATACTGATAAATAATATAATATTCCAGGAGCGTACCAACCTAGCCACGAGATTATGCTGCGTTTTTATTCATACTACAAACAAGCAACTGAGGGGCCTTGCCAACAATCAAAACCTGCATTTTGGGAGGTAGTCAAGAAGGCGAAATGGGATGCGTGGACTCGTCTTGGTAACATGAGTCGTCTAGAAGCCATGAACAATTATGTGGAGGAATTGACAAGAGTAAATATACATTTTGAATCCAATTTAATGAAACTAATGCAAGATGAAGAATATATTAAACAAGAACATTACATTGCAGATTGTCGAAACCATGTCTTACACGGATAATGTGGCAACGTTCCTTGGCAGTTTGGACTCGTTTTATGAAAGTGTACCAGCCGAAGATTTGGAATTACTCGTGGGACCAGTATTGGAACGTATACGCTCTCAACCAGGATCACCATTGTCTGGTTCGCCATTAGGTTTGTTTTCTCTTTTCTGTGACAATACATAAATGTTTATTATTTTCTTGTCCGAATGTTAATACACCTAGCAACAATTTGCTAAGCAACAATACATGCTCACAATAAATAAAGGATCATATCATTATGAACAATATTGTAGTTTGAATGAAATGGAGTAAGGGAATAAAGCTAATATATTGATAAATATGTTAACTAAATATAAAGATTAGAGATAAAAAGATCAGATCTTTATTAAGTGATAGACTATTTCAATAAGAGTGCCTTACTATATTATCTTGTAAGTCATATTAAATCATTATTATAATAAATATTTGTTCCATTCTTTGACTCGATGTAATACAATCTAGAAATTTTCTTTTCTACAAGTCTTTATCGCTAAAGTTGCTTTTGTTATTTTATCAGCATCCAGAGAAACGTCACCTCATAGAGTTTGCAGCACTTCTCGGCACATAACAAGTAGTTTAGAAACCAGTCCGACCAGCAGTCGCACTGCAAGTCCGTTGCCACAAGACACTGATGGCGAGGAAGAAGAATTTATAGATACTGTTGAGGTATGACATTAAACATTATTCACATTATTATATTACGTCGTATTAGCCACTGTTTTTCTTACAAATAATTCGATTTTATTGCAGTCAGCACCAGAAAGAATGCAAAAAGATGCATCTAAATCCGCTGCTGCTCCTCAAAAGGTACAAATTGCAGCAAATAATAATGGCATTGATAATTCAAGTACAGAGAATGTTATAAAAGAAACCACCGAATTGACTAATGGATACGTTAATGGTCATGTGGAGACGATACAGGAGAGTCAGCGAGAGCGAGGTAGACAGAGAACGAAAAAAGACGATGGTAAAATCAATACTGAGTTTTTGAATCAAATTGCGACAACTATGCAGCATTTGCAGAGAGATCTGGATCGAATAACAGCTAGAGTACGAAGCTTAGAAGGACAAGCTTTGCAAGCAATGGCACCACAAACAGTACGTAACTTGATCTGAAAAGAATATTTATAATTTCAATAAAAGAAACAAGTAATATTATATAATCTCAACTAATAGAATAAAAAATTATATTTAATTTCTTGTTTTATTATTTTTATCTTATTTTATTTTAGTTAGTTTTTATTAAAAAATATGTTGATATCGATATTTTTTTTCTTTTTAGGAAAACACTGTTAGACGTACATACGCAAGATGGTGGCCTTTGCAGGAATGTTCGCCGCGTTTGTTCGCCTTACTAATTTTATGGCCATTCGTCGCTCATCTGTTAATCAACTTTACGCAACGGTATCGCCAACGAAGACTGTGATGCTACGGCTGTTATTCATATACAGCTGACAACCTATTTCCATTATTCGAATTTAATCTAATGTTCGGTTGTAAACGTACATACTTTTTAATTTTATATTTCTTATAGAGGTGAAGAGCGCTGTTCTAATGCAATCTACGATTACATTAGTAAACGTGAATTGTGATAAAACTTGACTAGATCAGTCTCTATATATTTTTGCATATGCGACCTGTTTCGGAAGTTGCAGATTTTCTCTTACACAGATAGATTAATTCTCTGCTCAATAATCGATTAATCTTCAGCAAAAGTTTTACTCAAAAGTCATTTTTATCTGCAGTTATGCTAAATAAGAAATTAACATTCTATTAAAATAAAATTTAATAGCTGAACTTGTTGACATTACATTTTTATGATGTAATACAAAAAAAATATATTTCTTATTTTATATGTATTATATATATTTAAATTTAAATTAATTCATATAATATATAATAATCTTCACATTTTGTATAATTATTACTATTCAAAAAATATGCAGATAAGATACATAGAAGTAATATATTCTTACTCTTTTGTGTTTAGTCTGCTTTTTAATGTTTATACTTTAGAAAGAAGTAGGCAACTTCCGCTGCATCCTAAAATAAAAAAAAAAGTTTAAAGTTATAGTTCAATGGTTTCTAAGGTGAATTGTATTATATAAATAGTTGTATATTCATAAATTGTAATATATGCAAAGAAAGCAAATCCTTTTGTACATGTAAGCATATAGTTATATATATATATATATTATAGTTATTAATATATATGTATTTTTAATGTAATATGGATGTTTAAGAAAAATGGGGTTTTTTAAATGTATATCGGCGTTACGGCCACAACATTATTATTAATGAATACTTTTATGATCAAAGAACATTTATACGTATCAAATGATTGCGGTGGATATTATGTACATATGTGCAATATGAACAAATATACAAGTTTTTAATTATTATTAGCCAAATTTTGCATCCGCGATTATTTTCTTGTGAGAAAAATTATTCTATAGATAAACTTCTTTGTTTTATTATTGTTGATATAGTGAGAACGTTTGTCGCATTTTTCTTTGGAGAGAGAAAGTAGAATAAGTATAGAAAGTATAACTAAAGGATTGCTTTAAGTAGCAAGTCATGGGTTGTACATACATATAAAGTGCATCATGTGATATTTTTTTATGTTTGAAGATATAAAAACATGATTTTGGATACATTTTTAAAAGTATTTAAATTAATTCACATAATATATAATCTTTGATAATTTTGTATAATTATTATTTTTCAAACAAAATTAATTTCTTATTTTTATATTTTATATATCCTTTATATATACCCAGACAGCCACAGTAATTATTATGACATCATTTTGATGTCAAAATGCATCATTTTGATTATTTATAATATATATATATATATATATATATATATATATATATATATATATATATATATATTATAGATTTATTACATTGTTCCAAAAATATAATTTTAAAAATTAGAAAATAAAAGTTTAAAATTCATTCAGAGAATGCTAGCATGCTGAAAATATTTAGAATCATCTGAAATGTATTTTACATGCATATATATCTATTTTTAAACTGAATCTGTTTAATGCGATGTACATGCAGTGCGATTCTATATAGGACATATATAAGATACAGGGAGAAGACAAAGACTGCAGAGTGCAGTGCTTGTGGTTCCTGCACATATAGGTCGCAGTCGTGGCGTCTCTCGTGCGAGGATGATAGGGACGAGGGACGGCGATGCTTTTACGCATTTCGTACACGAAGCGCGTAAAATGTGCATACTCTATTATTTGCGTGCGATAAAGGTATCAGAGTTGCGCATGTGTGTGCACATGTGTGCCGTATAAGCACGGCCGTCAGTGTCAGTGGCCGTCAGTTGGCTCGTCGCGAGAATGTATTATATATTCACGGTCACGTAAGCGTATTTATAGCCATTCGTGAATTCTGGCGGAAGTCCTGCCGCAAGGATCTCGCTACTTCCGAACCCCATTACGTCACGCGTGAGGCTGCTCGCCCGAATTCAATTCTCTCGACAATGAACATCGGAGTATTTCTCGTAATCGCGAGTATTTTTGCCGCCAGCTGTTCCAGCACAAATGATCTCGATTTGGGCACCATCGTTTTCGCAAGTATTGTGAGTGAGATTTTATCGTGTATTTTCATTGTCAAGCTCGAAATATTTTTTTGTTTTTACACTTAAACATTATTTATTGTCGAAAATTGATTTTTATTTTGCAATAATATTAATTAATATTATATAATAATATTCTACGATAGTATATTATTCATTATAGCTCGAAGATTGATTTTTATTCTGCAATACGTATTATTTTATAATATTATAGTATTATGCGGATACTTTGTGTGCAATATTATTTTGCAATAATAATAATATTATGTAATAATATTCTATAATAGTATATTTTTCACTATATTTGAATATTTACAAGTTATTGTATATAATATTTTCATATGAATATATTACAATTTTTCCTTATTTTTGTCTTGATATTGAAAATAAATAATTTATATATTTTATCTACCTACAATATGTTTGATCTTGCTTACAGTTGTACCGACATGGAGATAGAACTCCTATTGGGCATTACAAAAATGATCCTTATAATGAAACATCCTGGCCAGTTCCATATGGACAATTGACAAATGTAAGTAAAAATAAATTACAATCATAGTTACAATTAACAAATATAAGTACAGATAATTACAATGAGCTTTACCCAGCAAACACCACAAGTAACAATTATATAACTTATAATTTCCCACTTGTAATTTTCCCACAATGTAAATGCGATATAACACATTATAACTAACAATCTTTTAGTTATATAATTATAACTAACAGTTATATAATTGTTACTTGGTGTTTGCTGGGTATATATAAAAAAACATATTTTACAAATATTTTTTCCACCAATTGTCTTATTTAATCATAAATATATTTCTCCATGAAATATAATTCTCTAAGATTTGTTTTAGCACAGTTTTTCTAATCATTGGCATTTTATAGGAAAAATAAAAGATAAAAAATAAAACTGTAATAAATAAAATATAATAAAGATTAAATAATAATAAAAAAAACTGTAAAAAGAAATAATTGTAATATATAATAAAAGTATAAAAATATATACTAAACAAATTAAAATTATTTTTCTTATTGTACATTTGAAATTCTTTTCACTTTATTTTTTACTAATTTCTAACAATTATTTCATAAATATAGCTTGGGAAACATCAACACTTACTCCTTGGACGCTGGCTGAGGAAACGATATTCTCACTTTTTAAGCAACATTTATACACCTTACGATATTTACATTCAGAGTACGGATATAGATCGTACACTAATGTCAGCGGAAGCTAATCTGGCAGGACTTTATCCGCCAATAAAGAATCAGATCTGGGATGATATCAAATGGATGCCGATACCTGTGCACACCATTCCAAGCAAGGAGGATTACGTTTTGCACGCAACTAAAAACTGTCCACGATATAATTATGAAGTAGATAAAGTCTTATCATCACCGGAAATAGAACACGTGAATAAAGAGAATGCACAACTTTATGCCTATTTAACTGAGCATACTGGAGATAAAATACATTCGTTAAAAGAACTTGAACATTTATATGATATTTTATATATTGAGGTATGTTATATATGCTCAGTTGTAAGACTTTTAATCATAACGAATATAATTTATTTAACTGAGAATGTAATAAAATATGATATATATAATATGTATATTTATTTTTTTCAGACTTTATACAATAAAACTCTACCTCAATGGACACGATCAGTGTTTCCAGAGAAGATGAAACCTCTCACTATACTTAGTTTCATGATAGAAACCTATAACAAAGTACTTCAAAGATTAAAGTCAGGTATGAGAAACTACTAATTATTATTAATAATTATTTATATTCGTATTTGTACATTATTAAAATTATTATTTTTATACTGTTGTTTCAATATATACTATTTGTTATCTGTTTTTCTTAATTATATTGTACATTACTTAACTTTGAATATACATTGTTAGGTCCATTACTTGGAGAAATAATAAATCACATGGTTCAAAAAGTACAAAATACTTTAAAACCTGACAGGAAGATATGGATGTATAGTGCTCATGATGAGACTATAGCAAATTTGTTAATGACTTTGAATTTATTTGAACCTCACTGTCCACCTTACGCTGCTGTGGTTCTTATAGAATTAAGGACAAACTCTAGAAATCAGTATTTTGTAACGGTATTAATTTTTTTTTAATCATACAAAATTAAAATTAAAAAATGCAATTATATAATTTAAGTGCAATTATCAATAAGTATAAAAGTAATTATATATCTTATATATCTTATATATTTTTCTTTATTCATAGATTTCTTATAAAAATACTACTGCGGAACCATTACTTATGACATTACCAGGCTGTATTACATTATGCCCTTTAGATGAATTTATTAACTTGACGAGAAACGTTGTACCTGAAAACTGGGATAGAGAATGTTTAGTTGGTTGGGAGGACGTAAATTCTAGCGACGTTATTGGTAATTATTAGACTTATCTATGGAATATTTATGATTTGCTCTATACAATGCATGTATATGCATAAATATTGATAATCTTATAACAAATGCGAACTCTTTGTTTCAGTGATTCTGGCGTCATCTATATTAATGCTAGTTTTATTGGTTCTATTAATAATAAGTTTTATATATTGGCATCATAAAAAAGAACATAGACAGTATTATTTTCGTTTGACATATAACGATTATAATGATGCCATATAACAAATATTGAATTTAAAAAAAATATGGCAAAACATTTAAAAATGTTAATCATTGATTATTAATGGCTACAAACTTAGGCAAGATAAATCTTTTTGCGATCTCGAGATACGGGATGAGCTATTAGATACATAAAACGATTTAAATTACTAAGTAGCATTTTTATAACTATTTTATATTTTTAAAGAAATCTTTTATCATCAACGATAAGATTTGATGCCACTTTTATTATACATTTACTGCGAGAAGCAACTATTAATTTTTTAAATGAAACTACATTTTATTATTAAGTGAATTATTGTGATAAATGTATTATATACTTGTTGCATAATTAACATCGATTATTATTGCTTGTATCATAAGTATTTTAAACTTTAATTTATTTTTATGAAAAGATTAATATCTGCGACATTTCTGAGAATTTTGATTTGCTCAAATTGTTTTTTATATATTAACAATTTGAAAGAAAAATCAAGTCTGACCCTCAAGATAATAATGATTTATACTTTATTATTTAAGAAATATTAAATTTGAATAGATAAATGGATAAATATATATCCAAATTTTATAATTATTTTAAGATTTGAAAAAGACAAATAATCAGGTACTTTTATAAAGAGAAATAATGCGTATATTTGTAATATCGCGTTATATCATTGAACTTCAAATTATATGAATATACAATAAACACTTAATATAATTAATTCAACATATTGCAGAATGCAATATGCAATAGACAAATTTTACAGCAAAAATTTATGAAAAGAAATAAAAACTTTTTATTTCATAGAATGACTGTGTAATTATTGTTACTGCTAACTCTTACGATACATGTGATATTGCAATGATTGTCTAGTCATAGTGTATCGAGCTTGAATACTTACAAGTTTCTTCTGCATATAATAGCATTTTTGTGTAAAAATCTAATGTATAACACTGCCTACAAAGAAACATTTAGTTGCAGAAAATCAATGATTAAATAGAAATGCGGTAACAATGATCAATCAAATTAGGACGCAGTATATTTGTAAGAATACATCTTTTTTATTTTTATATATAATATTAATTGAAATATTGCAAATACATGTTGCGATTTATGATATGTAGAACATGTTCCTGTTTTAAAATCGATCATCTTATAAAAGATGCGACTAGAATTATTTTAGAATACTATATAAAAATAAAAGAGAAGATATATGTACGTATTTTATCTCTAAGTATTTTTGTGATACTTTATTACAATATATAAATAGTATGATGGTGTAGTCGATAATAAACTTATTATGCATTGTACTGAAAAGATTGCAGGTATTATTTATATAAGTTAATATTCTTTTATATATATATTTATGTGTGCATAATCAATAAAAATTAATTGAAAATAATATAAAGTAATATTTACAATATTTGACATATTACATATAATTAATTGCGCATCAAAATTAATTAAATTATTGTATATATTTTATATAAAGACAAAATTTTAATAGATATTTTGCAACAAACTTAACATTTTTATACAAATCTATCAAAAACTTATGAAATATATTATTAAAACAAAACTATTCGAATAAAAAAATAAATTGTCAAATATATAAGATTCAGATATATGCTATTAGTCTCAATACATACTAATTATTATCTAATGTTTTCCCTTGATGAATGATAAACTGTATATCCTTTTAAAATCTGTTTTTTTGTTTTTTTTAATATCGGAATGTTAATAATTTCTCAAGGCAGTAAAAATTCTCTATATCCATTATAATTAATAACATTATTTTTGACGTTTATTGCTTATACGTGATTTTATTGCACATATGGTCGTCGTTAATGATAATGATGAAATTACTGTTCTGGTATTGATGTAAAACTGTCACCCAAACCTTCTTGAATGCTGAATGCAGGATTTGTTCTGTAATATATTTAACATTTAAGAGATATTTTTATATTGTATCTTGGAGCAGATTTAACAATAAGTTGAATCAAGATAATAATATATAAATTTCAATCTAGCATCCTTACCTTTATGACGAGACAAATCAAGGTTTCAAGCTCAGACTTTCGTGTGTTAAAAATTTTTGCATGCAACGAAAATAGTTCCAGTTAATCACTCGTCATACAGGAGTTTCTTTTAGAGACGCATTAACAATTAATGGAACCAAACAAAAAAATCAATGACAGTAAAAAGACAAAGATATTTCACGTAACAATTGTCATTGCATAATGGAGATAAAGCGTATCACGATGGTGAAGCACCATTTATTATAATATATTTGTTTTTACGCAATATATTAATAATAATTGATCACATACCATAAGACATCATGCTGACGTCACGAGATGTTACAAGCACTTTTCCAACACATTATATTCGCATGTTTGTAGAATACAAGAGCTGCAATATTGTCTCGCATATTTAAATTTCATGATTCCAATTAAATGTTTAACGAGGTTTCCGACGTATTGTGAAAACTATGAATGAAAAACTCTTTCTAAATCATGAGCATATATACAAGTCACTTTTTTATATCTATTTATCTTCTCTTAAAAACGATATGTAAATTAATTTATGATAAATTATCGCTAATAATTTAGCGATAATTTATCATAATTATCGCTTTGACAGCGATAATTATGATAAATTATGTTCGGAAATCATTAAAGTTCATTTATCTAAATAATTATTGCAAATAAATCTTCTTTGTAAGAAACAATAATGTAACTGTAATAGTTTTATTTTATTTATTATTTTAAAATTAAAGTATTCATTTAAAAGATATTTTTTAATAAAAGCATTTGTTAGAAAAAATTCTTTTATAGTAAATACGTGTTAATAAGATATAGGCTTTGAACAGTAGAAATACCTTTTTGCAAATTCAGAAGATTTAACATACCAAATTATGATTCGTTTGTCAGGCCAAACAAATGCAAACATTAGTGCAAAAGGCTTCCGAATGTGAACATTGAAATTTAATCTCATTAGTACAGATAAGATAGAATTAATTATTGTTAATGGTAGAAAGGTGCAAAAAGCAAGATGAGTCACAAATTAGCTGGTTCATCGCTTAACATCTATTGTATTAATTCGATACAAAAATTACATTGTAAAGCAAATTTTGCATTGGCAACATTACATTCCACAATATCCATAATATTTTCTACAATCAGTCCTTGGTTTTAGAAAACATACATATATCCAAGCACTTAATTAAGCATTTGATTAATGTTTTTAGTTTTAAATTTTAAAAACGCATTTTTATTGCTTTAAGATGTATTTCATGTATAACATGAAAATATAATTTATTCGCATAAACTCACATTTAGCAAAATAAATGATTATATATAAAAGATCTTTAGTAGACAATTCACACTAAGTCACACAACATAATAGAAACGTATACCATATACCAAAATATACACATACATGTACACCACCAAACAGTTTTCTCCAAATTATTCAATTGCACTATATAAACATTCTGTGTAATTAATATAAACTAGAACCATTATTAGTTCTTCATTTTGATATTTACAATTTTTCGATCAAAATATCTCACTGTGAGAACAAACATGTAAAAGTGTTACTTGGTGAAATTGCATTTAGTCACAATTATAACAAATAAATATCATTAAAATTTTTCTTACCTGGCATAAACAGCAGGATTCGATAGACCGAGTGTAGGACTCACGGGTGTACCAATATATTTAGTAACAAACTGAAACGTTGAGAAATAAATTAATAAAGAATACTACAATTATAGTGTAAATTATCCAAAAAATAAAATAGTTTGAAAAGATATAGTCATGAATGAAATATTGAGAAATTTTGATTCAACTAAAAGGCATAATTTAAATGTCATAATAAATATATGAGTAGTATGTACAAGCGAAAATATATACATACCCAATGGTTACCGAGGGAAGTTGCTCCCATGCTCACAGCCATATGAATAGCCAAATAGGCACAGAACATAAGATATAAAATAGCATATACAGACATGCCTAGCAATATAGCCCAATTATGGGGCAGGTCTTCTTGAACAGTTTGTATTACGAAATATATATTTATTGCTATTACTACAACCGACAATGCGGTCGATACAATCTTGTTGACTCTGCAACAGATAACATAGCGATCATCAAAAAGAAACAGTAATAAAAATATTACAAGAAACACACAAATAAATAATTATACATACATTCCATTTCGGAATTCACCCATGATTTGAACACTACTTGTGAAGGCTACCGTAGGTAAGGTAGCAAATGGTAATTGCAAGCTCATTATAGCGTTCAAGATATCGTTCATGCCGCTCAAATTATCCATATCGGCGAAGAACGCTACTAAGAACGTAGGAACTATAGCAATCATTCGAGTGAAGAGGACTCGTTTCCAACGAGCCCACTGCAGATTTAGGAACCCTTCCATCGCAAACTGCCCGGCATAAGTGCCCGTCATTGTTGAAGATTGACCAGCAGCCAAAATACCAACGGCCCATATGTACATTGCAACCGCGCCAAAGGAACAACCGAGGAAGACTCCTCCTTTGTAAAGATCAGCATCTATCGTTTCATTGTTTTTCTGAAATTTGCAACAAAATGTTTAAAAAATTGTTTACATGTTCATTCATTTGGACGTCATAAAAAAAATATTATTATTTAAAGATAAACATTATTAATTAAAGACAATTACTTACAGAAAAAGTTTCCATACCGATGGTATAATTGTTCGCCTCGCAAATTTCGTACTATAAAATAAAACGGAAATTAAGTCGATTAGTGTATGTGTGTTTATTATCTACAATTATTTATATTTAATTTTGATAACTGCGTTATACTATGCTTACAACATCGTTGTTTGTTTTGTCAAAGAGACCATGAGCAAATACAGCCACTACAAACACATTAATTATAAATGAAACAAACAATGCCACACAGGCTTCGATGAAGTAATACATATTGGCATCTCTAATCTTTGCGGGTTGTCTTCGATCGATATCTCTTGACTAAAAAAAGTACAAAAATCATGTACATATTTCATGTATATATACATACATACATCATCGTGTTTACTCTTAATATTTATTGCTCTTACTTTGACCAAGGCACTGTGAAGGTACAAATTATGCGGCATAATAACTGCACCGACGATTCCTACAGCTTGAAGTAGCACTTTGTTATCGTAATTCATCCCATTGTACCATGGAACGAACATACCAGTTATAACATCTATTTGAGAAGGCTCGGAAACGATGTACTAAAAAATAAAAAATCAGTTTAATATAATGTCAGACTAGAATCTTGCAATTAATAACAATATTTGAGAAATAGATTCATGCCTCGTAACCAAAGGTAACACCCATGATGGTAATGAGTAAACCAAAAAAAAGTTCTAATTTCCGCAAGCCATATTTGTCCAAGAATAAAAATGTAAATGTATCAACTACTGTAATAAGTACACCACCCCATATAGGAATCCTGAAAAAATCAAAATAATTATATTTTTATGAAGTATATTCTACATATTAATATTTCACAAAATCACAATAATCTATTATTTTTTATTACAAACTTTTTATATATTTATATACAATTGTCTACAATCTTATTTAAACTTAAAAGAAAAAAATAGAAATGATAATTAAATAAAAGTAACAACCATGCAAATAAATATATATAACTATGTAAATATATTATAAAATATTTTCATTATAAACACATTATACGTGTATCATGTATATTATAATTTATTTTTATATTTATATTTCGTATAGTTAGAAAATTTTCAAATTCTTAAATAACTACTAATTGTATCCAGCATTGGAAAGATTAATAACGTGAATCACAATATTTTAAATGTTCTAGATACTCTCAAGAACTTTCCCAAGAATGTTTTCAACATGTTGTTAGCTTAAGTATGCATTGAAGATAAATATTTACTAATACTTACATTTTATTAGATAAGAGATAAAGGGCAATAGCCGTTCCTATCACCTCTTGCATATCGCTACCAATAATAGCTATTTCAATCATTATCCATAAAATTAATCTAGGTACTTTTTTGTATTGTCTGTAACACATCTCTGCTAGATGTAGACCAGTTACTACACCAAGACGTGCACTAAGTCTTTGCATAACAAGACCTAAGATAGTAGCGCTTAGTAACACCCATAATAACTGAAAGCGAAGATATAAGCAAAAGGATCATTGTAAAAAAATAATCAAACGTTTGCATAACATTGAAATAAATAAAACAACACTGCAAGCAACAATTTAACTTTAATAATTCTTCATCAACAAGATGTACCTTATATCTCGCTACCACTCCAGATTGTAAATCTGATTCTATATTACCAGGATCCAGATAAGCTATAGACATTAAAAACCGGGTCCCGTAAAAGCCCATAATTTTCTAAAACTAAATCCTCCCTGTAAAAAATTTCCAATTATAATTTAAGTTAAGAGATAAAGTCATAAAATTGTAAAGCTAATTTCAAATAATGACAATATTAAATTTGCAAGTGTTATGGAAAAAAAACAAACAGTATGCTCTAAATAATAATGTGTATAAATCCACACAAAATACAATGTCAACTTACACCTGCTGTTTCTGGCACTTGCACCCTCTCATCAGCAAAGTAGGTTTGATTGTTGTTTGGAGACAAAGAAGTATTTTCAGTGGCCTTTCTGTCCTCTGATTCATGCATACGTTGATGAGGCACTGTTGTGACAGTGACATCGCCACTAGATTTTATGTCATAACTATTTTGCTGCATTTTGTATGTATTGAAACAATACTCTAAAAAAACAGACATCTCATTATTTATTAAAATGAAGTCAAAGCTTTCCATTTACACTTGTACAAATTTATAAAAATAATCAAAATGATATAACTAAACAAAGACATGTGATCCTGATGCAGTGTGGGCTCGGAAAAGGAAGATTAATTATTCTAGATTGTAACAGATTTTTCAAAAATTATTAGATCGAAAAAAAATAAATTTTTGACTTCGATCTCAAGAACGACAATAAATGGTATACAAAAATCAACAGATCGCGATTTTGTGCAGCTAGAGGTCACATTGTGATTTAATGTCATTTACCTATTAATCGTAGATCACTCGCGAGACTGTCGCAACTAAATAGTTACGCCGTAACACAGGCGCGCACTCACATACACCGTGTAAGATCCGTACGCATCACCGGCCAACAGTAGAATGTAGAATCATGTAGAATGCCGCGAATGCGCGAACAGTGTGAAGTTGGTCAAGTAATCTAGGAAGGGGGAAGAGACAGGGATGTAGCTATAGGTAAGTAATATTTCGGAGCAGACGATATTGACAGCATTACTCCTTTTTTATTTTTACAAAATAATAAAATATAATTAAAAAATATAATATAAAAATATAATAAAATATATTTAAAAAATATATAAATATATAATAAATATAATAAAAAAAATATATAAAATATAAAATATTCAATAAAATTGTTATTATTCTCAATTCGAGACATTTTTTAGGATGAATTTAAAACGATTAAAAAATTCATAAGATTGATTTAATAAACATTATTAATTTTGCGAAAAATAAATAAATAAGTGCGTGTTTAATATATACTTATATATTTTATATCTAATGTAAAAGTTCTAATATGCATTTCAAAAAAGCATCTATAACAAACAGGGCCCGTGGTCTCCTAGTTACGTCATTGATGCGCGGGTGACAGCGACTTTACAAAAGAAATTAAAAAGGCGGGAATGCCATGTATATGTACAAATACGTGTCTCGATTTGTGAAGAGAGAACGTGACACGATCCTGGGAGATCCCCGAGTTTATCAACATAGACAAAACAGCGTTAAATTGTGTGTGAAATATTTATGCGCATCTTTATTTTCTGTCCCTTCCTTCATTTCTCTTACACGAGCGTTATGTTAATGTCGTAATTCCAGAATATTGCAATAATTAATATTGTTTTCCTCATAATCTTCAAATATGCAATAATACGATATATATGTGTATAGTAGCTCGTATTTAGATTAATAGCGTAATTATATTTATTTCCAATTATAGACGCACGAAAGGATATATAGAGATTGTACAATCTTTTTCATTAGTATCCCACATAGCCACAGTAATTATTATGACACCATTATGATGGCAAATGATGCATTTTGACATTAAAATAATGTCATAATAATTACTGTGGCTATCTGGGATCATATCAATGTCGATAAGAATTTTAATTCTGTTATAAGGAAGTAAATGTTTTTTATTTTATATATAAAATATATTATTTTATCATTTTTGAAGTTATTGTGTTTTTTGCCGTTCTAAATGTTCTATAAAAAATATCCTTCAACAATTGCGCCTTCGCTGCAAAAGCAATAAAAAAATAATAGCTTATAATATATAAGTAATCATTAAACAAAAATAAAAGCCGTAATATATTATAGTTTAATGAGAAATAAAATCGAAATGCGGCATTTAGATGCTATAATATCGTACTAAAAAAATACGTGTACGTTCAATGACGAGATAAATAAAATGTCTCGTTTGTCAATTGATATCTACAGTAATTTCATTGCAATCACGACATGATTAGATACTCGAGAAGAACGCATCCGTTTTTCCAATATATGTCTTTTCTGTTCGACAATAGATAATTTTATTTTAGAACATTACAAGTGGTCACGTAGTGATAAACAATATAATGCAAACGATATCTTGATTAACTATTCTGTCACGTAAAAAAATATCGCGATTAATTGATGATATTAATCGATCGCATTCTTGAGATACAAAATGATAAAAAATTTTGCACTATATTTTTGATATATATATAATAAATAATAATAATAACAAAAAAAGAAAAACGCAAGATTTTGTATACTTTAACTATTTATTTTATTATATGGAAAGTAAAAAAGATACAAAGCGATAATCGAATATATATATAGTATCATAAATTAGGAAAATTATGTATGTAAGTATATGTGAGCACAAGATAGCAGTAAAAATAAAATAAACGAAGAAGAATTCGCGCGTGATAAAGTTCTTTCCGCTTGTGTATAGAAGATAATGACAGGAGAAATACAAATGAGTGTTATAAAAGCGATTACGCAAGTCTTAAATTTGACACGACACGTGACTATAGCGAGGAAAAAAAATCGATGGGCGAGCACATCATGTTTTTACGCGATTCTGCCATAATTAATATTATTATTCTCAAGAATTGCAATGCAACAGCAACGCAAAAGAACATTATTATATCATTTTCTAATGTTTTAGTTTAATAAATAGTATGCTTTTTTAATATTGCTAGTTATTTATTTAATTTGTTTCTATAAATAATTTAATAAATTATAATAATACTAATAATCATATAAAATTATAATAACTAGAATAATCATGCAATTATAGTACTTATCTATTATTCATAAGAATTTAAATAAAGAAAAATTATGACATCTGATGATTCATAATTTATTGGGTAATCCCGGATACAAGGAAAAATTTATTCAAAACTGCATCATACAATAGATAGCGAATTGTTAGAATATTATTACAAACTTTCCTCTCTTTCTGGGTAACTTTAATAAAACTAAATGGGTTTAATATTTTATAGATAAAGGAGGAAAAGTAAAATTATTTAAAAAGAGAAGATAATAATATATTATATATAGAAAGAGAATTTATGTATTAATATATGAAATTAATTATAAAAATAAATTATACATAAATTGACACGCAGCACAAATATAAGTGTCGTAAAATAATTTCAATATAAAAATTATACATCCCGTCAAAAATTTTTTTATATATAATCCTATAACAAATATAAAATTCTATAGAAATATATAAAATTCTGTATAACTATACAATATATACATATATGTATATATATATATATATATATCTTAAAAAATAAAATAAATTGTGATACTATAATTTAAAAACAAAAATTTGAAATTTATTTATTTATTCTTATCGTACAAATAATGTAACATATATACGCATCTAAAAATGATCGATTGGTTTTGAAAAATTAAAATTAATGGTTTTTAAACTATACAAAGAAAATTTTATATTAAAAATTACACTGATATATATATATATATATATATATATATATATATATATATATATATATAACTTATAAAAATATTCAGAGATAAAAAAATCTAACTTATTAGGAAAAAGTTATAAGTTTAAGGTAAAAAATAACTATATAGTTGAAGTTAAAAATTAATGCATATTGTAAATTATATAACTGATAAGCTAATAAGTAAAAGCTAAGTTATTAACTTTTTAACTTTTTTTTAACTTTAACTATAATTATGAAATATATATATATATATATATATATATATATATATATATATATATATATAACTTACAGAATATTTTATATATTTCTATATATAATTTATATTGTTATATATAATTAAATACATACAATATTTTTACCGGAATTTTTGTTCTGAAAATTCCAAATATGTGACGCGATGCTAGTCATGCGTCATACTACACTTTATACACGTACATATATATATCCTCCTACTCCAGCCGAATTGTCGAGCGGTCCAAACCCAAACTGGTCCCGCATCTCCGCGCTATCTCGCAGCGAGGCAGGTACATACGTGGTGTCACAATTGTCGGCTTCGGGACAGGCATAGGTTATTGCGAGGGTGTGGTACAGATAACACACGAGATTTCCAGATGTCTGGTCGGCCCGCCGAGAAAGCCTCGTTCACGCCCTGAATCGACAAAGGCGAGAGAGAGAGAGAGAGAGAGAGAGAGAAAGAGAAAGCAAGCTTGAGAAGAAAATAAAAAGAAGAAAAAAAAGAAGTGTTCCTGGAGTAGCCTCCCTCAACGAATCGAATACTGAATACTCTCGCCGAGTACGTATCTTCCGAGTGAATAGTGCTAATTATTATACGCGATTCGATTTTTATGTGTCACATTCCGAAAGATAATGATAATTCTGACGTTTCGTGTATGTGAGTCATGTCATTAGGTCTGTCCTTTTTCAACTGCACCTTGTGTCGTGCACTTTTTTCCGCTCTGTCTCTCTCCATCTTCAGATTCCCAATATATTTTTATTTCATTTTAATTGCCCAAAGCGCTGTCGAAGTATCTATCGTGTAGATGTAGGGTCATTGCCATTAAGTACGTGCTGTCAAAGCCCTTGCAAGTGTGTATGTGTGTGTGTTTGACTTATAAGGTAAATCTCTTCATTTTTACACATATTATTTTATGCTGAAGAAATGTTTTATCGCACTCGACGGCTTTGCACCTTATCAATTATGTTGAAGAAAATTTGTGACACGATAAGAGGCATTAGAGAAATTGCACGTATAGATAACTTGTGTGTCTGTGTAGGAAAATGTCAAACGTGGGTAATCTGGAGCAGCAAATTGCGAGTTTGCAGATCAATCACGGCGATGAAGCGGCCAAGTCTATTAAACCCGGCAAGAAGATCGGGCCAGCTGTGCCCCCAAAACCGAAAAAGTCCCAACCTCAGGTGAATATTCCTATAATCTTGACATTTGACTCGATTATAGAACACTGATGTTATAACATGTGGTGTTCTTTCCATTTGCATGCATCCTCAACACGGATGCGACAATGGTAATGAATTAAATTGCATATATCAAATGTATATTGGGAGTAATTTGTGAAAACTTTAAACATTTGAACAAAATATGTTTCAGATACCGCAAAGTTATACTGTAAAGGCTCCACCTATGCCATCGTACAGCACAGTTCTGAATAATACAGCTGCAAGCGACAAAACTTCAAATTTGTATATGAATACACCTTCTCCCTACGTTCCACTGGACATAAAGAATGACTTTTCTCCTGCAATGGTAGCTGCTAACGGCAAGGAAGCATCAAAACTTTATCAAAACGACAATTTGTTTGCATGTCAACCAGAAGAGAAATTTGAACCAAAATACAGATACGATGAGAAGAATTATTATTCCAACATTGGAAATATGCCAGCTCCTCAGGTACCTGTGGATGATCGCACTAGCAGAGCCTCCAGAGAGAGACATGCAGTGTACAGCAATATAGAACCGCCCGTGCCCATTCCGGTTCCTACATATAAGTATGCTAGTGGAAGCGAGAAGGATATTATTTACAGCAATATTCAGTGGAATCCTAAAACGGAAAACACATATTGCAATGTCCCTCCTGCACATGGCGCTGGTAAGAAATTTAAATGTAAATTTCTAAATAATTAAATATATACAATAATACATCACATAAACATATGAAATAATATAGATGTAATATTTAGTCAAACATTCCTGAAAGTACAATTTCTAAGAAACTTTTTCTAGCATAATATGATATATTTAACTTTGCCTACAGATGATTTACCACCGCCGCCAGAGCCATCGGAATACGTTTCTTGTATATCTGGGAATTCGTTTCCACCGCCGCCCGAGGAACTGCCTCCGCCACCGAGTCCGGTCTCGTCGAGTTACAGCGAACTGCGACGCGCCACTTATCAAACTGATTTTCCATCGGGCAACTATCCTGCCGATATTTACGGTCCGAGTTCTCAGTCCAGCTCGACATACGAATCTATATACGAGCCGATTAATCCCAGACCACCGTCGCAATTGTCCTGCAATTACTCCATGTATTCTGGCTACGGGTCAGCTGCATCTACTCAACCGCAGGGCAAAGTGTCTCCTGTTAAAGAAGTGAGACTCTTTAACAAAAATCTATATCTGAAATGTTAATTTTTGTCAATGCATCTTAAATTATCAAAGTAAAATCGAACGCATGGTTTAACATACGATTATTTGTAATAACAATTTATATTATTTAATTAGAATAGATTAACTTTGCTGATTAATCGCTAGATATCTGTAAAGTACTGATTTTATCTATAGGTTGACGTTCTCACGGATCTATTAGTCCAAGGAATGGCAGATAATAATGAAGACAGCGATATATATGGCATTTGCGCGCAATGCGGACGCAAGGTCGAGGGAGAGGGTACTGGATGTTCGGCGATGGACAAAGTTTTTCACATAGATTGCTTCTGCTGCTTCGTATGCAAGGTTAATCTACAAGGGAAACCCTTTTATTCGTTGGAAGGGAAACCCTACTGCGAAGAGGATTATCTCAATACTCTGGAGAAGTGTTGCGTCTGTACAAGACCGATTCTGGACCGAATATTAAGGGCTACTGGCAAACCGTATCATCCTTCCTGCTTCACCTGTGTAGTCTGTGGACAAAGCTTAGATGGTATACCTTTCACTGTGGACGCTACGAATCAAATACATTGCATTCAATGTTTTCACAAGTGAGTTTTTTTGCTATTTTCGTAATTATTAATTTAATTTTCTTTTTATTAATTGACGTTTTTGTTTGTACGTAGAAAATTCGCCCCACGTTGCTGCGTTTGTAAGTTGCCTATCATGCCTGAGCCTGGTCAGGATGAGACTGTGCGAGTAGTGGCACTAGATCGAAGTTTCCATATTCAGTGCTATAAATGCGAAGATTGCGGATTAGTATTGTCTTCTGATTCGGAGGGACGAGGCTGCTATCCTTTGGATGATCATGTTCTGTGTAAAAGTTGCAACGCTACTCGTGTTCAAGCCTTAACATCTCATATGACGACTGAATTATAAATTATATATTATTATAGCCGCGATATAAACCTATATAATTTATATTCCTAAAACTTGAATACGAAAGAAATATTGTTGTAATTAATTACATAGAGAGAGCGATGTAAGATACCGCTCAGCATAGTATTATAGATTTTTTACGTATAGTTTCATATTGTTATTCGCAGTATCTCGTATACTTGGAACAATATTTGCTATCTATTATATTAACAAAGGATCGTTTTTTATATTATAACTATTAAAACTAGACTACAAAAATTATACTGTCCAAAATTATATTGTCATATTTTAGACGTTTTTAGATATTTTTATCACTTGTAATACAAAAAAAAATTGTTAAGAACTTTATATTCAATTTATCTCGACACGAATCCGAATATGTGATTGATACGCAAAAACTCCGCCACACTGCCATAATGAAAGCATTTCCAGTATGTTACAGAATGAGAGATGTATGTCATTAACGAATTAGAAGTAATGTAGATTAACTTCGATGGTCCGAAGTAATTTTCCTGCAGATGTGATTATTATTGTGATTCTAGTAAAGTATTCGATGTATCGTAAAGTATTTAACACGTAGTTTGTCGTTGACAGATGTACTGCTTCGATTCATATAATTAGACAAATTCGAGAAGTAGCACTCATTATTATCGACAATATCAATATGTCGGTGGGGAAGCGTGCCATTTCTTTTTTAACGTAGCTGTTAAAACGGATTCTTTTGTAAGATTATTATAAATAAAGAAAAAAAAAAGAAATAAACAAAAGAGACAAAAGCTCAATCGTGTCTTAAACAGTTTTCGATATAATTAGTCTTTGAATTTCTTCGCATGGGTAAGATATTACATCAAGAGGAGACTTATATGATCTCTGTATTATAGTATCAATAAAAATACAGTTTGTTATTTATGGCCAAAGAGTAACGCTTGTTTCTACCAACCGTTCTTGCCCATCCGAGTGTTTTACTGCGCTTGCAGACACTTAAGACTGTATTTTCGCCTCCGCTTATGAGTGAACACAGTCTACGATCGAGCTTTGCATGTATTTTTGCTATTTTAATGAGATTTGCTATTAATATATTGTGTTATTTTACTATTGTGATTGTTATATTAATAGTTATACACGGTGGCTCAAGCTATCGTACTTCTTTTCAGTTACAGATTTTCTGAAGAATTTGGAATACAAATTTTTTTCTTAACAAAAATTGAATTTTGAACATATAATCTTTTTTCTATTATAATATCTAGTATTAAATATTATATGCCTGTTATTTTGCTAAAGTTGCCAAAATTAAATAAAGAACTTCTGTTATATATCTATTTTTTAAATTATTAAATTTCGACATTTTTACTATGAAATCATTAATCTTAAATCCATAAGAAAAACTGTTACCGAAATGAAGGCCACGATTATACAACCTGTATACATATAATGTATGTACGATATATAATTATATTATATGTACATACACTAAATGTGTGTATATATATATATATATATACATATACATATATGTTATATATATAAATACATTTATTATTATTATTATTATATAATTGCAGAAGAAATTTACAATAGAGTCGTTCTATATCATTCTTTGACTAATTTTTCTCTATCTATGATTTTCATGCACAGATGTTTTGTCTTTTATTATATTATTATTATTAACATCTTGTTTTAGATACTTGCATCTCTTTTTTTATGCGTAACATATTTTTTTTATTACGATAGAGTACTTAAATCCTTATATCTTTATATAATTTTTGTGATATATATATAACCTGTATGCCATTTTGTGTATAATTTATGTGTTTATTAATACATAAATTTATCTCACCGGTACGCGCGCATGGATCGTGGAATGCACCATGTCCTATGCTTCTTCTTGAAGAAATGAATGAGTCGATTCTACTTATCTACGTCGTAGTTGGCAAATTATAATTTCACGATAGATACATTGTACATACATCAATATGTTGATAAAATCTATGAAATAATCAACGAATTTAAGTAATTAAATATCTTATCAAATAAACTACAAACATTGCGAGATTATATCACCCGCAATAAATAAATATTTAATAATCCTGATCATATCCAATGTATCCAGTGTGAAATTATTTTTGTCATCATTTGCGGAAAATGTGATAATACGTATCCATATTAAGTATAATCGCAATATATTCTTCACGAAGCGACATAATCTCTGAGAAGACAATAATTTTGTATTATATTAAATTATTTGTTCTCGAAAGCTTATACTCTTCGATCTCGCTTTATCCGCACTAATTGCTTTTTTTTCGCAAATATATGCATGAGATGCTAGAACATTCCACGATCCGGAATCTGCACTCTTTGTGTGCTGCGTATAATACATTCGTATTATAGATATCCTATATTTTTTACTACATATAGCTCTGGTGTCTATCTTAGACTCCTTTTTTTTCTCTTTAGATTAAAACTATAATATATTTTGTGTAATGTATTATATATGTATATATATTTTATATTCGATCAAGTCAGCACCATTCTACGTTAAATTTAGTACACGCTTTTTTTAATACTCGTTTTATTAATCTAACAATATTCGATTTGTTAGCTTTGTTGTACCAAAGTCAACATAGAATTGCACTTTTTTTAACAATCTATCGTTCTTTTTATATAGGTACACATATAATATGTATAATATATATATAATATAAATACATATATATAGATATTTATATTATATACATATATATATGAAATATGTATGTGTGCTGTGTGTGAGTAGATACACGAGTCACACATTATTATTATTATATATATATATATATATGCTCATATATAAATCTGTACTTGCACGCAATAAATCACAGCCACCTATCCAGATTCGCGCGCCAGCACAAATACACACGACTAAATAATGCGTATCTCTTTTGCATATCTTCGGTATATGTATATATGTTATATCATCGCTCCGAGATATATAATTTATATGTATGTATATATACATACATATAGATCATACGTACACGTGTATGTATATGTATAGATGCATCCTAGAATATATACATATACATATATGCACACATGTGTGAGAGAATGTCTTCTTTTTGTGTTCCGCCTATATATAGTACTAGATGTTGCAATAAAGTGCACATACTCACACACACTCGCTCTCTGTATTTTTCTCCCTCTACTTATGTTAATCATTTATTCAAATAATATTCACATTCACGCATTCTCGTTCCCTTTTCATTCCACTTAATATCTATCTCAGCATTAACAGCAATGTCGATCATCATCATCATCATCATCATGCGACTTTTTTGCTGTCTTTTTCTTTTTTCAACGTTTGTTCTTTCACATTAATACAGAGTTCTCCAGACCTACTGTTACAGTATCATACTCTCATACACTTCCGAATTCGCTGGGCTATAGTTGGGCTTATTAGCATCACGTATGCCCATAAATCAATAAATAAATAGAGGAACAACAATTCTTCAAACATCTCTTTTTTTTCTTATAACAACATTAGAGGCTCTCGGAACGTAACGCAACAAATGTCAACAATACAATTATGAAAACAAATAGAAGGCACTCTTGCTTTTTCAATAAATTAATTTCTTTGTGTTAACAGTGTTCGCTCGGATATTATCTCTACGCCTTCTCTTTCTAGGCCCTTGTCTGTCGCGTTCGTGTTTCTACCTATGTACCGATACAGATGTCTTACCGAAATCTTCAGGTAAATGTATATGCGCCGCAAAAACATTTACATATGACGGCGCCGAAACTCTCTATAATCTGTCTTTCTCTTTCTCTCTCTTTTTCTCTCAAATGGACAATCATAACTACGTGAGATACGAGATAACAAATTTGTTTCACATTTACAGGTAAAAGAAATCCACCTTTATAACAATTAGGTAGAATATTATTTAATAACCTTTTTAATATTATAATAATTTAATTATTGTTATTTGCTTGGAAGCTCACAGCCGACACATTTTTTTAATTCATTATTATTATTTCTCTCTTCTTTTAATATCTTACCTTATTTTCATTTGGGTACGGGGCGTTTCGTCCTTTTCGTACTTGTGGGTCACGGTTTTTCTCATTTTTTTTTCTCCCGATATTTAACAGCTATAACATTTACAACGTTTAGCGCGGAATAATATATCAACAAAAAGAATAACGAATCCGGTTTTACATCAGCTCGCTCTACGTTTGAAAAAGAACGCGAGATGAAATATATATATATATGTATAATATATATATATATATATATATATATATATATATGTATATATTCACGGTTACTCTAACGAGAGAAGAAAATTATAAGTACGGGTACATCCCCGTGTATTTTTCGGGGTAAATAATAAAAAAAAATTAAAATAAAATTAATGGAGATGTGGCAGTGCCTTGAGCAACCGTTTTTATGAAATCAACCCTATCTCGCCCTCTTGTTACCCCTTTTGCTTTGTTTTCCTTTTATCTTTTTTTTTTATTTTTGAACACATGACAAATCGCTCATCTTTTTGTACGATAACAACGTTATTTCTTCTTTTTTTTTCCTCGATTCTATCTTTTGCTAACTAATCTAGCCTTGCTCGCGGAGATTCATGGTTTGTCGAGCCTATCACGCATATAACATCGGATACTGTAATAGTATAATATATAATATATATTATATAACGTAGATATATGTAAATGACATATCTATGTGTGTACGTGTTGTGTATATGTGTATGTTCTTAAGAGATAAAAGTTTTCTTATTAATTCTCTGCTACACACCTGTCGGATATCATTTAAGTTTTTTCTCTACACACATTCTTCACGCTCTTTCTTTTCCTGCCACGTAACAATTAATAATCTATCGTATCCTGTTTTCTTTATACACAGCTGTATAGAACGCGTTCGCAGAGCTTTTGTCGGAATTACGCTCAACCGATCAGCAAGCTATTGAATTCGAGAAGATTTCGTTCCTACATCGAATGCCTAATTATTTTAACATGTCGAGTCTGAGATCACCAGAGAAATCATACCGTAGCGTGTATATATGTATGTATGTGTGTATATATATGTGTATATTGCATATCTTGATTTTTTTTACTGTTACATTTTTTCTTCACAGTTTGCAGCCGTCATATATCTTAGGTCGCGCGTGGCTTCTCTTCTCTCTTTAGACTCTAATAAGATATACATATATTTTCATATATACTCTCGATAAGAAGACAACAAAACGGACGCAGAGAACAAAAAAAAAGGAAGGGGACGGGGAGATGAATGGAAAACATCTACAGAGTCAGCGCCTGCATCTGATGGCACGTATCGCTCAATTGATTCTGATCACCGGCCGCTGGGTGACCGCCCACCCGCGGTGTACCTGGTGGCGTAATCGGTAGCCTCCCAGGACCGTCGCCGGCGCCACCTAAATTATCGTCGACGAGCTTGCTCGTCACCGTCGTCGCCGCGGTCTGTATCATACCGTTCATCTTGTACTTGGCACCCTGTCGCAGCATCGTCGTCTGCGATGAGCCGGAATACTTGTCGGACTTTCGATTAGCCAGCGTCTGACCGACGGAATACCGGCTGTTGCGTTGGCTGTTGTTGGTAGACTGGTGTTGTTGTTGCTGCGACGAAGGCATGGAAGATGGCTGATAACGATTCTGGACCGGAGCGTAAAACTGGACCTGAGGGGTGGGTGGTGAGAGAGTTGGAAGGGCTGTGTCATGGGTGAGTACGGAGCTGGCGGTGGGCTCGCCGGTTTCTCCTGAGCGTCCTTGGACGCATCCGCGTTCGCCCGGTCGGCTGGAGACAGGCGAGACGACAAGGTTGTCGTTGTCGTCGACGTCGCTGACGTCGTGACGACGACGACGGCATTGTCAGTCTTAGAAGCATCGTTGTTGTTAGGCCGACCATTGTTGTCGCTTCCAATGTGCAGATCCAATCGAGCGGGGCCTCCTCTGTAACTGTTGTTATTCGATAGGTAATTTCTACGACCCGTAGAACCATAAGCACCGTTGCCCATCGATCTGCCGTTGCCAATTTCATAATACTGATCGTCGCCGCAGTTCCTCGCGCGTCCATTCGTCGAGTACTCGTAGCCGTGAACGGCGTTGCTCGACTTGTGCGAGCCACCGTAATTGGACGCCGGGGCGTGATTAAACTTGTGCGCGGCCTGGCTCGAGCCGTAACCGCCGTTGCCGGACCTAAGGATCGCCGACGAGCCCACGTTCGATCCAGCCGTCCTCCTATTGTACTGAACTGGTAATCGCGACGACATCGCTATCGTCGAATACTTGTGTGAGTAACCGTCCGCCCCCGTGTTTCCGCTACACCTTCCGTTGTTGTGCGACTGCGAACCACCCTGTGCGTTCTGCGATTTGGGTGTATGTGTGTTCAGAGGATAGCCGTGACCTCCCTGACCCCGTAAATTGTTATTGTTACCATTATTCTGACCGCCCGTATATTTATTGCCGCCGCACTCTCTGGAATTGTAACCGTGTGTCTTTGTGTTGACGTCGTAGCCGGATTGACGCGGCGAGGCCGAGAACGGTGTCGGCAGGAGACTAGCCGTGCCGGATGATGCGTTGTGGTTGTGATGCGTCGTATAGGGCGGCGGTGCGTGTGCGTGAGAAATGTATACGGCCGGGTGATACAGAATGCGACAGTGCATCGGACTGGTGCAGTCCTCGCTATCGTTCTGCGGTGCGGTGTGTATCGCGATCGGATGATAATTTGCGTGGTAACGACCGGACACGGGGTATTTGACAGGTATTAGGGGCACCAGAGGTGTTGCCGGTGAGCCTGAAGAGGCCTGTTGCGTTTCACCGTGCGGTTGCTCCGAGTGGCTCGGCGTCGGACGTGAATCCTACGATTTTATTTCACAGAGTAATGCCTGTCTCAATTCAATACGCTGCGTGGTATAAAAAAAGTAAACCCGTGTACTATAACGGTGATAGAAAGACCTCTTCTATCAGAATCCGAATTCACGACTGAATCCTCATTTCCGTAGTTAAATGTAACATTGTGTCCATTTATAGCAACTACCGGCATGTGTGTGTACTATTGTTATATCGAGTAAATAGCTGCGTTCAGCAGAAAAAGCAGCTTTATAACTATTATAAAATTCGTGAATCTAATTGGTGAACGCTCTTCAGCTAAGATCAAGAGCATACACCAATCAGATTCAAAGCTGCTTTTTCTGCTGAACACAGCTAATAATCTAATTGCAATAACGATACTACTCTCGAAAGGAGGATGTTAAAAAAGGTCGATTTCCCGACTATCGATGGAACCTAAAATTTGAGTTCTATGGGTATCCATATAAAATGTAAAATCGATCTTTTTTCCTAGAGGAAAGTATTGAAAATCTATCAAAACTATTGAAAATAGCGTCATTCGATCGATCTGAAGGAAACTAAAATCGATGACATGGATGAATTTTTAATCAAACCAAGTTCTGGTTAAACACTTATCAAATAGTTTTTGAGATCAATAATGTTTTAATATTATATTTGTTTGTTAAATATTTTTGTTTCTCAATTAATTGCTCACAATTACTTACGTTTCATTGTCGAATAGAATTCTTTAGTTCTAACATAAAGAATATTAATAGTTCTCATATTTTCTATGTTAGAACTAAAGAATTTTATTCAACAATGAAACAAAAATATTTAAATAAAAAACTAAAAAAATATAATGTATTTGAATATAGAATCAGATCTTTTATTCAGAAGTAACTATATCCTCGAATATAGTGTTTCTCAATACTGATCTACCATATTGGATCCGCAATCATGAATTTTGCGATCCCGATATTAAAACATTATTGATCTAGAAACCTATTTGATAAGTGCTTAACCAGAACTTGATTTGATTGAAAATTCATCCATGTCATCGATTTTATAGTTGTCTTCAGATCGATCGAATGACGCTATTTTCAATAGTTCTGATAGATTTTCAATACTTTCCCCAGGTCTCTAGGAAAAAAGACCATTATTTTTACATCTTATATAGTTCATAGATACCCATGAAACTCGAATTTTAGGTTCCATCGATAGTCGGGAAATCTTTTTCATCCTCCTTTGAAAACCAAAGAGATTCATCCGGTCCGAAAGAAATTCCGAAAACGACATATAACATAAAAAAGAATGTAGCATTTACCTCTTGCGGAACGGCCTGACTGTCAGACGTGGAGGTTTGCTGGCATGACGTAGCGTCCGTAGCGTACAGCAATAGCTGTTGCTCGGTCAATCCCATAGGCGCGTGCGGCGGCGGCGGCAGCGCGGGATGCGGGCCAGCTGCAAAAGGAGTATAGTACAGATGATCCACTTGCGCCGGGGGTGGCGGCGGACCCGCTGGTACAGGTGGATGATGATGCGGGGGCGGTGCGGCGGGTGCGTAAAAGTGCGTCGGATGTGGAGGTGGGAGAGGCGGCGGCGGACCTGTCGGCGGACTGGTCGCTCCTGTACCGTTATTGCCGTTGCTGCCGGAACTATTGCCATTACCACCACCACCACCACCACCGTTGCTCGTGTTGCTCGGCGAACCGCCGGTAGTAGCGTACAAGTACTGAGGCGCCCCAGCGGCGGCCGCCGCTCCTGCGTAGTACGGTTCGTACTGTAGACAAAACAAGCAGAAGTACGTTTAAGTGTCCGCTTACTCTGGAACCCTCCGAGATTACTGATGCGAATATATTTATCGTGCCTAGGACAGCTATTCCCGTAAACATTCTTAGTCGATCCTTCATTGCGTTCTCCAATCGATCATTTGAAAAGTTTTGCTCTCCTTAAATATATTAAATTGCGTTCTCTTAAATTTTAAACTTTGACCAGGAAATTAGCAGGAGAGCATTGTAATTATAACGTACTGCTACGTTATTTCCTTTTGAATCGATTATAGCTATAAATAACTATGTCGTAAATTAATAACGGAAAATAAGCAATATATACAGCATTTGCAACTGAAATATTTATGATCTTGATTTATGTTTGATATTAATCTATATTATTCACATAGAGAGAAAAATAGATATGAATATTCATATGTATATATTCGTATAAAATAATATGTATTAAAGGGAAAATTATTAATATATTATTTACACGTAAAAAAAAAAATATATAAAAAATAGCATTCTTATATTAACATGTTAATCGATGTCTCTCTACTTTTTATTTAAAGATAGAAATAGAAAAATGAAATTGATTAAATTAATTAATTAATGGTTACGGAAATAGCCTGTTTTAATAAAATTAAACAAGTCTATAAACATAGCTGTATGAAAGTCACAAGCGAAGCTGTACACTTCGATTCATGTATATTTTCCACAATGACTTGTCATTTCCTAGATCATTCCAAGTTAAGAAAAAGATGTGTGCACAAGAAACAAGTCACACAATCGGGGATTACGTTAATAGACGAAGCGTTAATTATTACGTAGCGTAACTTGCTTAATTGTCAATTTATCGATATAAATATTTTTTTTACTGTCCTCATAGATAAGAAGATATATAGATTAAGCCATTCAAAATTCACATTGCGTGCATGCCTATACATTGTAATATATATTTTCGATAATTTACAGAAAGTGATCTTCGGTACATTTTATTTATGCACTATTTTTCCAAGTGTCGGAAGAACTTGGTTCGAAAAGAAACCTATTGATAATATTACAAAATATTGTTTCAATGAAGCGTCTTGCAAACGAAAGAACGTGTGCTACTTGAAGATTTGTCGATGAATTGAATGCGACTCAGAAATCGAAAAGTAAAACAAACTACAAAAATGAAGCAGACAATCATGCTGAACAAATACATAATCGATAAGCATATTTTAACGTCCCTATTATAAAATTTAATCATGATTTATTAAAAAATAATTTGCATTAATAAAAATTAAAACAAGTGAGAAAAACGATAAAGAAGAAAGGAACCATAGCAAATAGATCTATAATACATTTAAACGCTAATTATTGAAATTTATCGATTATAATTTTTTCATGTCCGTTACTGCTTTTATGGTATACACATAAATTTTTATTTTTAATGATTGTAAATATGATTATTATTTATTATGTTATTAATAATAATATCATTACCACACTATCCGTGTTATTATAATTGTTATTAGAATTGTATCATTATTAATGATGCATTTACGTTCACTATCATTATCTTCCATTATATTGATTATTCTATTGTGTATTTATTGTAATTAATTAAACAAATTGTTTGTTATTTAATTTATCTTTTTTTTTATATAAATCCATGTGTTTTTCAATATGCGTTTTTTTATGCACATTTTACCTCAAATATTTCACAATTATAATAAACTTATAAAATTGCCGAAAATTAGCAAGAATACTCCGACATCAGTGAATACAAGTTACTAGTCGTGAGACAATAAAGGCGATGAACGAACATGCATCGATAGGCCGTGCATCAAGAGATTGGCAAAAGGAAAAAAAAGTGAAATGCTCAAGAAATGACGAGCGACATGCTAATCGTTTTGCCATAGACCTTATACCTTTAGACCTCAATACTGTATAGCGTCGAGAAGGACGTAAGTAGGCATTTGCTGAGGGTTGGGTAGAAACGCCGGTGGTATGGCTTCTCCCATCAGACCGTTTGTCTGTCAAACCGTAACCGATATACACCATTTAATAAAGATACAGACAAAGACGGTCAGGATCTTATGCTAGGATCTATCTATGTTTATACACGGTGAGAGAAAACCCAGGAACATCTACACTTGGAGAGTGAAAGAGGAGAATATGAAAAAAAAGAACAATCGGAAAGCGATCGGTATTCTTTTACATACCGGCATAGGCGAATACTGATATTGCTGCGGCATATATAGCGACGGGGCTGGACATGGATACATCACAGGAGCGAATGTTTGATGATTGGTGGCAGCTTGAGGACCTGGGAAAAGATAAATAAATACTTTAATAAACTTAATTCGTCAATTATCTAACCAACGACTAATATAATTGTATTTTAATTAACGTATTATCTATATTTATTTTAACCTTTTATGGATACATAATTTATCAACAAATTGATTAAATATACTAGTAGAAAATACAGAATCTTTTTTTATTCTGTTGCGATAAATTTTATGGTGATAGTACGTGATATGTATATAACATTCGAGTAATGCTTACCAAACACTCCTGTGGCTTGATAAATCGTTCCTGGATCCGTAGGTGGAGCGATAGAAGTCGCCGGTGCGGGAGCTGCCGTATTATAGAACGTCATACCATTCTGATAAGCGAGACCCATACCTACACAATGCAACGGAGAAGAGAGAACCGATTAGAAATGCGGTCTTGCAGTCTTCACTGGACCCAGTATATTATGTACATGTAATATATAAAGCAATTGTAACCTACCGTTCGCATAGTAGTAAGTACTTGTAGGCACAGAAGGAGGCGAACCGGTACTACCGTCGAAGGATCTAGAGAAGGGCTGTTTCTTGATCGCGGGTGCTATATTAAGTTTCCTCTCTCTCAAAACAATGCATTCGGCCTAGAGTAAAAAGAGACAAATCAGTGAAAAAAACCAAGATTCGATATTTAATTGTCAATCAAACACAGTTGAAAAGTTTCGGTGTTTAACAGATATCATATGTCCCAAACGGTTCACAGAAATTTCTGTGTTATAATTTAACATAATACGGATGTGTTAAATGGAGACACAAATACTGTGTTAATACTTGAACACAAAATAAATGCAAAACGTCAAGTAATTTAGAATAAATTTTGTGTAAAATTAACATAGTTTTAATTGTAAAAATTAAATATGTTGATTTTAGATTTTATCATCTCCAATTATATGATAAAATAAAAAATCAACATTTTTGTCTGTAAATTTTAACAGATAAATCTTGCCACTAATAAAACAGAACATATTTATTAAATAAAATAAAAAATAGATACACATTGTCTTATTTTGACATCTTTTTTCAGCTGTTTTACTAGTTTTACATTTAAGTTCAATTAACACAACAGCAATAAATGACTGTGTTAAATATTTAATAGAAAAATCTTAAGTGGGACCGTTTTTAACAAGAAAATTCAAATTTTCCTACTGTGAAGAGATGCAATCGATTAATACCTCCTGTTGAAGCCGCTTGGCTTCTTCCTCCGTTTCGAAGGTGACGAAGCCGTAACCCTTTGACACACCGGCACGATCTGAGATAATTTTCGTGGCCTTGACGTTGCCGTAGGCCGAGAAGAGCTGTGCGAGCTCCGCTTCGCTGGTGCTCGCCGAGATGCCACCTACGAAAATACGATTCGGTACCAGCGTACCGTATTTCGGCGCAGCCATCGTAAGACTCGCGGCCGAGGCAGGGCTAGAGGCAGGACTAGACCCCTCCGTACCACCGGTCGAAGCCGAACTCTATACAACAATCAAATCAGTTCTTTCTGAAAAATTTTTTCTTTCCTTCCCTTTCTTCCTCTCGCGCCTTCTCGACATAGAAAAACATTCAAAATCTTAATCATCGCTCGATTTTACACGATTATCTGTGGCACCGCAATACGATCGCTTTTGACAAACGGAAAAACCTGTGTGAAAATAAAAAAAAGTTAAAAAAAATTATTAAAAGCAATAGTTGCCAAAGAAAAGTAAAAGAAAAAATTGCATCCTCCGGAAATGCACGTTAATTTTAATGCATGATTTAATTCTATATTATTAATACGCATCTAAATTATTTATTCCGATACGAAGTTTTTCGTTCCATAGTCGGAAAATATATGCTTCGATAATAATTTTTTTTTCTTGAAATGCAAATCAATAACAGATTTATCCGCGTATCAATAAGCATAAAAATAAGAAGAAAAATAAAAGAAAAAATTTGCAGCTGTGCAAAATACAAATACGTATGCGAATGACATTTCTTAGCAATATTTTGATTTCCTTCCCCTATATTCGTACATTATCATTATAATTTTATAAAAAGCCGACACAATCGTGATATCATAGAAATATTCGAAAACGCGCCACAGATGATTTGTATATATGTATACATAAATACCGATCGTTAATTAAGAGTATCATCGTCGAAGATTACGAATCGAGAATGTGAAGAATTACGGAAAATATGTACAGAGCGATGACCGAAAGTTTATATTTCATGCTTCTCGGAAGATATTTCACCTTTGGAATCAAATGCGCAGAAAACTAAATTCTAAAGTACCATATATCTGTTCATATGTAGAATTTAAAGAGCATAAATTTATCGTATTACACAAACATTCGTACAAACAATCGTAAGTAGATTAGGAGACTGCTAAGTTTATTTAACACGACTTAAAATATAATGAATTATTCCAATAAATTTACATATAGCGGAAATGTTCAATGAGTTTATTATAATTATTTATTATTGGCTCTTTTTAGTGAAAAGATTAACTCGATTCGATTTATCTATTTGTTACGCAAAATTACGTCTCTAATTTTTTCGTTAAGCTCTTTTTTTATCATAGAAATTTGTATATTTTACATGATAGTTTCTTTATATGAATCTAGTGCCAGAAAATATTGCCAAAATTTTTAATCATTGTCTATATGTATAGTCTCGTTCTGGCCAGAAAACATATATTGACATATAATATTAATTTTAACATTTTTTTCCTTGTTTTCGTAATCTTTCGTCGTTAAATATCTTTGAATCAAAATTAATCACAAATTCAATTTTTCTCATAAAATAATTTTATTTGATAAAATCCAAGATGTAAGATGATGTAAATACAAAAGCCACGTGAGACGTCTTATTGTCAATAAATTCAGATTGATTCACTGATTTCAATTCAAAGAAATTCAAAAGTACATTTGAATAAGAATGAAAGAAAATATGAAAATACACAAGCGAGAATAATTGTCAAATTTCACTGATAGCTAGAATACGATAACGCTTAAATGATGGAACTAGAATAAAAAGAGAGAAATGAAAAAGCTGTTGTGTCCCAAATAAAAGAAAAATATAAATTATTATCCAATCTTGCAAAACGCAACATTGAAACGAAAATAAAACCGCATAAGAATTTATTGGAATTTAAAGAAATGATAAAAAAGCAGTTATTCGCTTTTTTCTTCTTATTTATTTACTTAATATGCTCAATATAGCAATAAGAGTTACGATATCTAGATTTTATATTTTTCTTGTATCATTATCATTGAACTAATACATATTCCACTTGATAAGAATATTAGCTTTATTAATCACTTGCTATTTTATTTTTACTATTTATATATATTTTACATTTTTACTATTCACATACGTCTAGCATTATCTAACAATTTCAATGAAAGATATATCAAGAATAATTCTCTTAATTCCAAAATAGTAATTAAAAGTAAAATAAACATAAAAATAAATTTTTGTCTAAGGCGCTTGTGAATTTATTAAACATTTCTTTATGAAAAATAAAATTAATAAAAATAAAAATAGTTTTCTGTATACATGTACAAATACATACATGTACATATACACTATCGAACATCTCCCTCGCTCAACGAACTCCGATGAAGGTTAGCCCAGATTTCTATCGGAGACGGGAATAAAAGAGGATCGCGCGAGAGGTCGATTCGAGTGACAGAGATTTCGCGGAGGATTAGGCGTCGTAATGCGTGCAGCTGCGTGATCGGCATTCGGAGTCCTCTCTCGCGCCACACGGAATATCGACTAGTAGGAAACGGAGTCGGAGACACGTCGACACATTCTAGTTGACGCGAATTTTACTGAAGCACGCGACGCGGGTATACACGAACATGTGTGTGAGGAAAGCGAGGGAGAGGGTTCCCTGCGCCCTCTCTCGCTCTCGATAGGCGCGATGACAGCCAAAAACAAACAAACAAACAACTAACCGATCAAACAAGCAAGCAACATAGCCGTGCATTGTCTGTCTCGAGCGAGAGAAAACGAGAAGCCAGCTCTCTCGAGGCTCTACCTCGCCGCGGGGGATCCGCGAAAATCATCTCTCTATTGTTTACACTCGCGAAATATACATACATACATATATACATATACATATATATATATATATATGTATATATATATATATATAAATATATATATATATATATATACATATATTTTCGCGTCCATTTTTATCGCGTATCTACGACGTCTAGAATTTTGACAGTTCGTCGTAGAACGAGAATACATTCGTCTCTTTCCTCCATCCCTCGCGACGACGAAGACCTTCCGGGAGAAAGAAACGAGGACGGACGAGAATTGCTTCCTCGTATTCGCTCTATAGAAAATCGCCTCCGAGAAAACGAGAGCAGGGAGAAAGAAGAGAGCGATACTTGGCGCGAACGACACTTTCGAACGTGGGGTGTCCCGACAGATCGAGTGTCGTTTGTCGTCGACGTCGACGACATCGATGATTTTCCTCGTTTTGCGTTCCGATTCGATTCTAGGAAAACAAAATGTCGGGGTACGAGGGCGGCGACGACGGCAGCGACGACGACGACGACGACGACGATGTCGTCGTCGTCGTCGTCGCGCGACAAGACACGCGGAACAAGAAAAACACATCGTCGCCCCCGATAAATATCTAGGCTCTCCTTCTCTCTCCCTCTCTCTCTCTCTCACTCCTTCTCCGTCTCTCTCGCACTCTCGAGGGTGTTAACGTTGGACACTCACCATCTTTTGACGGATTCGGATGCGCAGGAGGATCCGTTGGCGACTGTCCCGGCGGCTCGATGGTACCCTGGCCTCGCGCGAGGTCACCTGGACACCCAGGGACTGCCAAGGACCGTTGCACCGACCACTTCAGCAGCACTTCCAGCCTCCGGCGGAGAAGCTGCCGTCCCGTCTCGCGTAAACCTCCAAACACTATGGAGAGGCAACTCTTACAAGATGGCGGCAAGTAGCAACGCCGCGTAGCGGCGAGTCGGAGAACTGACAGGACCAATCAGATGCGCGCGCCACTATTATCGAACGAGGGTAAATCGTATACAGGAATTAATAAATATACGTAATACATATATATTTTTTGAATATTAAAAAGTAAAAATGAAACAATTAAATTTATTAAAAGAATAATATTAAAAAATTGTATATACATATATAAATATATTTATACCTTAACAAAATGAACTTCTCAGGTAACAAGCTGACGTCAAAATGACTTTTTTTATAACTTATCTGAAAGAGATGAAGATATGCTACCTGTCGGGTAAAACTTATCAAGAAGTTGGAAAAATCGGCCCTAAACGTCAAACTGACGTCATTTTGACGTCAGTTTGCTACCTGGAATCTTAAGGATATTCAATGTCCTCTGAATATTCTTCGAATATGTTGTACTATTAGGGTATCCTATGTATGTGTATAATAAATTTGTAGCTGCATTATAGTTATATATCTTTCTTTTTATTTTTTACATTACCAATGTATAGAGTCGGACCTCTTATCATACGACCCTTTTATGCTACGAAATCTGTTATCCTGCGACAAAAAAGCCTTATGCTACGACCGCCGAACCGTATCCCCATTTTTCAAATTTACATGACAGTACCGGCTCATTGGATTTTCGAACCTTGAGCAGAATTCAGGACATCTTACGCACTTCGTACGATTCGGAAATGTTCGGAACCCGAATCTTTCCGAATGGACTACAGAGTAAGGATAACGAATCATCCCTTTTTTTGTCGTAGGATCAGATGAGTTTTTCTTCTTCTTTTTGTTTTAGCTGCTTGGGCTTCCTCAAAATAGTCCCATATACCATTTAATTGTTCAAATATATCGGTTAAAATCAATTCGTGCTCACAGAACGGAACACAAAGAAACACATTTTTTTTTTCAGACAAAACACGTCTGAATGTGTCAAAGAACGAACCCCCTCTTTCGTAGACAGAGGTTTCTCAAACCGGAAATGTAGGATAAGAGGTCTGACTGTATATATATTGAATAAACGCAAAATGGTCGCTGCACATAAAATGCAGCAAAAAAGGAACAGGTGCATGTGTGATATATATATATATATATATACAATAAGAATAAATGACTTATGATTATTCGCTCTTTCGCTCTTTTGGAAAATTTTATTGGTTACATGATGATTCAATTTTTTGCTCTTTTGGAAAATTTCATTTTGGTTATTTAATCTTTTTTTACCACATATATATTAATGCAATGCATTGCTGCGTTCTTTGGTAGTACAAATATATGTATATGTTTTGCGCCAGTATAAATATCTCCTCAATATATAAAATAAAAAATAAATTAAATAAATGATTTATTTATCGAAGAGCATAAAAATAACTTACGTTATAAATGTGAATCCTTACGCACTCGTACCTCGATTCGCGTCTTATATATATGTTGAATAAAATTCGAGGATATTCGATCTTTGGTCGACGATCCCACGTTGCTGATAACGTTAAATGTCATCCAGTCGCCGACTCGATGTGCGAACGAAGAAATCCGAATAATAGAACACTAAAATACGAACGACGAAACGAGAAACGTGCACAAAAAACGTGGAACTGAAACTAAACTGAAACAGGAAGAATTCATTGTTTCACTTTCCTAATTTTCGACAACCCCAACTTCCGATGTCAAAGAAACTATCGTGTCGTATATCGCGTGTTATTAATGGGATGTATTAAATTGCAGGAAAGCCTGATAAATTTCGATGGTAAAATTACTTTTCATAAAGGCAGGCGCATTGATTGATTATTAAAAAATGCAAAATATTATTATATATTATGTACGATAGACATTGCATTGACTCACCTAATCGAAATAAAATTGACAGACGCAAAATTGACATTCAAACGTTTTTACAACATACGCAAACGAAAAGATAAAGGAAAATATAAAAAATGCAATAGATAGCTTCAAGTTTCTCCTTTACTATTATTTTAATTATGCAGATAAAAAATAAACGTATAATACAAAATAATACAAAAGAAAGTATGTGGCGTTCCTGTTCCATTTTACGCCTTCTTAGGAACTTTTATTTGTTACCAACTTCTTGTTAATTAAATATTTATTAAAACAAATGATATATTAATTATTCTTTAATAAACTGTTCTCTAAAAACATTTCTCGATTTATAAAGATATTTTAAAAGTACATCAGAAGTCTAGTTATTTTACTTAAAATCCCACAATTAAATTTAAAGTAGCGACATCTTTACTTAACTCCACGAAACTTGAAGCGAATTGCTGTAATGTTTTACCGACAATTAATTCAAACAAAAATTGTAATTTACAAAAATTCAGATTTTAAAAATTAATACATCTTTTTTGTAGCAAAATTGTAATAATTACTTTTCTTATATTTAGAAATTTACAATTGTTATTTGTCTATATATGTGTATAAAATGATTGAGAGAAAAAGAGAAATAAATTACATATTATATTCCACAAAATTAAAATATCATCAAAAAATTTATATTAGTAATTACATACAATGTGTAATTAATACAATTCCTAATAAAGTTAATATATAATTCTTATAATATAAGCTACAAAGAAATTGATAATATTTACAACAAATATACAAATATTATATAGTTAATTTTTAAATTTTAACTATCATTTGTATCTAAATTGAAATACGTTGCATTCGTTGGCATAAAGATGCACGGTGTTGTCTCATTATTTGGATAATCCGAAATTACTTGCGAAACATTAAAACTCTAAAAAATCGAAATAGGAAACAATAAATTTAATAAAATCGCATTATTGATCGCATAAATTAATTAACATATTAAATAGAACAAAAAGACATAAAAAAACGCACTTAACAAAAATTTGCCGACATACAAATTTTTATAAAATTAATTAAAAATTCACAAAATTGAAAATTAATCATATTTTTTCATAAGTTATATATAATTTATATCACACATAATTTATGAAAAACCGCATATGTTTAATTACAATTTTGTAAAGATTTGTCATTAAAGTGGATAATTGTAAATTTATATACATACATATATAATTTTATAAATCTCTATATATATAATCTTATATATATATATATATATATATATATATATATATATATATATATTTATACACTGGAAAAAAAATTGTGTTGGATTAACGAAAATTCTGTTCAAAAATGGACGAAACGGAATTACTGGTTGAATCTACCAGAATTCCTTTTAATGCAACAAGCATCTACCAGAATTCTTTTTAATGCAACAAGCATCTTGTTTGTACAACAAATCAATTTATTGGTGCAAACAAGATATTTGTTGTATTAAAAGGAATTCTGATAGATTCAACCAGAATTCCGTTTCGTCCATTTTCGAACAGAATTTTTGTTAATCCAACAAAATTTTTTTTCAGTGTATATTTATATATAATTATTATATATATATAAGCATATATATATATAAATATATAAATATATATATATATATAATATTTTACATTTATATATGTATAAAATATATATATATTTTACATTTACATATTTTCTTTTTTTGATATTGAAAAGAAAAGTATTTCACAATCGCACACACACACACACACGCACATTACACTGTACAATATAAAATAGAGGATACTACGTCCAAACGCGTAATTTGTTTTAAAGTACTAATTACAACTTACATATTTTTTATGCATTGCCAAGCAAAAAGTGCAAACTTGCGGTCTGGTCGAATAAACGCCGCTATTTTCTACGAGACGTGAGCAGGGTTGATCTATGGCACCCGCAATGAGTATAGCATCCAAATGACTAATGTAGCTGCTAGCCAATCTTAAAGTCTCTATTTTCGATAACTTCCGGTCAGCCGGTTCGGTCGGAATCAGAGTTCTCAGGACGCTGAAAGCCGTGTTGACGCTGCACAATGAAGATCGTATTTTTTCAATTTTGTACCTCGTATCATCCGTTGTATCTATCCCCTTCATCATATTTACGTCAAATGGAAGAAGAATTTGAAGATAAATTTCATCCGAAAGACATTTTGCATGCGAAAATATATAATCCTCTAAATCCTTCATCTTCACGCAATAAAGAATCAATGCTTTCCATTCTTCCTTAAACGTTTGGCTTATATTAATTTATATATATATATATATATATATAAATTAATATAAGCCAAACGTTTAAGGAAGAATGGAAAGCATTGATTCTTTATTGCGTGAAGATGAAGGTAATGTATATATATATATATATATATATATATATATATATATATATATATATAACATTAAGTGTTAGTTAGCTATGTTACTCGTTCCACGAGATTAAAAGATTCCGAATGCAAAATACTTTTCACCTATGAGTGCGATCCCTTTCTCGAGCGTTTGCTTGATATCGCTGCTTCATCGGCTCTTCTTTTCTACGCGCTGCCATGTTGGACACGACTTTAGAATAGACTATTCACGAAAACGACTGATCCACAGGCTCTTCTCCTTTCCTCCAGAATATGAAATTTCCTCATCTCTAGTGTGTCACACACGCTTACATCCCTCAGTTCCGCGTTGCCGGTCTTCTCCTTCTTCCTCTTAATCCCTCTTTTTCTCAGCTAAACTCGACACTCACATGAGCCGCACATGTGTAGAATCAGGGGCGGATAAAGATCTTCTCTCTGTCTTCCTCTTCCTCTTTTCCTTTTGATATTTTCTTCTTCCTCTTCTCATTTCCAGTGGTTAGCATAAGTTTTACGCGAAAGTTACAGTAACGACAATTTAAAACGCAGAATTACAAAAATAAATTATGATTTGAAACATAATTCTGTGGTAAATGTATTGCAATTAATTCAATGTGCAAAAACATTAAAAAATTGAAAATCAAAATTATAATCTCTAAGTTATTTATACAATCCATTGTTACTTTCTTGTAGCTTTAAAAATTTAATTTACCACTTACAATTTATGTATGTATATGTATATGTATAAATTTCGCGTTTTCCAATACGATTGCACTAAAAATCAAACAATACATTCGCTTCGTCCCTGTCTCTCTCACATACACACGTGTACGCACGCTAAATGTGTGATGCATTCCATAAAGTGGTTGTCGGTGGCTGCGTTTCGCATTACGCTTGATAAAAAACATGAATGACCGTAGCGACCGGGTGATAGAGTAGGGCAAAGAAAATTAATTCCATCTGCAAAACTAATTAGCGTACGTTACAACTTGTTTCATTTTCCCCAATTTGATCCATCTTTACATAATTACACGAGAGAATAAAGAATTTAAGTCTCTGTTTATTGCAATTGTTGATCAAACTGCGGAATTACAATGTGCAATCAGTTTGAACGATAATTAAGTAAAATTAACTAAAGCTCAAAAAAGAATAGCTGGGAAGGAAATACTTGGGTCGTATATTCGAATTTCGTATGAAATATTTATTCAATTAAATAGCTTCATTACATCGAATTAATTACACGGCGTAAAATTTACATTTCTCTCAAATGGTCACTGGATTATACACAACATGTGATATATTGTCAAAGTAAGCATTCTTTTTTTATTTTATTTTTGTGATTTTATCATTGATCAACTGTATATCATTTAATTATCAAAGATTTGCAATAAAAGAATTCATATTCAATAAAAAAAATATCTAAATAAAAGTGCATGTGTATATGTATATATGTATATAATATATGTAAAATAATTGATAGATTTAAAATAATCAAATTTAAAATTAAACATTTTTCATACTATTGTGTAATATAATAGAAACAGATTAATTGGAAAGTTAAAGTTATGGATTTAAAAAAACACTGCTGAATAATTTGCGAATAATGTTTCTTTGACAAAGTGTTGATGTAGTAATTATTTTATAATTCAATGACTATTGAGAAATTTGTAAATTTTACATTATTGATTCAATATAATAAAGCTATTAATTAAATAATTGAATTTATGATTTTTCATTATAACTAAACGCAGACGCGTACTAATTTCCCATCCTATTACATACACACACTACGATAATAATTAAAATTTTAAATAACGTCAGATAAAAGCAGTTAAAAGGAAATACAGTTTACAATGAGAATAACAAGAAAATTGATCTCGAAACAAGCAAAACATTTGGTTTATACATTTCTTTTACATCATTTTAATTGACTTTAATTATTACGAGTGTGTATATATAATAGGATAAGATCTGAGTACGCGTCTAGATTTATTTATAACGCGGCAGAGAATTATGTTAAACATTTTTTGTTTATTTATACGTTGAACTTTCCGTGTTGACTTCTATTATATTATATCTGTACATTTATGTTTCATGTAAGCACGTAAAAATATATAAATTAAATTTAATTACAATTATAATTTTATTAGTGTATAAACACGTGTATGTGTATATATAATATATATATATATATATATATATTCTTTTAGATATTTTTCTATTGGATGTTGATCTTTTTCTATTGGATGTTGATCTTTAATAAGAAAGCATATGTTGATCAATAATATTAGTACATCAATTTTGAAAATGCAAAAAAATCTACAACCTTGTTTTATTATACTAATAAAGACCGCGGTTGTTCCAATCTCTTGATAAATTTAATTTGATAGATAGTATATCTTAATCTTTTTTCAAATAAGTTTAAAAAAAAATAAAAAAATAAAAAAAAAAAGATAAACATATGCTATCTGTCGGGTAAAATTGACCAAGAAGTTGGAACAGCCGGCCCTGAATGTTTTATGCATGATGTTTCTAACGTCGCGTTTTAAGTAATTTTAATTATTTAATACCATAATTTTTACATTGGTTTAACTATTTTTCATTATTAGATGTAATAATTAAAATTAGTTAAAACACTACAAAAGTTTTTCGATATAAAAAGATGTACAAACGAAAGGTCTCATTCCTTTCAACATTGCTCTCGATTTATTTATTACTTTCTTTAGCGATTTACTTTTTCCTTTCATCTGTTTTATACGACGACGACTACGCGCACATTTACATACTATTTACGGACAAATATATATAAAAAAAATATATATATATAATCTATATATCTACATACATATAGAAGAATTGAAAAAAAAGAACGCGATATAATTTCACCTTGTGCAAACGCTTTGGCATACATACTATTTAAAATGAAATACTACAAAAAAAGCAAAATCAATCAAAATAAATCGGGCAAGATCGACGAAATCGTGATATTGTCGATAGCGAAGTGTAAGAATATTAACAATATAATATTTAAAGACTTGAAAACGGCTTATATGCCATTTATATAAACCTCGATCACTCTAAAGGAGCAACGGTACTAAATGTTGCACCGGAGAGCTAGAATATTTTGTCGTAGTATTTACAATAATGAGTTATTACAATGATTATGCTCGCTGCGCCTATATGTATATATATATACACACAATATATATATATATATATATATATATATATATATATATATGTATATAATATATTCCCATCGCACGCGATCTGAAAGATCATAAAAATAATTTCTGACTTTAGAGGATATATAAATTACAGAACAAGATCCGACTTTTTTCCTAAATTTTCAACTCATCGTTGAAAGAACGCTCGGATATAAAATATATATACGCGTACATATATATACAACATATACGCGCATATACATATATTAATACATCACGCTTAAACGCAATCAAGAAACTATATTGTATATATATATATATATATATATTATATATATATATTATATATACACAAATAAAAAATATAATTTATTGACGCGATCCACGTGCGGCTTCTTCCAGCGCGCGAACCTTAAGCTCGCGCTCACGCTGTTGTCTAAAAAACACCTTTTGTTAGTGGGGACAACACTGCTACTTTTTTTGGCTTCATAGCAGTAACTCATAGTCAAGCAAGTTTCTGATAGTGATTTCAATAGCCTACGAACCTCAGGTATTCCTCGTGATGCGCCACGAGGGATGCATGCGCAGGGAATCGTTCGCGCTCTATCATGAGGTGCCGTTGCAACTGTTCGTGATGCGCTGCCATGTCTGCGTAAGGTCTTCCTAGAAGTTCCGCCGGGTGAAGCGCCAAGGCTGGATCGCGTGGCATTAACCCGGGACGAGGATAATTGGCGCCTGCCGCAGCTGCGAATGAAGATATCATCGTGTTAGAAGAGAAAAAGATTAATGATATTTACATATATGTATATATTTATTACTATTTAATTACTATTTAATTATATGAACAAATTGCTCCTCACATTCGTTTTACAAGAGTATACTGGTAGAGACGCGTAATAAGATTTGCTGAAGCGTATTCGTTTAGCTTTCGCAAAAATGGAAGAGACTACGCGCGAAATTTGCAAATCGTCGAAAAGCCTTTCGACGAAATGACATCCTAGACATGTTACAATTCTCTAAATTTCTAAGGTACACGCACACGCACACTCGCGCCTATTCCTCGACAACACTCACTCGCACTTGCACCTGCGACGGTAATAAGCGGACTAGCCAGAGATCAGAGATCGAGCAAACCGGAAGTTCGCAGGCGTGCTGATATACGGTGCGAAAAATAAAGGAAATCGCCTCGACCTAGACGTAATAAGTGTAAGTCGACGATTCAATAAGAAACGGCTGCCGAGCGACGAGGAATAAGCGAGAGCGGCGTTTTCTTAAAAGGAGAAGCTCTTCAGGAGAAGCTTAGAAGAAACATCCTGTGTGTAAGGAGACCTACCCGGCAGAGGAAATCCAGCCGCAGCCGCAGCGGCTTCCTGCTGTTGCTGAGCCTGTTGCTGGGCCTGTTGCTGTCCCGGATGTAAGTGCAAGTGCGTATGCGCATGCGTATGCGCGTGAGTGTGAGCGTGATACTCGGGCGAGATGCCAGCCATTTGTAATCGGACCATCGGGTCAGCGGCCAGAGCCAGCCGTTCTTCCAACTGGCCGTGATGATGAGCCACCACGGGATGGCCAGCCGCTCCACCCGCTGGCCCCCCGCCGGCTGCAGTCGGAATCCCTAAACGCGACAGCGCTTCGATCACATAACTCGAAGATCACAGATACGATTCTCTTTCATCGATGCCCGATTTCTTCATCTCCAGCTAACCGTTGGTGAAAATTATTCGAGAGAAAAAACTCCGGGTGTGCTCTTCTAATAATATATAGTATAATCTCTGGTTAACACAATGTGGACAGAGAGCCAATGTTAGCCATCCGGTATCAACACAGTTAATTGGCGCTGAAGAAATCGGCCATTAGAATTGTAATATTTACGTTTAAACTAAATGAACGTGCGCATCTCTGAAATAATCTTGGCGCTCTCAATCTCTAATTCCATCTTACTTCCCAGCCTACTCGATTTTTCTATCAACCTTTTGACACACTATGTATTCTTAAATCAATTCCAATTTTACAAATCTCTACAAGTCGTATACGATCGAACGAATGACAGTCGACGCGATAGTCTGTATACTTGTACACTCTACGCTACGTTATGAAATGTTTTAGCTTGACCAATAATAGTTACCTAGTCGTTCGAGTCGTTCTCTCTCGAGTTGACTCGGGCCCGGTGGTGCCCCGTAGAGGCCGAACTGGTGTATAGCCTGGGGCGGTCCGGAAGGACCAGGTGCCAAACCGGCGTATCGGCGATGTATCTCCAGCCAGTGAGGATCGACCGGCGGTGCTGGCATCGGCCTAGGTGTGCCCTTAAACAACTCCTCCTTCAGTCGGTCGTTCAGCTCCCTCTCGCGTAGCTCGCGTATTTCGCGTTCTCTCTTCTCGCGTTCCAGATGTTCCAGCTCCAATCGTTGCGCCGCCGCTGCTTCGCGTCCGTAGATATAGTGCAACATCGGATCGGACGGGGCGGGATGTCTCGCGGGGGAGAAAGCTGCGTGTGGTCTGGCATACTCGGACAATTGTCTGAGCGCCGGGGTGTCCGCGTACGAACCAGGACGAGCGGCGTAACGATCGTATGGGGAAACGACCGGTTCCAGGGGTCCGCGACTGGGTGGTTTGCACACTTCGGGTTGCTTCTCCGGCGTCGTCATCTTTCTCGCCTGTTGAGCCGCGGCAGCGGCGCGATCGCGCTCCTCTCGCTCTTTTTCCGCCTGTTTCCGCGAGCGTTCTTCGCGCTTCCTCGCGAGTTTCGAATCGGGGACCGGTTTGAACATCAGATCGGTGCGCGTGCACGAGTTATTTTCGCCGCGATTCCAATGTCTCAGGAAAATCGCCGATTGCGAACGATGACACTCGGAATCCTCGATTCGCGGCTCCGGCGACGGTCCACGAGGACTAATGGATTCTTCCGGCTCGGTCTCCATATCTTGCTCGATCTTCGGCTCCTGCACCACCGGTTGCGGTTGCTGCGACTGCGACGGACGATGGTGATGGTGCACGGAACTAGCCGACGACGTTAGACACGTAGCCGAGACGAGCGACGGTTTCCGCTGGCTGCTGTGCGAGCTGTGAGACGACGAATGACTGTGAGAGCTGTGAGAAGAGATTGTCAATAGTTTGTCGTGGTGCAAGTTCGTCGGCTGCTGATGCATGCTGGACGAATGGTGGTGACTCGCAATTAGATTCTCGCCCTCTTCTCTGCTCGCGACGCTTGAACTGGCGCTGGCATGATGCGCGGTCATCATGGCGTTTTGGCTCTCTTGGCTTCGTTGCGGCGAAGGCGGCGGAATGGCGTGAGGTACCGGACCGTAAGGGTATGGCGAGAAGGACGGATATCCTCCCACTGGAGCGTATCCTGGATAGGCATGAGGATGATACGTGTGCATGGCTGTAAACAAAGAATGATGCATGAGCGGGTGATGTGGATGGAAGGGATGAGCCATATGCGGACTTGGCTGCTGCGCCGGATGCATCACTGGTTGAGGGATCGAACTGGGAGGTGGCGGCAAACTCGGCGTCGGTGTCGGCGATGCCGCGACCGGCTGAATCGATGGCACCGCTTGACTAACCGGTGGCATGGAGTGCTTGCTCGGCGTCGGCGGTTTGCTCGCGCCGTCCGGATCCTTCTTGATGTTGTCCAAACTCGGACCTGGAAAACTAGAGCTCTGGAAGCCTGGTACCTTGACCTCTTTCAAACTCTGCAGAGGATCCGGTTCCGGTGGTATGATCTCCTGCTTGATCTTCAAATTCTGCGGTTCCATCGGCGGTGTACCGGCTGGTAAATTGTAGAGACCCGCGGGTTTTTCCATCGGCAACATTCCGCCGGCTTGTATCGGTTGGAACAAATTACTCGGTTCCGATCGTTCCGGCTCATTGTTCTCGCTCGCTCGTTCCGAAACGCGTTCCGGCATCATACGAGAGTCGGGAGCTCGATTGTCGCGCACACGATCGCTCACCGAAAGTCTATCGTCCATCATTCTTTCGGCGTTTCTACTCTCGGATGACATCACCGTTAAACCGAGCGGTTGCGGGGACGAGCTCGGCATCGGCGGCATCTGTGAGATCTGACCGATCGGGCCGATACTTGCCGACACACTTTGCGAAATATTGAGATTTAACGGTGGCGGTCCCGACATATTTGGCGGCAGTGTTTGCGCGGAAGTTGGCAAGCTTTCGGTCACGTGGCTGCGCAGATTCGTTGGTCCCATATTAGGCACGCTCGGCGTCATCTGCGGCGGCATACTTTGCGAAAGATTCTGCGGCACATTTTGCACCGGAGGCGGCGGCGGGGGCGGCGGCGGCTGCACGTACTGCAGACTGAGACTCGTCAGTCCACCGGCTGCCGTGCCGGTCTGTTGCTGACCGGGAACCGGTACCACCGGGATGTGCGCGGATATAGCTGGCAGCTGCGAGCCTACGCTCGTGATAATACTTGGTATACTTTGCGACAGATTGCGGACCGTAACCGCGGAACTTGCTACGTCACTCGGACCAGTTCCAACAGACTGCGCAGACGTACTCAGATTCAACTGTGTCGTTTCAGATTCCTTGGCTATATCCTCGTTAGACATGGTCGGCGACATCGTCGACTCGATCGGTTCCAACTTCATTGCCTGGTTCATGACCAATGGCACGTCTTCCGCCTGATCCGCTATCTTGCTCTGATCCACCGGTTCCTGATCCAACAAGACGGAAGGCTTCTTCTCCAAATTGTGTATTACCGGGACCGATATCGGCAGGCTCTGTATCGCGGCCGGTACCGGGGTAGACGCCGGCGTCGGCTCGGACGGCTCCTCGGGCGTCGTGACGGCCGGACTACTGACAGGTTCCTCCACGCCGGTTACACCGGCGACCGTTGGCGGCGTCGGTTGATTCTCGTTTGCGTCACCCTCCGTCTCTCTCTCCGGCTCGTCCATCAGGGAATTACTATCGGTCGTGAGAGATTCGGACGGGCTATCGGGCCGTTCGCCGCCGCCGCGTTTTCGCTTCTGCGACTCCTTATCCTCGTCGTTGCAAGTGTCGTCCGTCTGACTCGAGCGCTTGTGACCCTTCTTGGGTGTATCGGCCTTGCCGGACGACTTCTTCTTACTCTTATCAGGCGTCTGTTGCTGCTGCTGTTGCTGCTTTTCTTGATCAGGCGTGTCTGTGCCGCCGCCGGTTCGTCGCGGTCTCGCTGGTCTCGGTGTCTCCTTGGCCTTATTCCGTGTGCGCATCCTACCGGGACTCTCGGGCGATTCCGCGGGCACCGGGCGGAACAGATACGGCTGCAAGGGCGGTAGTTCCCCGGTCTTTTTTAGATGCGCCCGGCATTCCGCGCAGAGCAACAGTCGATCCTTCCCGGCTACTTGATAGTCTTTCGAACTGCTCGAGAAACAATGCTGGCACGAGTGCGTCGCGCCGTTCGTGTTGGTGTCGCGCGAGTCGCTGTCCTCCTCCGAATTGTCGTCCTCGGTTACGGAGCTAATCTCGCCGCCGGGATTGTGACTGGCCGGTGTGCCGACCGGTACTGTCTCAACCTCGGACGCGGCCTCCTTCGTACTAAGATTGACCGCGGGCGTTGTGTCCTTCGTAGGCGTAGGGATCTCCTCCTTGGGTGTGCCAGCACGGGAATTACGCGTGTTACGTATCCGCCGTAGCGAGCTCTGCCTGCGCCGTCTGTGGGGCCGATTATTATTCGCGCCCGGTGTCTTCTTCCATAAGTAATAGAACTCGACCAGCTCCGACTGCGCAGAGATCAAGCGTTAAAAAAAAGAGAAAAACGGAATGTTTTACTACGTCATAAAACTTTTTCATTGCGTAATAAAGCTATTAGTCGGGTCAAAATTATTGGACACGGGGGACAAAAGATTCATCGCCTGTACATTTGTAACGTGAATAAATTTCAACATAAAACTAGGCACACGAGAAGTAATTTATATAATTTTTATCAATGTAGCTTGAAAAAAAAAGAAACTAAAAAATTTTTCAAATTTATTTCAAACAAATTTATACAATGGTGACAAACTGTGTTTTTATTTCAGTAACATAAAATACATTCTTCTTAACTATTTATATTTTTTGTACTTTCTTCTAATATTTACCTATACAAAATTTCTTTCTTTATTACTTCTTTTATTGACTACCAACAAAAGAATAAAAAGTCAATAGAAGAAGAATAAAAAGAAGCATCCGGGGAGCAGTCATAAAACCAGAAAAGTCTTGAGAAAACATGAATGTTTACCGTGTCCTTGTGAGGTAGAAGATCCTTTCTAATGCGCGAAAAATTCTTTCCAAACTGCCGTAGGCCCTTGACGAATCGCTTCTGCGGGGAAAAATCCGTCCGTTAGAAACTCTCTCTTGCACTCCTACCGTGAACCGTAATGAACGGCTCGAGCGAGTAAAATGAATGTGAAACGTACAGTCTCTTCCTCGGACCATTTCTTGTCGATGCCTTTCGGTGCGGGACATTTGACGAGTGCTTGGAGCGCATTAGTGGGATCATAGCCAATGTCGTGAAGGATATCCAGCGCGTTGATGGTGGTGTCGTCTCGGGCGGCGGCCAAGCAACCATCGTCCGGTGAACCGCCGTCACACATACCCGCGAATGCCGCCATTGAACGGGCCGCTCTTAAGTACATGAGCAGATCCCCGTCCAAGATCATCGCCGGAATCCATCTTAGCTCCTCGCGCTCCTTGGAGAATTCTGGATCGGGTGGCAGCTCTCCGGGTATACCCGGCCGAAACTCAGGCAATCGGGCCTGACAAGAAACCAATTCCTGTAAATCCCAAACATTCGGGATTGCGCGGGGTTAGCACAAATAAGATGCCAAAGCAAGTTAGTTAAGAAGAGTGAGATGTACCTACGAGCACCTTCTTATCTGACTCTGCCTTTCAAGGGGCAAGGGAGCGTGCGCTGGAAAAAAATATGTATAGTTTTACATAAATATTAAGTGGAAAATTGCACGATAAATAATGAAAATATAGGGTGTCCCGTTTTAATGTCCCACCTCAACATAAGATATAATTACCGAAAACTCCATATTTTACAAGATATTTTACATTTTATGTCAAAAAATTGTCGACTTCGGACCTTTATAACTTGAAGAAAAAAATACTTTATTATAGGGCTTTGAAAAGCTCTTGAGACAAGCTGCAAGAAATTGAAGATGACCTTCAAACAACTATTCAAGGTTAAACTAATGGCACCATCTTATACGTCCCCCTCGAAACTATACAATACTTTTCAGACAAATATACTTTTGTCTGAAACATTTTCTTCTACAATCAAAAATAAAAAGTTATTTGGGGTTGGACATTAAAATGGAACACTCTGCATGTGCATTTTTATTATTTATCGTATAATTTTATACTTATTATTTATATAAAATTACATAAAACTCAGATAGCAAGCACACGTCATTTTGAAGAATGACGTCAGTTTGCTACTTGCAAAAAAATATGTAAAATTACATGAATCATAAGTGTAATTTTACATATTTTTATGTAATATATTACATATTTTTTTACAGCGTTTCAGTTTTTTAATCTTAATTTGTTCAAAGGTTCTTTCTCTTTCTACTTGCACTCGTAAAGCAATAGCGGTAAAAGGACGCGATTTGTTTTCTCTTTATCGACTTTCGTTTTCAGATCGGAGCATTTTGCGCGAAAATCTCGTCTGAGAGAAAAGCATAATTCGATTCCTTTTATTTTCTCTCTTTTGTCCATATAAATATACATATACACACGAGATACATTCGCACGCGAACGCGCGCACTTTATTAGCACGTGATAATTATCCACGGCACTTACGATAATTATGGATTAATGATACAAGTTACATGTGTATTTACAAGTATAACTTGCGTCATGTATCATTTATCATTTCACGTCACGATCGCCGAGATGTGTTTGTCGATTGGAGTTATTTTTAGTAAAATAACTCCAAAGAGAGGCAAAACGCAATTAAGAAGAAGAAGGAGAAGAGAAAAAAGAAGAAAGCGGCAAACAAATATAAATTTGTATAATAATGATGGATTAGTCGTGAATACAGCCTCGAATTATTAAACAAAAATTAAGTTTCCGTTTACTCTTCTTTTTGAAAATATCTTCTATACGTATATCTTCATCGCATATCTTCTATGTCGCAGGGTATCCTAAACACAGAGTGAAAAAAAGGAGACACGTCAGCGTATCTCGTGCTCACAGATGGTTCAAGTAAGCAATCGCGAATAATTGTTGTATGCCAACAAGTTGCGAAGGTGAGTTTTGATCCGCTTTATCGAACGTTTCAATTTAAATTACTTCACCGTGACTGAACACCACTTTAAATGAAGAAAATGCCAACACACGCCAAATATAAACCGCAATTACCAACTATTATATTGCGCAGCATTACTTTCCAAGTATTGTACGTTTCATGCACATTTGATAAAGAAAGACTTCTTCACTGAAAAAAAAATCTATTGATTTCAAATAAATATCTATTTCAATAATGCCATTAACACCATTTGTTTAAAACTAATACTTAATACTGATTTGCCGTGAAAAAATACTTATTTGATATATAAGAAATCCTTTCTCTCTCAAAACAGATAAATATTTATTTGTTTCAAATAAATGGCGTTAATGGCACTATGAAATACATATTTATTTGAAATCAATAGCTTTTTTCAGTGCTCCATAATTTATTCCAAAAATTTGATTGATTTGATAATGCTGAAGCGATCATTCGTGCGATACAACAAATATCGAGAGCTTAAGGCTCTGCGCACAATAAGCAGAGGCATAAATATTTAATATTAGGAATAGGAATTATTTTGAAATAATAAAATCAAAAAAATTCTGAGATATACGAGTACAAGCCTTTTCGATTTTATTATTTCAAAATAATTCTTATTTCTCAAATATTTAATATTTATCCCTAATATTTTCTCTAATTGTGCGCAGGACCTGACGAATACGTTTCATACATATGTATATTTGAAGACGAACATTGGTCAAAACTTGAAACATTCGTAGCTCTTTAATGCGTGATGCGTTAATTGAACCATCGAATCGATATTTGAACAAGTTTTCATCTCTCTCTTCGAGCTTTGTGATAATTTTAAAAGAATTTTATATCGCACGCGCGCTTATATAAGATTTATCATTCAAGCGTATATATCTTTATGCTGCTTCGAGTGTGACTAAAATTATGCCAGATTAACACGTATATCCGCAGATTCATAATAAACATGCGATATTTTTGAAGTCAATGAGAAACAAAATTCAAATTTCTACAGCAATTTATGTACGTCGATCTCGGATACCTTATCGGTTTTTATTGTTGAAAAACTTCAAGACTGATGCTTTATATACGTTTTAGATTAGATTACAATATGTGAATATGTACACAATATATATATATATATATATATATATATATTTACGTAACATTCTTTTTATCGCGTGTGTCAGAATATAAATTTCAATTGTTTTACTATTTATTCTTCTATTCTATTATAAAACACATGTGTAACACATGCACATATATACAACACACACGCACGAGCGCCCACAAATAAATGTGTCCAGCTCTCTCTTTTACATTCATTTACATTTATTTTAGTTTATTGCTGTAAGGAGTGTGTGAGAATTTCTGCAATTTTTTTTCTTTCGTTTATTCCTTGTTCAATCTTCGTATCTTTGTACAAAAATAGAAGAAAATTTCATTACGTCTGACGATAAGACATGTACTAACATGTATGCTCTTGTCATATAATTTACAATATAAGTATTAGTATTAAATTATGAGTTTCTTTTTCTCCTCAAATTTAATACAATATAATATATTAAAAATTACATTTTAAAAAATAATCTCTAAATTTGAATTACTTAATTAGGCGTCGAATGTGTGTTTCTCCGTGACTTTGCAAATACTTTCTATCACAAGAAAAGACTCCATTGCAAAAAATACAGTGCTATTTAAAGCTATACATAAGAATTGTTCTTGCGTCCGTATATAGAATCGTAACAGTTATACAGTCGGATACAGTCATTACGTAACAGTCGCCAATTAATGCACGAGGATAATGGTTCTCGATTTTATACCACACGCCCCTTACCTTGTAATAAACATATATGCTAATAAACACGTGCCTCGAAACAGGCACAATGTGCTGTACAAAATTTTCTAGCTAAATAGCTGAGCAAAGTAAGTAGCTAGAAAGTTTTTTGTTTTCAAGATATATGTTGTGTATCATTCAAACCTGATGCGAAGGGCCAACCCGGATCTCGCCCTGGGTGCCAGCGGACATCTCCCCCTCCTCCGAAGCTCCGCCGTCTTTCTCCAGCGTTTTGAATGCCTTTGATCTTCGATTTTCAGTAAATTCCTATCATCCACCCCATGAACCGTTGAATATTATACTATATCTGTATTACTGTTGCATCATATACTAGACAATTGAAAGACATCTTGTCAAAATAATTTACATGCTTGTGTTTGTGTCTATTTTTTTTATGATATATGAAAAAAAAAAAATATATATATATATATATATAATATTATGGAATGTAAAAAATGTAAGATTTAGAATACTTGTATGAAATTATATATACAAAATCTGTGAATTTGTCATACGAGTATGTGTATTTAAATTCCGACAATATTAAATATATATCTTTATCAATCGAATATCAAATATAATTTCTTGAAATATAAAGTAAGCGCAAATAAGATATATTTTTGAAACACACATATAGTCTTACCAAATTGAGCAAATTGAAATAAAGATAAATAATCGCGACTTTAATATTTTCGTTAGTTATAAATAATTAAAGCAAGAGAATCCTTTTATTAAGTGTAATCCTTATTAAGTATATATATACTAGAGTATATATTAAGTATATATCTTATCAAGTATGCACTAGGCTATAATTATTAAATATAGACTTATTATATATATATATGTATATATCATATATAATAAGTGTATATATATAATTATATAAATTATATAGAATTATATAAAAGTATATTATATATATAGTATATATATATATATAATATATATGGATATACCATATATAATAAGTGTATATATATAATTATATAAATATATATATATTATATATTAAGTATATTATATATATATATATTTATTATTTATTACATATATTATATATATAAATATATTATATATTATATATATTATATATATTAAATATATTAAATATATATATATATATATACGTTAAGCCTGTACGCATTCATCCATGTAATAATTATGCTTATACCTTTCTCCCTTCTTTTTCCTCTCTTTCTCTCTCTCTCTCTCTCTCTCTCTCTCACACACACACCACACACACACACAATCTCTCTCTCTCTTTCTCATTCACAACACATGCTCTTCTCTCTCTCTCTCTTTCTTCTTTAAAGTGGTTTGAGTCACGGTGAAAGCGGAATAAGCACAGTATAATTAACAAGCGCGCAAACTTAACGCCTCGTTCGATTCGATAGAAAAAAAAAGGATCGCCGCACGACGAGTGAAATCCAAGAGGAGAGGAACATCCTTCCGCGCACGCGGATATCTCGACGCGATCGAAATCGCGATCGACTCCGACGCGATCGTCTCTCGCGTCATTCTCTCTCTTTCTCTCTCTTTCTCGCTCGCTCGCTCGCTCACTCACTCACTCTCTCTCTCTCTCTCTCTCGCACAAGCGCCTCGGCGCAGAAATACATCACACGTGCCGCGAATCTTTTGCATATCGGGAACGAAAGAAGTCGCGAGATAACCGAGAGAGGATTGTGTATTCGCGGCAGGAGGGCCTTCCTTCTAGATTACTTACCCGCGTTGTTTCCGGCAGCCTGCCTGCCTCTATCTCTCTCACTCTCTCACTCTCAACGACGTACACGCGTCATCCTTCCTCGGCGGAGATGCTCACACACCGCCCGTCTCGTCTCAATCACTCCGCACTCGTTTCCCCGGACGAAACTCGGGGGACCGGATGGACGCGGGAGACCGCGTCGGCGAACGCTCGACCGGACGAACGCGACGTGGACGACGACGAGGGGCTAACGACTACCGAGTCTCTCGTGGGAAACTCCGAAAAGGACTCACTGTCCACAACACCTACCAAACGCGGCGGCCATAATGCAGCGCACGCTGGCGACGCGCTCGGACGTACTCGCAAGCGAGTACTCCGTTCGTCGATTCCGGTCATGCGCGGAGAGAAGAGAATTTGCCCGCTTTCATTTAAATATTTTCAATCGCAATTCAAAAACAATTTATAATAATAACGATTGAATGTGATAATTAAAATAATGGAATAATAATAATAATAATAATAATGATACTGAATATTAATATTGATAGATAATAATAATATAATAAGAATAATAATAATAATAATATAAATATTAATAAATAATAATATTAATAATAATAATATTAAAAATGATATTAATATTGATAATATTAATAATAATATTAATAATAATATATTAATAATAATAATATTAATATAATAATGATATTAATATTGATAATAATATATATTGATAGTAATAATATTAAGTAATAATAATATTAATATTAATAAAATTAGTATATTAATACTAATACTTATTATATTATTTATATCAAGCAGGACTATTGAAAATATTATTCAAACTAATCGACCAATCACAATCGAGTATGTAAAAATGCTTGATTGTGATAGTCGATTTATTATATGTACGATATACCGAGGAGTACGCAAATTTAGAGAGGAAACTCTAATCTAATCGATGACAGATGTGTTCGTTGTTGCTGCACTTTCTTAAAATGAACAGAACCCAAATGTAATAATATTTTTTTATGCATGTGTATGACATTGTCAATGTTGAAATTGAGCAGTGCTCTTTTCGTCTCCCGGTCCGTTTGTAGAATAATACGTAAAAATTGTTGCATAAATATGGCAAAGAAAACTGCAATTTTGCTGATTGCCGATGGATCGGAAGAAATGGAAGCCGTGATAACTGCTGATATCCTAAGACGTGCCGGGGTACGTTATCTATTATGATTAGACAAGTATAAAAATTCATATATTCCCCGGAAAATAAAAATTATACGATATATATTATATTAAAGATATATTTTCATATAATTCCCGGAAAATAAAATTTATACGATAAATATATATCTTTCATAACAATTACGTGTTTGCATGTCAATGTTTGACAATTGTCAAAATTTTATAATGAGTTTTAAATCTCATCTACTAATCGTGTTTCACGTAATAAATTAAAATTATATTAATTATTTTCATTGAAAAAGATATTTTTGCTAACTTAACATGCTATGTGAATAATTGTTGATTGTTATAATTAAATGTATAGATTGCTGTTACCATAGCTGGGCCTATCAGATGCTAACTGCGTAAAGTGTAGCGTGATGTTAAAATCTGTGTGGATGCCAAGTTTGCTGATGCTGTTAACAATCAGAAGTACGATGCTGTCATTTTACCAGGTGGTCTTGGTGGATCTAAAACATTTGCATCTGTAAGATTATTTAAAACTATAATATCATAATGCATATATGATTGTATAATTTAATGTAATATACGATTATAAAATTATATAATATTATCTAATATGTTTCTTAGTCTGCAGAAGTTGGAAAGCTGTTACAAGAACAAGAAAAGGAAGATAGATTAATAGCAGCTATTTGTGCAGCTCCTACAGCTTTAAAAGCTCATGGCATTGGCAAAGGAAAACAAATCACTTCTTATCCAGCCATGAAAAATGATTTAATCGATGAATACGAATATCTAGAGGATAAAGTAGTGATGGATGGTAATAATTTATTTAACAAAATATGTTCATTAAATCACACACATCTAAAAGCTTTGTTCAAAATGATATTGATTTAATATTTTTATAGGTAATCTCATAACCAGTCGAGGACCAGCGACTGCCTTTGCCTTTGGCTTAGCTATTTTGAAAAATTATTGAGCAAAGAAGTAGCCAGTACTGTGGCAAAAGGACATTATACGAGGGACTACAAATAAATTTGCCTATTTTGTCAAAGTGTTACCGTATACATAAAATAATCACTGTATAAATTTTGCAATATCTCTGGCTTAAAAAGATATGTTTATTTGTATACATGAGTGCATGTAATATATAAATTATGACAAAAGTAAATAATTATATAAAAAAAAAAATATAATAATTATATATTTAATTATATTTAAATATAATAATGATATTTAATAGAAAAATTAGATATAAAGTTATATAATATATAATTAAAATAACAGTTATAAAAATAAATTATTTTTATTATCAAAATTATTTGATACAGAAGAGATAAATAAGTATGTGAAGAAAAAAAAGAGTGCAGAAAGTGCAGGTATATCGAGCGGGAAGCCCGACGATTCCGCCATAAGCGAAAACTTTGGACAACGTCGACAGGTCCTCACCGTTCGATCTCATTCGTGGTGCGGGATCGGCTTGCGAATTATCATCGGACACGCGATGAGGGACAATTAGAGCGCGTGCGTGAGACGCGTCAGTAATGCCCGGTTTAGAAGAGGATATTTCGCACGACACGAGTCCACCACCCACGCGCGCCCTAATGTCCGATGGGGATCATGCAGTGACCGAGCAAGTGAAAAGATACGTCTTCAAATCGCGAAACACGCAAAGTTGCGCGCAAGCCGACGAGGGCGAGGATAGCCTGGAGATCCTTATTCCGGAGGTGAGCGATGACGAGTCCGCGCGGATGACGTTTACGGCCGACCGACTCCCGGCGAACGCGAGCTACCGGTATTACGTGCAGCTTTTGGGTTAGATTGCATCTCGACGCGATATTTCACCCGGGGGAAGCTGCGTCGAGCCTTCTGATTAATTGCATTTTTCTTGCTTTTTTTATTATTTTATTTTTTCATTATATTATTAATGTACGGTATGCATCCAAAATCTGTAGCGATAACACGTGTATTTATATATATGTAATGATCCTCCTTACAATTATTATTAAAATAATTGTAATTGTAAATATTAATTAAATGAATGAAAATATAATTAAATAAACAAATTATTACTATTTATAATTTAGAGTATGTATTCAAATTATATACTAAAAATACTTTATACATTGTTTTAGGATGATGACAGATTCAGCAATGACTATTACATAACTTAGAATTGCAAGAAAATAAGCTTCTGGATAAATAATTTCCAGAAAGCATGGATTCCAAAAACGAAGAACTCTGTTTAATCGCTATTTTGTTGTTGATTGCAGTTGCTGCAGGCTAATTACAGCTTTTATACTTGGCCCTGTGCATGTGTGCTCGCTTGGTACCTCTGGGAACACAGGGAGAACCTGCTCGGCAAGCGTGTCTTGGAGCTCGGAGCTGGTACCTCGTTACCTGGTATTCTCGCTAGTAAATGTGGTGCGATTGTTACCTTGAGCGATTCTGCGAACCAGCCAAGGACTCTGGAGCACATCAGGAGGTGTTGCGAAGTGAACGGAATCGCTGATCAAGTACGAATCATCGGCATCACCTGGGGCTTCTTCTGTCCAGCTTGTTTTCGCTTGGACAGCTGGACTTGATTATCGGGTCGGACTGCTTCTACGAACCCACCCTGTTCGAGGATATAGTGGTCGTCGTAGCTTTTCTGCTGGAGAAGAATCCACGCGCGAGGTTTCTCTGTACGTATCAAGAGCGCAGCGCAGATTGGTCCATCGAGCATTTGTTGAATAAGTGGGGCCTTTCGTGTATGCACGTAACACTGGATAATCTTGGCGCAAATTCCAACATTAATGTACACGAATTGATGCAGGATCACACGATACATCTGTTAGATATACATCGGGCGGAATAAAGTCAATCAATCACCTGCCATGGCTGGTAATGGTTTCATCCGATACATGATTCATATCTCTAATATTCCTTGGACAGTGGGTCGTCACGAGCTTGCTCTGTATTTTTCTCAGTTCGGATATGTGCAGGACGCCGCTGTAGTATTCGATAGACAGAGCGGTCTCCATCAGAATCACGGACACGTAGCGTTTTTGAAGAAGCAAGATGCGGATGAGGTGTTTAAACGTAAGCATACTCTAGAGGGGAAAGATTTAATTTTGTCCGTGAAGAAAAACAGCGACGATTCAAATAACGTTAGCACGTTGAATTGAAAGGGCACACCCGCGAATTTGTAAATTGAAAATGGCCGAGAGCGATTTAAGTATAACTATAACCGACTTAGAGGAAACCTTCAACCGAGCTGCCAAGCATCTGCGAACATTAGTAACGGAATTAGATGCGGGTCAGTTACTTGGATTTTACGGTCTGTACAAACAGGCGACCGTGGGTTCTTGCCACATCCCGAGACCCAATTGGTATCAGGTGCAAGCAAAGCAGAAATGGGAAGCATGGAAGAATCTCGGGAATATGAGCCGCGAGACCGCGATGGCCGACTACATCCACGCCATCGCGAAGGTAAACCCGTTGTGGGAAGAAGAGGCGAAGGCCGAATCTCCGGGCTGGACTTCTGTTAGTAAATTATCCAACACGGATGCGGAATTAAGCGATGTGGATAAGACGTTCCTGGATTGGGTGAAGGAGGGCAACGAGGCGAAGGGCGGGAGATCTTGAACGGCGAACCCACGCTCGTCAACGTCTTGGACGAGGACGGTTTGTTACCGATACACTGGGCCGCGGATCGCGGCCACGTCGGAATCGTAGAGCACTTGGTCCGAAATGGCGCGAATGTCAATTCGCAAGATCGGGACGGACAGACGCCTCTACACTACGCGGCGAGTTGCGGTCACGCGGATGCGGTCAAGTATCTGCTTTCGAGCGGTGCTCAGACTATAGCCGATAACGACGGTATGACACCCAAAGACGTCGCCGACGAGCATCTTGCGGCTCTTTTATAATGCTATACTAGTGTTGTATACATGCACATGTGTAATAATACGATTGTTTTTCTGTGTTTGCATATATTAATAAATCCAGTGGATATTGATAATCTGGATGTGTGACGGAGTGCCTTAATCCATTTATCCGCGTTCTAATAGAGAGTAAATCTTTATTTATGTACAAATAACTCCTCTAATAGTCCATTACATTCACAGCCTAAGCACACCTTGGGTAAATGCGTGATTTGTCATTGGCTAGATTTTTATAAATTTAATTCGCTGCTTAATTAATTAATATTGTGAATACGAAATAATTTAGAGATAATACCATATAATTCAAGCGCGCATATACATATTTGTAGAGAATGCGAGGTTTGTCATTTTTAGAAACAATAAAATTTAAGAAATAACAAGAACCAATGTCGATTCTCATGATTATATAATTTAGAAACCTAATTCATATCATACGCTTAATATTCTGATAAAACTCTATTTCTTTTTCTTCATAAAATATAATCATTGTTAACAAATATTATATCTATCTCTCTACCCATAATTAAAGGGTAATACTAATTAAATAATACTGCATTTTTATTTGGAGATAACTATAAAAACATTCATATAATGTTTGAAAATTCATATAATTTTCATTGCAGAGAAAATAAAAATCTATTAATTTATTGCATAGATAAAATTTCAAATAAAATATTTTAATAAATGCAAATAATATACATTTTGAAATATTAAATGTTAATTTTAAATATGTATTAAATACATAGCTTCTTCCACAAGAATAGATAGAAGATCATATATTTATATTTGTATGTAAGTAATATTATTTTATTATAACTGCAAGTTAATTCTTTAAATTTTGCAAATCTAGCATTCTCTTTCGATACAAAGTGCAATAAACTCGGGATCTTGTAGGTATATTACAAATTTTATTCGAATAATCTATAAAATGACACCTGACAAGTTTTGAAGTATAAATTCAAGAAACTTTTTTGTGTTGTTTAATTGTAAATTATAAAAAAATTACGTATATATTTCGTATGTTATGTTTACGTTATGTTTATATATCACATATATTTTGAAAAAGGGAAGAAATTAACAAAGATGATTTTTGAATATGTATAATAATGACAAGTGTCTCTATTGTAGATATATTTGATATGTATAGACTCAACTGGCAACAATTATCTTATTGGTAGTCTGATAATTCAAGATCACGAGTTTATTGCATGTAAATATTTCGTGAGATTTAAATGTAAAAATTAATGTTTAATTATATTAGAAAAGAATCTTTCGCTTTTCAGATATTAACACTAATTCAGAATCATGTATCAAATATAAGGTGCCGATGCGTTCATTTTTTTCCAGTATTTTATAACGATTAACAAACAATCCTTGCTAATAAATATCACCCGTTAATTCAATTCCAACATACTGATCGTGTCAGTCCTTTCAAACATTAATTCATTTTTCCTCTTTTAATGGACGTATCAATTAAAAATTTATATTTTTAACGCTGATGTTATTTAACGTTTTGCAGACTAATGTTGATTCTGATAATAACTTCAACTTTGTATATTGAGCACACAGAATTTTGTGCACTTCAATATTTACAGTAAAAATGCGATCTAAACTCATATTCTTATTCTTAGAGCTCGTCTCTTCTTATTCGCAATAAGTATAAAAATTGGTAATAAGCTGCAAAAATATCATGATCGATTACGAAATTAGATAGATGTATACCTAAAATTGGTTTCAATACAACACACGGCGTGCTAGAAGCTGCCGAATGCAAAACGTCCAAATGCATATCTATGTGAATCCTCCTGTTTTTTACCGTATAATGGCAATTATCAACACGCTCTTCTCATTAGATTATCCATTGGAATATAATAAGAAGTCGTATAAATAGGGAGATCACGGGAAAATAGAGTAACTTTGTCCGAATATTATCAAATCTACGAATATACTCGCCTCCTTTGCAATTCCCGATGATGGACGAACGCGTGTCGATGTTTCTTTATACAATCACAATGCTTCTCATCGATCGAAAATTCCCATTAATTCTTTGTCCGTGTATAGATTTTTACTGATGACATCATGCGTGTAAAATCTTTATCTTTTAACAATAGACATCGGCGATAGTTCATCGAGAGTTCTTTCAAGGTCGCGATTGTCTCTCGCACCGCGCATCGAGCTCCATTAAGGCTCCTGGCTCCTCATCGATCATGTTAGAATTATGACGTCAGAACCGGGAAAATACGCTAAAAATTCTTAGATGATATTTCATAATAAAAAGATATTTCGATAAAACAGCACTTCTTTTCCCTTTATGAGCAATCAACAGCTGTAAAATGACTGCAATATGAGGCCCAGTCTGGTCTTGGCACAAGTGTCATTCCACATGTTGAGGAAAAAGAATAACTTTCGAGGTATTTTCAAAGTATACTAAAACTATCTGAAGTAGTATTTCAACAAAATATATTTTCATTTAAAAATGACATCTAAGAATGTGTTTCAGCATGTGCTTTCTCCCCGCTGACGTCAAAATCTAACATAACCGTGGCGAGGATCCAGGAGCCTTAAAGATTAGTGCTTTCTTGCTCCGATTTAGGCCGGGCAGTAGGAGGCGGCGGCGGTGGCGGTTGCGGCCTGGGTGGTCGCTGATGAACTCTCGGCGAGGCTGGTTTTTGTTGCGGCGACTTGAGAACCGTCACTATTGTGTTGGTCTGCGTTTGTACGTCCATAATATTACCCTCCGATCTGGTTCGTGCATGGGCCTTGGTTTGTTCGTGAGGCATGTCCTGCTTCTCGGGCTTCTCCGAACGTTCGGTGCCGTACAACGACATCGACGACGGCCGGCTACCTACGCTTGGGCTTCTCTGCAAGTTCGAAGTTGCCGTGTTGCCAGTGCTCTCGATGCCCGGGATGGCACTGTTCCCCCCACGCACTTGTATTATACTGACCTGTTGCTTGTCCACAGAGTACACGTGAGCCCTTTCCAGTGTCAAAGGCTGTAGACAATTTTAACAAGAACATTTCATTTTGTAGAAATTTTACTGTGTAACAAGACACGTTATTTTATATATGAACATAAAATAAAGAGCGAATATACTATGTGAAAAAGCTTCAGATCAGATCAAAGTGCGATTTTTACGTCAAATATAGCTTACGTTACGTCTCAAAATGTAATATCCAGGCAGTTATTTGTTGTCCACTTGTAGTAACTACATTCGTTACAAATGATTATCACTTAGGTGTAAAAAGAAATAAAACTTTTTACTGCATCAAATTGTTTTACTCACCCCTGGATCAGTTTCTAGATTGTCATTCGTAAGACGCGGCTGTTGTCTAATGAGACTTGATGGACGAACTAAGCCGGGCGGTCGCTCAGGGATCGCTGGTTTACCGCTTTTTTCATTTGGAGATACATGCATATTTGTAATATTGCTGTCTAATTTTTTACGTAATTCAACGCCTTCTTCTGCAATAATTAGATAAAGCAAAGATTAGATTAACATTATAAAACAAGTGTGAAAAGCAATACATATAAATTAATGTAAAATAACATTAAGAAAAATATATCACCTGTGTTATGCACGATATTTGTTATACTTCTTGGTGCCGCAACTGGTCTTTTCCTTTCTAACGTAGAAGGTTTTTCTGTAGGCACTGGTTTTGGTTTCTGTACTATAATTTCACTATGCTCGATTTCTGTAATTATCTTAGCATTATCGGACGAATTGCCATTTGGTTTCTCTTTTGCACTTGATACATTTACTTTCGCGTCATATCTTTGTAGTTCTTGGGTACTTTTATCCACGTCATTGAAGACTTCACTTTGGTGAGTGCTGGTTTCTTGTAATCGTTCGGGATTATCAACAAAACGAGATGATTCGATCGGAATCGGTTCCGAAGTTGATTTCATATCCATTTCCATATGTTTATCATGCTTCTCTACGTTGCTTTCGGGTCGTATCAATTCGGTGTTTACTTCGTGTTTCTGAGCCTTATACGTTGATCGATTTAGAGTAGATGTCAACGCTCTCGGTGGTTTGTCCGGCGTCGGGGTGGCTTGTCGTCTCTCTTCTCATGCCTGTCCGGAGTATTGGCATTCGGTGGTGTTGGTGCTGGTTTATTTTTTCGACGCGCCGCCGGTTTCGGACTGCCTTGCGTTGGACTTTCGCCGTGATCACTGAGACTACTGTTGGATACACAACGACGCATACCAATATTCTGATTTTCCGTATCATTCATGATACCGATCTCCAGATCACGATCAAAATCTACTTCACCAGGGAAGAACCAATCTGCATATGTAATTAATTGGTCTACTATAAGACTAGAGTTGTTTGCTGTACTCATATTCATTCTGCAATAATAACAAGAGTGTATTTTTAATAGCAGAGTATTGATCAAGCTATAATTATTTAAAATACACAAATAAATGTATAATGTATATAAAATTGCTTACACCATCGTATTTGCGTCCTCTTGCGGACTCCAAATCAGATTTGGTGCAATGACAATGGCGATGTTTTGCGGTGTCATTTTATTTATATCTTGATTTTTCGTGAGCACAGCTAAGAACTTAATTAAAAACCGCAAATTTTCCAAGTTTGCTGGTGGCAGTTTATGTAATACCTCCCAAAGAGCTCGCAACCTCGTATCATTGTGCGAAATTTTGGCCGCAGCCATCCATTCGTGATACAATCTGAATAATTATAGATACATTATGTACAAAATGATAACAATTACTGATATTAATTAAGAATAATCTTGATACTTGCTTGTACGTCAATAGAGGCTCCGGTAATTCTCGTAAATACGATTTCAACGCGCCAGCAATAACATGCGGATCTTTGTATTCAAGGGCCGTTGCTAAACTAAGGCAACAAGCATCTAGACTTAATTTAATTCGTCGCGATTTCGACGCGGCGCCAGCTATTCTAAAAAGACCTTCCTCCTCTATACCCAAACGCAATAATGCAGATACACATAATTGTATGGGCAGTGCAATTTTTCTGTTTGTCACCCTAAGATGTTCTTCAAGAGGATATCCATAGACTGGTTTCATTTCATTATCATCTGTAATTAATCATCGCATAAGTATCTTTCACTTGTAAGTTATATTAGAGTGTTTATTACATTAGATTTATTATATTATTATAATAGTTATTATATATTAAAAATTTTCCTTATAAAAAAAAGCATATCTAGCTAGAAAACAGATGAAACTTACTAATATAACTCTCCAAACCAGGTATAAGATCTTCAAGACAATGCAATGCACTTTCATGATATGCTCGCTGAAGTTTTATATATTGGATAATTGTTTGAGCTAGTTCAGTCTCCCGCGACATAAGCTGAAACATTTCTGCAGCCAATTGATCTCTGCATTGTTCAACTTTCGATTCGGCATCTTCTAATTCTTCCTTCAAATTATCTATCTTTGTTGCACCTGTACCTATACGAAATATAAAATTTTAATAATTTTTAGAATTCAGTGTTCCTATAAATTATATTAAATACTTATATATTTGCTTTAAGCAAGATAAATTGGAAAGATATAATAATGTGATAAAAAGAAATAAAATCTAAATTTAATATGTTTAAAATACTGTTGTTATATAATTCTTCAACTAGAGATTTTTTTTTTACATTTGATGATTATTACCAGTGCTGTGTTTAATTGCTTGAAAATATCTTGTTCTAGCACTGTCCATATCTAAAATGTGACGTGTCAAATTCCTTTTATGCTTCAATATATTTGGTACATCGGTATCTAAAATATGCTGTAATGGAGCAGCCACATATTGCTCGACTTTTGCCTCATGTTCTACAGTTTCATTAGCCAGTGACATTTGCACTCGTCCACATTCTACCAATGCAAAACTCATGAGACCGTCTTCACCAGCATTCTCCAACATGGTTTGTCCAAGTATATACTCGGGACATTTTTTCTAAGAAATAAAATAAAATTTAATATATGTAACAGTTGTTAAATCTAATAGTAGAAGAAAATAGAGCAATTAAAGCTTAAATTTTGATACAATAATCATTGATAAGATTTATTTTGAATATACTTAAACTTTTATTCTCATTTAATCTAAATCTACTGATATAACTCAATTATTTACCAAACGTTTTTCCTTAAGAACTTGGTCTTGTGTAATAGTTTGGTTTGGTGGGTTTCCGAGTCTTTTACTGAGACCGGTAAGAGCTGCTCTAATCTGTTCAACATGCTTGTCAGCAGCCACTAAATCATCCGTTAATACTTCTGTTCTACCAGCTCTGTGCATGTAAAAAATCAAATTTCAGTTAGATATCCTATATTTAATTGCAAGAAAATCTTATCTTTTATTTTTTACAGACGACTTTGTTTTATCTCTCCTAATCTACCCAATATCCATATGCGAGTAATCAATTTTGGAATACTTTAATCTAGAATTTATCTTGCAATGAATCATATTTTTGCTCAAATATAATCTGTGCAATCATAATTTTGATAAATGACTTCTAACACAAAAATATTCTAGTTCCTTCTCCGCTGTCGTAATTATAGTATTACAAGTATTTTGTGCAGCAGCGAAAGGTTTTTTTATTATCCAATTCAATGTAATATATATGTAATTGATAAAGAATGAAGATAATTGAAGATACTTGACGCGGTATATAGAATATGTAGATACAATTGAGGCGATTGGGAAGAATATAACTGATACATGATCGATGTATCTTGATCTGACAGATCAGCTAACCTGGAGAAGGTCTGATCGGCCAGTTGCTTCACCCGGAAGAATTGTTTCTTCATGGTTGACCAAGCTGAAACTCGATGACACTAGACACTGAAAGTCCTACGGTTCGCGAACCGTCCCGATCTCGCGATCACTTTTTTCACACACCGATACCTCTCGACTCGCACTTAGGCTCGCGCATTCTTCGCGGTTCCTTCGGAGCGGATCAGCGCGACGAGGAAGCTCCGCGTTGACAGGGAGGGTCCTTCGTGTCGCGGCAAGGGCGAGTGTCCGTCATGATGTTTGTACAATGAGCTCATAGCCGGCGCTGAAAACAGATACGTTTACAGTTGATCTATTCTCGTGCACCATCGATAAAAGTCCAGCGATAAAAAAAGGCGTCCCGGGGAGCCGAGGCCTCTTCAGCACCGGCGATACCCTGGATAAATTTGGGTTAAGTAAATCTAACTTTGCACTTTGCCGTCCTTTCCTCTCTTCCTTCTTCTTCTTCTCCTCGTTCTCTCTCTTTCCTTCTAGATTATAATAGACAATGAACGAACATTAGCCGCAATAGCCGAGGGATCCCGATGACAGTTCGGTGACGTTTGAGGTTCGCCGCGATTCTGACGTTGTCGTATCACGTCGAGCTTTTCAAGCCCGATTTTCTCCACGTTTTCCTTGATTTTCCTCGTCGTAAAATATTATTGCGAGGTAGCAGAATCACGGTTTACGTACTACTTGTTCTTCGACGCACACGATGACGACAACCTCGAAGTCGACGTATTCCAGCGCGATTCACCGATTACCGACGTATATTCGACGCCTTTCTTTTTATCCCCTTTAACAGGAATCACTCTCGAATCCCTCTCGCGATAACGCGACCACACGGCTAATATAAAAGTCCGTCTAAACCCGCGCAAAATCGCTCCGTTCCTCAATCGCTCCCCTTTACCCTTGAGACTCGCCCAAGGATCGATCGTGCGCATTGTATCGATCTACGGGAAAATCGAGCAATCGATACCGGGTGACGTAACGATACATCGCGATTCTTCATACGAAATACAAACAATTCCGTAAAAAAATGTTTCAATATTTTGTTATGTCGGCTAAATACATAGTGTAAAAAAGAAAAATTTTTTATAATTATTCTAATTACTCACAAACATTTTTAATCTCACTTCAAACATCTTCATACGAAACACAAACGATTCCATAAGGAGATTTTTTAAAATTGCGTTGAGAGTCGGCTAACTCGATACGAATGCATCGCGTCGATCTCTACGGAGAAATCGAGCGATCGATACGGGTGACGTAACGATATATCGATGGAGTTGATCGATATATCGCCAACTTCACGGCTCGCCAGCAGTTTTATACAGCGCTGTCGTGCGCTGGCTCGTGTGTTTTCACTTCTACCATCCACGCGGATGGTCATCTGTCAACGGCAGCAGTCGTCTGTGAGAAATTCGAGCCGAGACCGCGCGCGAAACGCGAATCGATACAGCGATATCGCTTTCATTTTGTGACAGCTACGTGAAATCCTTCCCGCGACCATGGCTCTAGATCGGCCCTTATTCAACGTCTTGATCCTAAGTTTTGGATTTATGCTGGTCTTCACGGCGTTTCAAACGATGGGCAACATAGAGGTGAGTGTAGATAGTATAGTACATGTATCTATTATTATTATTACGATTACGTTACACTTCCGCGCATTTCCCTATGCGCAGTGCTTGAATATATAAGGTTCCAGCGCAACATTCCACAGCAGTGTATGTGTGTTTTGAATAATAATAAATTATGTCAATATATAGAGATAGAGAAAAATGTTATATATATTTTTATAACAAAATTTTAGAAATTTTTTGACATTTTGAATAGTATTCTTTCAGAAATAAATTTGATCTATAATAAATAAGTGATTAAATGTTACACCATCGGTAATAATTGCTCGCCTTTTTCAATTTTGCATTTGCATTTTTGCAAACTTGCATATTTGACGTATTTACTTATGTCCGCATTGAATATTATTAAATTGAAAACTCAAATAATCAAAATAAACTTAAGTAAAAAATATAAGAAATAATTTAATATTATAAGAAGATTTTTAAAAAGACATACGTGTGTATATAGATGTGTCTGTGCGTTTATTATGTTTATTTTTAAATACCTTCATTACGTTAGCGAGGAAAACACATTTTATGTTAATTTCGCATAATTATTTTTTAAAAATAATAAAACAATTAAAACATAGTATATATAATTTAAAATAAAGAAAGAAATATTAGTAAAAAAATACATAATAAACACACGCGTCTAGTTAAAATATTTTAATTTTTACAATCTCGAGAATAATGTTGGGGAGGAAACATTGTGATTTATAACACAATCTTCAATTCTCTCTGTAACATGCAAGCACTATCGAATTAATGGCACGATTGGATAATACCCGATGATCAACATTGTGATTTTGTGCTGCACGTCTGTGAACGTTTGATGACGAGCGAAATTTCAATTACGTTTAGGCATTATTCAAATGCGAGCAATTCATTTGAATTATTTTCGCATTTTTACACTCACTCGCTCTAATTTGAGGACGAAAATAATTTCGAAACGTGCGAATATCTAAATACAATTTAAATTCAGATTAAATAAATAACAGAAAAATTAATTTTCTTGAAATTAATATATATCTGGATATCAAGTATTTGACTTTCGCAATTATTTGCATTATAACGCGACGAAGCGTTTGTATTAAATTGTTTTGCATTGTAAAATATTAGAAAGTACAGATCGGGGACATTACGCGCGTTATTAATCGTGGTTTAGAAAGTACTACAAAAGGCAAACAACTAACTGGTCACGATCTCCGGACTGGAAACGCCTCTAAATTCTACGATATCATTTTATCGGCTACTTTCGGCAGATTACAAAACGTATGATTTACGAAATACGTATATATTAAATACACTACAACCCTTTATAGAATCTCTTTTTCCCCAAAGATTAAGCAATGTTTGGGTCAGATCGTTGACGCTAAAAGAGCCTTGAGGTCAATTTTTTATTATTATTTGTACACCTTTTCTCATATTTCATTTATATATTTCTATATAGAATTTCGTCTTGTTTTTCTCTAACACTTCATTATATATCTTGATTATCTGAGGTCAAAGATCTATTATGTTTTCGGAGTATTGCACAGTATTTTTATGATAAAACTTTATACTTCAGCTTACATAATTTCCCCGGATATCTACCAATTCACAAGTGTTGTGTTCCGGCAAACCGCTGTATCTGTCAGTCATTACCAGCTGCGCATTATCTCTGCATTTTATAAGTGTCTTTAGATATTTATGAGCGATTTTTTAATAGCGCGAATAATTGATCGTCGCGGCGTACAATGATCTTTGTTCACCCGCTCACTATAATGACATATTACGTCTGATTAGCTTGCGAAAGTTGTCGCAGATTAGTCAGATATTTTATAGACAGAGACACAGTATAACGATAATATTTTTGCATCGTTCGTGCCTTAACATTTTTTCAATAAATAAAGAGGAATCATGTTATTTAACTGTGAGAAGAAAAAAAATTAAATTTTGTAATAAAAGTTAATTATTCACGAAAATATTCCAAAGTAATTAAATTAGAAAATCTTCGAGTTTCTCTCTTTCAAACCAGAAATATTGCGTAATTTCGTTAAATCTTTGAAATACTCGTTTTGTAGAGTTTTTTTTATTAATTGAGCTTAATAGTATCTTAAAAACTTTTGCATTCCTGATTTAAAATACCTAATTTTTGGATATAATTTTTTTAAAATCATGTTCAAATTCATTTATCTGTTTGAAATAAAATTAGTTTAAAATTATAATCCTTTATATAAACTACAAATATTAAAGCGTTTCTCTAGACGATTCTTTATGACACATATTTTTTTGCATAACAGTTTTATTATCGCATTGATTGACTTACTTTGTATATTTAATCGTGAAAGGCTTAGCATATCGGTTACGTCAATTTTTTTCAAGAGTTAAGATTAATTAATCCTCTCTCTTATAGAAAGATATCGATATGTATGATGTAGATATATAAATTCGGTTTTGATTTTACTATTACAATCAATGTCACTTTTTATAAGAAGTTGCAGCTTGTTATCACATGTAAATATGATAATTAAATTGCATTTAGAAGAATTTTCCATTACTGATTGTCCTTCGCCTCATTATTTCATACGCATCAAATTAATAATTCTAGTGGGCTAATTCGATGTTAATTAGGAGTGCATTCTGCCAGATCGTAATCGGGTCATTATCAAATGGAAATTGGCAATCGTTCCTTATTCGATGACATCAATATTCTAATCGTAAATTATACGGGGTGTGGAATTAGAAAGAAGAGAGAAATTAAAAGTAAGAGGCTTCGTATCTTCGGATTGCCAAGTTTTACATTTTTCATCGTTTAGAATTTTTCTTCAAAACGAGAAATGAATCGGGGACTCTTTTAATTATCAAATTTTTAAAAATAGAACTGCTGATTTCACGGAGGTGGCGAAGGAGAAAGTTCGTGAGCGTTTATCAATGTGAAATGAATTACATACTAGATGTGCTCCATAATTGCATCCGCCAAAACCTGTCCGAAGTAACCGGTTCTCAACCAAATTTACGTTTTGTGTGTCCTTCGCCACGTGCAACTAAAAAAAAAACAAAAGATCATGATTTTAAGCTTACAAAGAATTATCCGAATTTTGTACAAAGTTCGAGATAATGCACGCCAGAAGAATCCTCGATCATTTCTTCCTCGCAGCTCAAAAAAAAAAAAAAAAATATAAATATAAAACAGTACGCCTTTCTCGGCTGATGTAACTATTCGAGGCACACAACTTAGTCTCCTTTCACTTTTAGGCTCGATAGGACGACATGAAAGCAAAAGGGGAAGGGATCGTAATGTTATAGTTATCTATATGACAATATACGTTTGTCAATTATATATAATTTATGACTAATCTGTGATATTTTTAACTACCTGATAAATATATGTATATTGTGCAAATGCCCCTTAATAATTAAGTATAATAGCTTTAAAATAGTAGAAGCAATTTATAGAGCTCTTGTAATGTCGTTTAATATGCAAGATACGGAATTATATCATTACCGGAAGAGATAAAAGAGATAAGAAAATAAAATAATAAAAGAGTAATATAAATATACAATTGCATGCTATAATCTCGAATTTTCGCGCAATCGCACATATAATTAAATTAAATTTTACCTTTGAAGAAGATTCTGCGCAAAATATTTTATAAAAATTATTTTATCTTATATCATATAATTAAATAATTTATGTAGAAAATGCAAGTATACATAATTATTAAATGTAAAATGTTTCAGAATTTCCGCACTTTTTTATGTATAAATTCCTTCCTATTCTCGAAGTTATGAATTTGCAGAATAATTAGTAATGTAAGAGCAACGTAAACATCTATCTCTAATCTTCCAATACCACAACAATTTTATCGAACATACGTATCTTGATATATACTTTGCACCCGATTCTTAAAGAATCTCAAAATAAGGTTACAAAAATATTCGCTAATGAAATATGTCGTTATCTTACCGAAAATCCCATTTATTTATCGCTTACGTCATTATCTTGACATAGATCACTGCATTTACGCAAAAAAATATAAGTGATTGGTAACAAAATAATCAAGTTGTATAGGATAAGGATACAAATATTGTAACAAATAGATTTTAACTTAAAAATAATTAAAAATTTTAACATTTTATGTTACGACTTGTATCTCTGATATTATATTAATGTATTCATCATATTGCATTATTAGAAACGTATTACGAAAAGAATATTTATAACGAAACAAATATAACAAAATTACGAAAGAATACAAAGATATCTTTTTTTATTTTTCTTTGACATCAGAATTTACTTGTATGGCCTATAATTTGTTGTTTAATAAAGTTATCGCTAACACGATAAATATTACGTTACCTATACTGATATGACTATTGATTACAAATTTTATTTTTAACGCCAACGAGATTTGATTATGTTGTTTATCATAAAATAATAGGTCAGAAATGAGATTAAACTATTACTTTCTCATAGATATATGAATAAAGTACAATTAAAATTATTGCACTTTCAATGCATTCGATCATATTCATGTCCTATACTTTATAGTTATATAGATAATTCTTATTTATTTTATTTTTAATAATATATCTGTCTTTTTCTCACTGTGTGAACTGATTATATTTATATAGCGTTTTTGAATCTTGTCTGAAAAATTTCTAATTTTGACAAATTCTTGCTGAAACATTCCACGTCATTATTTTTTTAAGATAACGGAATTTCAAAGAAATATAATGCTGATATTTCTAAAGCATTTATATTTTCAGATTATCCTTGGTTGAGATAAAAATATAGTCTTGTTTTAGTATGTAAATACAGAAAAACCAGTTTCAGACTTAAAATAAACGAGATACCGGAACCAGCATGAAATTCAATGCCAATTTTACTTTTTATTAGCATTTTTCGAATTCTTTTCTGTCTCTCATTTGATCACTTTCAATTTCTCACATTTATATGGAAATATAAAAATCTATAAAAATGATTGTCATTCGGAATATATTTTTCCGAGAGATTTTTAATTGTGTAAAAATATTCACATTTTTATAGAAAATATTTAAAATTAAATATTGAGATTAAAAATAAAAGAATACAAAAGAGATATAAATGTTCGCAGAAAAGAACTTAAAAATCAATACTCCAAAATTAATGTAGAAATTACGGAGAGTATATTTTCAGAGAAGAGCAAATCTTTTAAGAACATCTTGTATTCAAGACACAAAAGACAGTTTCTCTTTTCATTTGACATTTCGCGATAATTACCATTTGGCATTTCTAAACCGATGAATAAGTCGTCAGTACAAGAAAACAAGTCTACAATAGTCTATTACAATGTCGCTACACAGTTATGTACATAATAATAGCACCGGTTGAAAAAATGAGGGGAATTTGTTTATTTCCTGCAGCATCGAAAAGTGATTATTAAAGGATTCCCTGATATTCGTCAGTTCGTTCCAAGACCACAAGTCAGAATTTAATCCTAGATATACAATGAAGACAGTTAAACATGGTGGAGGAAACAAATACAAATTCCCTCATTTTTTTAAACGATGCTATTATTTTGCACATAACTATATATAGCTACGAATTTAAGAAAATATACATATATACTTTTCTTATCCGTAGAAAACTATTCTGACCAGCATCCAAAAGGACGACACCAGTTTCAACGCGGACGCTTACATCAGTCTAGCCATCATCTACGGCGTGTTCGCGACCTGCAACTGGTTGGCGCCGTCTTACATCTCGGTAACGGGTCCACGAGTGGCCATACTCACTGGCTCCTGTTGCTACGTCCTGTTCATCGCCTCGTTCTTCTGGCCGCACGAGGGATTTTTGTATGGTGTATCAGCCGCCCTCGGAGTAGGCGCCGCCCTCATCTGGACCGGACATGGACAATATCTTACGGAGAACAGCGACAATGAGACGATGTCTCGAAACGCCGGTATATTCTGGGCGATTTTCCAGACATCGCAGTTCGCCGGCAATCTCTTCGTCTACTTCACGTTCAAATCGCCCGAGATTAATCCCGAGCAACGAACAATCGTTTTCGGCGTGCTGACCGGGCTTGCGGTGATCGGCACCGTTGTGCTGGCGACTTTGAACAGATCACCGCAGAAATTATCCCTGGGCGAAGCCGAGGGGGTGTCCAGCGCCGACAAGGAGCTACGGCTGCCGGAACCGAGGCGCAGGAAACCTCTGGAGGCTGCGTGGAGCGCCTTCGTAGACGCGATCGGACTCTTCCTCACGCCATACATGCTGCTGCTGTCGTTCACGTTCGTCTACACGGGTCTCGAACTCACTTTCTACTCCGGCGTTTACTCGAGCAGCGTCGGCTTCACCAAGGCCATGGGCGAGGATCGTAAAAGCCTCGTAGGCTTGTCCGGTATCTTCATCGGACTCGGCGAAGTCGTAGGCGGTGCCATCTTCGGCATCTTCGCGTCCAAGATATTCCGTAACTCCGGCGGCTGGCCGGTGGTGATCACTGGTTTATGCGTACATCTCTTCGCTTTCATCAGCATTTTCCTGAATCTGCCAAACGACGCGTCATTCATGGACACGGATCACGTGGGCTTCATCACACCCTCGCCGATCCTCGCGATGGCGGGCAGTCTCGCCCTGGGCTTTGGTGACGCCTGCTTCAACACGCAGCTCTATTCGCTGCTGGGTATCCTGTTTACCAAGGAGAGCGCACCGGCCTTTGCTCTTTTTAAATTCTGCCAGTCGGTTGCGGCAGCCATCAGCTTTTCGTACAGTACTTCAGCCGGATTGCACATACAACTCGCGGTATTGCTTGTGACTATATTCTTTGGTACGGCAGCCTTTTGTTATGTCGAATATAGGGCGAAAAAATCGAGAAATGAGATCCCGCAGGATATCGATCCAGCGCTGGTCGACACCATAAACAGTGAAGATTGATAGATTTAGTTAAACGCATTTTTTAGAGTACGAAAATATATAGCGAGATCGAATACGAAAGATCTCGAAAAATAAGTATTGAACATTATCAAACACGAAAAATTGCGTTGAACAAAATTCATAAACTCAAACAAATCTTGAGGGAAATTATTTTAATATCTTAATGTGACTAGATAAGATACCTTTGCAAATTTATATGATGCCTGAATTTTTCTCGGTTTATTAGAGACTTTGCAAATCGTATTGTAAATACAGTTAACGTTAATATTCACGTTTGATGTGAACAATGGCGAATTGACATGTTATTGCAAAAAGTCTATTGTATATAGTCAAACCCGTAAAAATATCATCATGTGATCGATTGTTATATATCGTCGTCTTCCAATTTCTATTTCTCAGCCTTTACTTTCAGAATATTGACGTATTTTAAATTGATATTTTAAATTAATTTCTCTTTTAAAAAAGCGATATATATACAAATGTTAGATGCATGCATATGCATCTATTTATTATAGACTCGATATTCTTATTATAAAATATTATATGTAAAATGCAAGATTTATCAATTGATACAATAATTTTAGTCTTATCATACACATGTTTAATTGCAATATTGAGTTTGCATATGCATGTGTGCGTGTGTGTTGTTAATTGCAATTCTCGCATCATTTTTGTAACGTACTGCGATTTTGATATTGTGACTAACTAGTCTGTAACACGAGTCTGCAAGATTCGCGTTTAACTAGTCCGGTATGCGACATTTACACCTAGAAACTCGATTAAATTATCCGATGATTAAATCCGATAAGGTCAGACATAAGGACTTGTTGATCGACGTTCACCACAAGTGTCGCGACAAACATATAGATTAATTGCGTATGTGTACAGAATATATAATTAAGTCACGTACTTTTACACAATTTCTCCATAAAAAAAATGAAAAAATGGAAAAAATGAAAAAATTTTTAATAGAAAATATAAAAAGTCCAATTTTTTAAAAATCTAATTGATTCAAGTAAAAATTGCATCAGACTGAAATTATAAAATGCGAAATAGCATACAATTCTTATTAAAGTTTTGAGATGATAAAATTTTTATAAAAATCTAATCATGCAACTCTTGCTATTCTTTATAAAATATCCAATATGCATTTATTTTTTCTTTATATTTTATTTTCATCTAATTGATCTTGGGTGTTTGAGCAATTTTGCTTTTAGGATAATGGAATTATGAAGACGCGATTAGAAATATAATTAATTACGATTGACTATTCTCGTAACAATTCAAAATTCTATTAAAGATATTCGATTGAAAAATATGTATATGAGACATTGTCATACTTTTAGAGGAATATTCGAATGCACCTTTGCCTTTATAATCTTTATAAAAGGAACTCAGCAAGTTGTTTCGTCCTTTATGTGCATATATTATAGTCTATGACATTCCTTAATATATAAATGCATACAGAAGTATGCGTAATATAGAATATTCCTTTTAAAAAACTGTTTCGCTCTATGAACATACGTACCTGATAAAGAATGATTACAATATATATTAAAAGCAATTCCGATTAAATAGTGATAATCGAAAATGTGATCATTATTGTTTTTCATCGAATAATCTATAAATGAAGTTTTATGAAATATGTATATGTATGTATATATGAGTTTTATAATAATAGACAATATAGTGTATATATGAGATTGATGAATATTATTAATGACGATAATGATATTGTTGTTGCTAAATATATTTATAATATTGTATACTTATACATATATATTTTTTACGTCTTAACTCTCCAAATTTTCTTGTAAAAAATATCCGAAAGTGTTCCTTTCCTTACAAATATTAAATATATTATACAATAGCAAAAACTTGTGCTTGATATTGAATTTATGAAAGATTATAAAATATATATATATATATATATATATATATATATATATATATATATTACAAACTTTGGTTTCTAAAATATTTCTATGTAATTAGTTCATTAATTAAATTCTTTTCTAGTTGTTTAATACATTGTTATGTGAAATAATACAATATGAATTAATTATATATGTAATCTTCATATAAATAATTCGTACCTGTCCTTTTTAATCATCAAGTTGACAAAGAGCAGCCACACCTCTGTTAATCCAGTGTGATTCGTTGATATCCGTTGGAATCAAAATAAACAGTATAAAGTTGGAGGAATGTCCAGTAGTAGCCAATACACCACGCCTAGCGCTTGTTTTGTACACTGGACAATAGTAGACGTCTCTTATGTCGAATTTAATTTTGATGCCGGGTTTTAGCCATATAACGGGTAGCAAATCGAACATTATTTTAGGCTTAGATTCGTCCAGCAGTCTCGTCTCTCTGTTCCACCGAGCTCCTTCCAGAAAGAGACCCTGAGGGAAATCATCGCAGATTAAAATAAATCGCTAGTAAAAAGTTTAATATATCTAAAACGAGAATGCATCATCGCAAAATAATAGTGTAAAATTTCAATTCAAAATTGGATTTTAATTAAAAAATTCTAATGTAGGAATTAAATGTTATAACGAAATTTTTTACGTACGGCAATGTAAACTCCATAAGAAGGAGCAGTATCGACGTTCGATTCGAATTGGGTGATCTCGAATTCAAAATCCAGCTGATCGATCGGTATCTTATGCTTGCGAGCGTAATTTTGCAGCACCGCCGTCAAAAAGGATTGCGTAAAAAAGAAACCGGATATCCAGAACACATTCGGTGCATCGTGGTCGATCCAATTTTGCACAAATTGCAATCTCGCCAACAGATCGATCACGTAGCTACCAAGTGGCTTCAAGGAGGGATACGACTTCCTATCCCAAGCGCGCGGCACTTTGCCGATGCTCATGCTAACGTAGACTTCTTCCAATTCCGGTGACATCAGGATCTGTCCTCTGATGGCCTTTCGCACGTTATCCAATGTTTCTTTGATGACCTCGGTGAGCTCGTTGAATTTGACGAGTTCTTGACGCAAGACCGTGTTCATACTGTTCATATAGAGTACCGGATATTTGTTCGACACGGACTCAATATCGAATGGTGGCCGCATCTTTGATAGAATCTCACCGGCTAGAGCGAAAACCACTTCGTCCGTGTCTCTCTCGACACCTAAAAAATGTGAAAATAGTTGTTACAGAATATAATTGCATTGTGAAAAGTAGGGAAAAGAAAATAAAGAGAAAAAATCTAAAATAGATATTCGTGTGTTCGTTTACTTGCCTACTCCGCTGATTTGAGGCTGAGTCAAAAGTGCACCAGCTAAGAGCTGCATTGCTTCCCGATTGTCCTTCGCTATGTCCGCGTTCTCGTGTAAACCAAAAACTTCTGGCATTTGATTGATAGGTAAACTGCGAATGTATTTCAGACATCCTTCGTAATCGGTATCTTCTGGCATATGATAAATTTCGCTCGGAGAGAAAGAGTATCTGGATAAAAAAAATATAAATTATATAGAATATGAAGAAAAACTTCAAAAAATTCAAAGACATATTATTTAACAAAAATTTGTAGTTTTTTCTTAAGAAAAAAATTGATCTTTCTTTTAACTTTTTTATATTTAATGTAAAATAACTTTGATTCGGGATTTTTTAATTTTATTTAGAGATAAATCTCTTAAATAAAAAAGTGAATTTTCTCGTCTATTTTTATTCAGACTTGGATTTTATTTGTGAAAAAAATTCAACTTGTTCAAAGAATTATTTAAAAATGTTTTAATTCTGTTAAAAAAAGTACATATTACCCTGCTCTTATAATAACTTCAGAATTATAAAAATTCTTCAGCAACGAATTCAGCAGGCGTCTATCTTTATCATCGGTCACCCTGCCTCCATAATTGCATTCTCCCGTCAGATAAATGAGTGCGTCGAAAGGCACTTCGTCGTAATCATTTAAAAATAGCTGGAACAACAAGATAGTACATTATAATACAATTTAATTTTATTATAATAATAATATCCATTAAATTAACAAAAAACTGCTGGTACGTACTTGCAATTGTAGAATACTGATACGCAAATCGGACTCGTTAAATTCGTAGGGTATGTTCCAACCGAGCGGACCAAAGCTCCGTCTCTCCTGCACCACCGCGTGGAAGAAGCACAGAGAGAACAACAATTTTCTCCATTCTACCGTCTTCGTGCACTCGCGAAAGAATTTCGGATCCGATATGGGATCGTTCAGGTAACTCCGCAGCAGATTGTTCTTCAGCCCCTTCGGCGGTTCGTTCGTCATCTTCACCCCGTTCTGCAGTATCGACACCGGGAATCCTTTGGACGGATAACTGGTCAGCCATAGCCGGAAATCACGATGCGTGTTCTCGGGCACGATGACCTCGTCACATATCCGATCGAGTTCCTTCATCCACGAGACGGCGAGGTGGCAGTTTTGCAGAATGACCCACTCGCCGCTCTTGATGCCTCTCTCGATCATCCCGGTCGCAATAGGACCTTGACCTTGACCTAATGAGATCGTCATGAGATTCTTCCTCGAGATTCCACGCTCCTCGGCGAACCTTATCAGACCGGCCATCGGGTCCGAACCAGGTGAGAGCACGAAGATGAGCGGCGTGACGTTGTTCGAATCATCGTACGAGCTCTGAAGATCGAACGGCGGTGGTTCCATGAATGGTGCACCTATATGATGAATGATGAACGCTTGAACAGCGGCTACCACCTTGTCCGTCCTCACGCATCTCAAAATCACGAGTTTCCTCAAGCTCTCGATCTCGTGCTCGAAGGGTGGCGGAAACGGATGCTCCTGCGGATTAGTCAGATCGTAATACGTTTTCCATTGTGATATGCTGGACTGGAAGGACTCCTTCAGTTTTTCGAGACCCGGTAAAAGGCTGGCTCGCACGACTTCAGACCAAGATTTGTCGGACAACCATGAGGGATCGGGATTGGGATAAGGATTATCGAAAGCCACTCCGCCCGTCAATAAAAACACCCAGAGATCCTCTTCCAATTTACGAGCGGCACGTAGCAGACCGGCGCAGAGAACCAAGGAAAATATCAACTTGTCCTTTTCAAACAAAGATCGACATACATTTCTATAAATGCTTGCGGTGAAGTATGAATTGAGACTTTTCATTCGCGTTTCCAGATTATCCGACTGTTCGCTATTAGCTATTGCCGTGATGTAGAGATACAGAAACCACGGTAGGGAGTACTGGTACATGGGATCAATATTGGCTAATTCGGAGATGCAAAAAAAGAGAACCGCTCCGTGCTTCGAGACCGGCTGGTAACCATTGCGAGCTTCATCTATCTCCGCTGAAGTCTTCACCGCGATCTCTTGTTTCGCCTCAATGTCCTCCGACAGCATCTTCGAAGTCGAGAGTATCTTAATAGCAGTCTCGTCTTCAAGTATGTTGCCTTCCGATGTCGTGAGAACTTCCAAGATCTTGTCCTCAATCTCCTTCAAGATCTTCCGGTTGTTCGCGCCTTCCACTATCAATTGATTTTTCTTCTCCTCCAAAGTCGGTAACTCCTTGGCTACGACTATGCCCAACAATTGATCCTGCAGACCTTGAAGCGTAATCATAAAATTCAATAGAGTTACCTTTACCGCGATCTCGGGCAGGTAATGCGGATTTCGAAGACGCGTGGTGATGTAGAATCGAAAATTCGGATTGTACTCCAGTACCGTCTCACCGAACTTCATATACAGCACTCCGCGCTGCTTGTAAACATTCTTCAGCAATACAGATTCCAAAATCGCGTCGATCTCTTCTAAAATGTTCTCCAATAACACTGGAGTTCCTAGCTGAATGGCAGCCTCCATCACTCTCACATAATTGGGATCCGTGAGTTTGATCACCGCCAGCTTGTTTCGCTTTTCCATGTTTTTCACCCATTTGTTCGCCTGATTCTGTGGATCGATCATGAGCGGCCAGCGATCGGCATGCTTCACGATTATTCCGTTTTCCACAGAGAAGTTGTCGGCCGGTAATCCATAAATGGTCCACCCTCTGATCTCTATCGGTTCGCCCAATATGTCGATCAAATTAAACCTGGTACCACAAGGTATAGCTGCTTCCACGCAAGAAGCATGCCATTGGCTGATCAATTTGTTTCTATATTCCACCGTGAACGCTCCCAGATAAGCCACGATCCCAGAAGATAGTAGAACATCCCCGATGACGTTACCTAGACTGGCGCCCAGTTTACCGGCAGTCTCGCTCCATCTACTCTTTTCGCCGCTGAGACCACCCAGCAGCTTTTCGGCTCTTTCTAATTTCTGTCTGCAATAATCGATCTGATCCTCGAGATTCTTCTTCTCGCGCATACATTCGGCGAACTCGTCGTTCAGGGACTGTAGCTTCTGCGTTACCTCTTGCAGTAGATTCCTCTTCTCGTTGAGCATTTCCATCTGCGCAGCCAGCGCTGCTTCGGCTTCCGCCAGCATCGCTTTCTTGGCGCGACGACTTTAATTACACGATCGTACACTTCCATGGCACGTACCCACTTACAGAGACCCTCGCAGGCGGTGGAGACCTTCTTAATTGCTTCCGGCTGGAAGCTCCGATCGTTTATAAATTTTTCGCGAATGCGCTTCATGTATGCGGGAGGTATGTTGTCCTTGTCGAAGTTCTTCAGATTCTCCAAGAATTTCATGTCGCCTAGCAGCTTGATCGACGCGGGCCAGTAATCATCTACCATTTGGCCAGTCGGATCCTGAACTCGATCCGGCTTTACGCCTTTCAGGACACAAACTGCCTCCATCACCAATCTAACGCCAGCCGGCGGACTCTTCATCGCTTTCACGATCGTGATGTCCGCAGGTTTTAGGGTATCTAATGCCGCCAGGGCAGATTCCAGTGCTGGAGTAGCCTCTGCCAGGTCGCTCTCACAATCATCTTTGATGGCTTGAGCCGCTGCGGCTGCTTCGTTCGCTAAGGCCTCGTCCGCTGCTACAATTTCCTTCTTTGCTTCCACGTTGACGGTGTCCTGTTCGATTCGAATCATCAGTTTGTCACTCAGTTGCGACTGCGCCAGTAACTTGGGCTGCAGCCGTTGTAGCTCGTCCTGCATGATCGCCACCTGGCCAGCAGCAAAGTCCAGCTTTTCCAAACCAGTCTCGTAGCGATTCTGTTGGATAGTGATCTGCTCAATCTTTTGTCCGTACAATCTATACAGGGATTTGATTAACTGCAGAAAACTCGTGGGTGTCACATAATATCGTCTGCCGTACGTCAAGTAGTAATCCTCGCTCGTTATGGAGACACTTGTATGGAACTGCTTGCAAATTTGCACGCACTTTTCTCGCAATTCCGAGCTAATATCTAAATCCCTCAATGACATCCTGGCTACTCTCTCGAGGGCATCTTCCGGCCACAATGTAAACCAATCGATGGTGCAGCAATTGATAAGCGACGGAAACATCCTGAGACGATTTCGAAATGCCTCGCCTATCGGTGACATTGTCAAAATTATATGAAGATTTTTCTTGATCCTTTCAATGAAGAGATTGTAGAGCGCCATTGGTGTCGTTTCCAGTTTTTTACTGCCGCTAGCGTCTCGTGCCACAGTCATCATTTTATCCAATATTTCGGCTTTCTCTTCTACCGCGTACAGATTAGGCACGTCTGCAGTATTCAAGATCATATTGATATCCTCGATAAAGGATTCGTCCTTGATTTGATGATCGCCAAAGATAAAGACGGTAGGTTTGCCGTCGCAGCCGACACGCAGTAACAAGTGCTTCAGATCTTCCCGCCATTCGGGTGTTTCATAAGTCTTCGTAATCTCGATCTGTTGTATCACATATTCGCACATGCTAGTCGCCAGTCTGGCACAAGAATTGCGACCGGAGCCGCCAACTCCAACGAGCAGGGCATGACCATTATCCTGCAGTAGCACACGAGATATGCGAGAGACGTGTTCGATGGCGTATCGAAACAGTACCAGGTTCATTGGCGTCTGCGAAACCGCGTTATATTCAGCCAGATAGTAATCCATCTTCTCCTGGAGATCATCTAGATTCGTTATTTCATCGTATATTTTAGGATCCGCATCAGGTTCGATGTAATTGCCGAAGAATAGATCGCAAATGTGAGAACTGGCGATCATCTTTTCGTTCGGTTTCAGTAAATTGACGAGCACCTTGTCCAAAGGTTGGCGCAACTTATCGTAACACGTGTGTCGCATCATCTTAAATAACGTCTCACGATCCGTGTCATCTATCAGTCTGTCGTGAAAAACTCGATATACCTCATGAATCCACAGTCTAATAAGTTTGTCGGGGTCTTTCATTCTAACGGCTGGCACGAGAAGCACGCCGCCGATAACCCGACTAAAATCACGCAGGTTAAACTTGTAATGACTCTTCGACGGTATCGGGAGAAAGTTTTTGATGGCCCCAAGAAACACATCCAAGGTAGCGCTCACCATCATTTTGCTCAGCCGTGAAATCTCCGCGACGAAGCCCTTTGCGAAGTGCCAGTCGAGAATTGACGTGAAGATCTTAGTCATCGTGGCTTCCTCGAAGGAATCAATGCCGATTACGTGCATGTGGCGAGTGAGTCTCGGCGTTACAACGTTCGAGCCGCCTCCAGGTGGTATCATAGCAGCGATTAGCAGAATATCCACCAAATACAGAATCGAGGTATCCTTCGGATCAAACCAGTAGCCATGATCTATCCATTGACGAAGCAGCTCTATTGGCGGTTGAGCCCCGTAGATTTCCACTTGTGGCATGCTGAGATCATCTACGAACAATACGCATTTCTTCCCCATAGCGGGACCGTAGACACCTTTTCTTCTTCTATCCAACTTCGACATGACTATCTCTTGTGTTAATGGTGCGTTCGTACGGGCGCTGAAGTTTATAACGTTTTCCAGGAATTTCTCCCGAGGCAATGACATAAGGTAATTCAATACGATAGCGGACTTGCCGGTACCAGTTGGACCCACAAATAAAAGCGGAATCGATCTGTGCATAAATTGTTTGATGAAGAAATGCTGAATAGATGTCTCGGTTGTCTGGATGATCAGTTCACTGCTCTTCGCCGTTGCTGGTAAAGATGCCTAAAAAGATATATACAATATATTAAATGTTAATTTCTTATTTTGTTCTAGTTCTCTCTGTTTACTCTCTAAGTTTATATTTCAGTATTATTGTTATTATATTATGTATATACACATATGAAATATATAGGTATATATTATATATTATTTAATTATATCAAAATTTTTTAAAATTATTAAACATAAAAGTTGAACATCTTTTCAAATATTTTCATTCGTTCGATACATGCGTTTATTTATTTGAATACCTGTTGCATAGTATCCATCCAAGATATCCAGCAGCCGTTGTTCTTTTTATCGTAAATCCAATCGTACACCATACCTTTATCAGGGAAGATTTGCTGCTTTGTCAGCTTGAACACCTTTGGTTTAGGATATTCTTCGATATTACCAAGTAACAGTTTTCGTAGATACACGTCGAAGATTTTTCTGCTGTCGCTTATTAATGTTGAGCACATGCCCCAAACTATGCTGAAGAGTAATACGCACTGAAGCCAGACTGTACTCACTTGCGTTTCATCTGCTAGCATCATGCTGAATACTCTGGTAAAAGACTGTTGCATAAAAATATATTAAAACACATAGCAAATTATATATATATCACAACAAATTTTTCTATTAATTAAAATCAAACTTTTTAGAAACTATATATAATATCAATTTCAGCTTTTAACACCGTATATAATAATGCAACAAATTAAATATAAATTATAAAACGTCAATATTACTTACCAGAAACATATGCAATTCCGATGTATCGATGAAAGTCTGACACTTATATTGAATAAAATGCAATATCGGCTGGGTCAGCCATTCTATCAGTTCGATGACGAGCTCGTATTGTTCAAACAATAATTTCTCCTTGAGATGCTTCTTGTAGGATTCGAGAATAGGTCGCCAGCCCAATTGAGAAGGCTCCATGTAAATCATGCCGCATCTGCTGACAGTGGCTGGTGAGGCGTGCTCGAGATCAGCCGGCTCGAACAACATGCTCATCTTGACGGACATCTGTATAATTTCGCCGGACATTAAGCAGAGCTTCTTGTTGTCGTCAAGCACGGTGTTCATGCTCTCAATCCAGATCGCGTCTACCGGACCGTCAAATACGATCCACTTGCGCTCTAGCGAAGTGGACTGCGCGTATTCGCGAAAAGTGTTGGCCAGCACACCATCGCTCCATTCGTGCGAGAACGGATCAAAGCTACCATATAGTTGTTCCAGCGTGATGGCTTTCGGATTGATCACTCGATAAACCGTACGGTTTTCTCGCATCGTGGCTTTTCGTATACCCGACAGATCACCCAGGGCGTCGGCCAACGTTTGATAAGCCTGAGTCTTCCCGCCCAAAGCCATGCCGACGATCATCAGACCGTGTCGTACACGTATCATCTCGTAGATCTGCACAATCTTCTCCAAGTACCAATCGGTAGCCTGTAGATTTCGCTTCCCCAGGTTCACCTTCAGCATGTCTATCAGTTCCTCGCGTTCTGGTTGAGGCAGCTGTACATCCGGGAAGAGATCTGTGTAGATGCCATTGAAGAGAGAAACGTCCTCGGAGAGAAACTTGGGAAGATTGACATCCACGATGGCGCGAAGGACCAGGATGGACTCGTCGCGTTTCGGATATTTGAGTTTCAGATTACCGGCCGCTATCAATACGGTCTTGACAGCTCGCATACCATAATCGTAGTGATTTTGCGAGCTCAGTTGCTCGGAGCACAATTTGTAGGTGTGAACGATTTTCTCAGCAAGATTCTTGGCGTCCGTGAAGCCGTACGAGTACAAAGTGATCTCACCGATCATGGCGTAATCCGGTACCATCATCGCCACCGTTCGGAACAGGGCCTTCAAATTGTCAGGCAGTTCCTGCCGACCGGCATAACCCGGATTCATCGTTATGATGACGTTGCAAGTGGGATTCAGCTTCAACTCGGTGCCTTCGAACACAAACTTATCCAATTTCATGCTTATAGCCATCTGTATCGACAGTATCTGTTGCGCGATCACGGACAACACTTCCAAATCGATCCTGTTGAATTCGTCAAAGCACGCCCAGGCTCCGGATTGCGCAAGACCCTTGAAAAATTTGCCCATCGCTTTGTAATTCAGTCCTTCGGAGCAGTTGAACACGACGCATTGCTTGGCTACGGCCTTGGCGAGATCCTTGGCTGTTTCCGTCTTGCCGGTGCCTGCAGGTCCTTCTGGTGAACCGCCAAGATTCAATTTTAATGCACCCATCAAAGTCCTATAGCATCGATCCGTCAGCGGCGTGATTACCAATCTGGATGTGTTACCGAGATACTCGAAAGCATACATGATATTAGTTGTAATCATAGAAACGGTGATACAATCGTCTAACCAATAATAGCGTAGCTGCGCTATCCAATTAAAGTCCAAGGGATTGTCTACCCGCTTGTCTATCAACAATTTCACCACGTCTCGAGCATGCACGTCTATTACTATTAGGGCGTTCAACGTTATCCTGGCACCTGGTTCCAATTTGCCGCGTACAAGCGATACGATATCTTTTATTTGATCGTTGCATTTTTGCAAATAGGATGCTGTAGAGCGATCCTCGAAAGATTCGTACACCTCGCTAGTCCAGTGTATCTGACTACTGCAAATGATAATCTGACCGGGCCACGAAAGCACCCATTCCTCGCGTATGGCGTCGAAGTAAGCAATTATACTTTCCTCGGCGATGTCGCGCAGCGAGATCATCATGAGTTCCTCTACTTGGCACAGCCATCTCTCAACCATACCTTTCGCATCGGCAGGGTAAATCTTACCGCTCAGAGGTACGTACTCCTCTTCGGCCGACACCATGCCAATAATCTCCTCTTCCTTGGTGAAGCGGAGCTTACTGATGCCTTCGAAGCACTTGCGCAGATGAGGTTGCACTCGCTGCGGATCTTTGGTCTCAGATAGAATTTCCAGCAGCTCGTCATTTGATAGGAAAAAGAATCGCGGGAAGAACAGACGTTTCTTCTCCAAATAATCGTTCAGACCCTTCTGGATCTCCTCGAGCAGCGAGTTGCAGAGCTTGAGTTCCTGCAGCATGTTCGGCATCGCGGTAGCATCGATCACTCGTTTATTATCCAGAACGTACAACATGATGTTACGCCAGGTCTTATCGATTTTACGAAAATTCCTCGACTCGGTCGGCATCTGACGCAAAATATCCTCGCTGCTGAATATTGGTTCCAGATACATCCACGTGGACTGGCAAAGCAGCCACTGATCGATGATATCTTGCATCATTATCAGCTTCTCCTCCCACTGCTGCATCTCTTCTTCGAATGCCTTCACAAAAGGGGAACCACGCATGGTTTGCGCCTTGAGTATATGATCATCAAGCAACATCTGTATGTCGTCCACGGCGGTTAATATGGATACACCGGTGTCGCGATAAAGAGTTAATTCGAAATACACTTCTTGCCATTCTTCTTTCATCTTCTGCAGGTTTCGCTGCAGAGTGTATTCCTTTGTGGCCGCCGAAGCTATCTCCTCCAACTTGGCGATATAAGCGGGTAGACCGTACTCGATCATCTCCGACAGACTGCTGGTATCCGTTGGTATTATTGTTACGTCGACGATTTTGCTAATTGTTTCCCAATGTCGAGCTTGTAGGCCCGGCGTGCAGATAGTTTGCAACACTGGGATAAATTGTCGGAATTTTTCCACTTTACCGCGCACCATTTCGGCAACGCGTCTCGCGCCTGGTACCTCTGTAAGCACGCGCGAAAGTTTATACAGAATTCGCCATGTGTTTTCAGTCTCCTCGCGCACTTGCTCGGCGTTTAGACCTACGAACGGGCCGTAGAACCATTTATCGTAGTTTCGATGAAAATCTAGAGCGGTGTGCCAGAGCTTGTCAAAGGTGTCCACCGTACTAGACATAGTCGGCAATTCCATGTACGGACTCAGCTCCATGTCGAGTAATCCCTCCTCTTCGTTAATCTCCTCGGCTTCTTTACGTATCTCCGCCATAGTCGCGGAGATTTGCTCGATCTCCTCCACGGCCTGCTCCATTTCCTCCATGGTGAGAACGGGCGGATCCTTTCGTTTAAACTGCTCAATTGCCTGTTGCATCGTAATTATCTTTTTCTCGAAGGTGTCTCGTCTTGTGCGAAGCAACGTTTCCAAGAAATCTTTTCTCATGGTCAATCTGTTGCTTGCCAGTTCCATCACAACTTCCATCTCCTTCGGCCAAGTAATGGTGCGTGAGTTTAAGTGAATGTCTTCGTCGGAGAGTGGCTGGTGATCAAAGAGGAACAGCGTCAACTCGATCGAACGCGTTAATCGTCTTTTCAGATTAAACATCGTCGTATCACGGCTCTCACATAGATAATTGTACAGTTCCACCACCTGCTGCGTGGTTTCTGGCATCTTCGAGATGTTCTCCGCTATCTCATCAAAGATCGAGCACAATTCGCGATTGTTGACTCGTAGTTCATCCGCGAAGAAATTGCATATTCTACTTCGAAGCGTATATAGAATTTCTCTCATTGTATCGTTTACAGCACTGCAATCGATTTCGATCATGTTCAGCGGAATCTATTGTAAAACAAAATAATTAGATAAAATTATTATTAATTCATATAGGATTATAAATCTGTTTTTCTTCTGAAAATTAATTTATTGGTTCCAAATGAGACTATTAACTGTATTAATTAATAAAATTAAAAATACTTTTTAAATTTTTTAGTTATAAAAAAATTGTGTTTTCTCTCGTAAAATTCAAAATTTAATTATAAAAACTTACTTTACATCGAAACATATAAATCTCTTTTCGCAGAGTGTCATATGCCTTTATTTGTTGCTCAAAATCTCGCAATAACGGTACCGGCTCCAATTTAAAAAAATTATCCAATTTTTTTTCAGCTACGCCGCTCGTAATATAAAGCAAATTCTCATAGCATTTGAGGTAACCATCAGGACCACTTGTATGCTTAGTGATCACATCCAATACATCACTGATGACATTCAATACCTGTTATAATGAGAGGACAAATATGCGTTATTAATATTCATCATACTACTTTTATATTTTTGTATTATAATACAATATAAATTACCGTATCTTCAAAGCGCGAGATGGGAAATAGATAAGTTTTCTGCTTTAATTCCGGAAACAGAATGGTTTCAATCTTAGGTATTGTAGCGCTCACTTTAATGATCTTGTCGAAGCATCGTGAGATGATGGTGTGTAACTCCAGAATGCTCGGTCTGCAGCGCAGTTTCGTCGTGAAAAGTTCCGGTTCCACCTTCACTGTTATGAAAGGAGTTCTACAATATAATTCGTATCGTTTTTAAATTCACTAATAAATTGACAAAAGCAATATTTTACTGCACAAAAAAAACCATCAATTCTTACTCGAGAAACACGAGTTCCTCGTAATCTCCTTCAAATGCATTGCCAGCTCTGTATCGCATGAAGAATTCCCTAACGTCTTCCAGCGTTTCCGTTATCATGATTCGCAGTTGCTTCGATAATAGAGAATTTACGCTGCGAAAGTATTTCTCGATCATCGCGGTGGACGCGTCCGAATGCATCTCAAAGTATTGCGACCAAACGTATTTCTTCTCGAGAAAAATTTCTGCTACGTCGGCCAGCCATTCCTTAATGAGAACGTCGGTGGCAGCGGTACATAAGGCATTTAATTTCGGCTCGATTTCCGCAGCCGGAACGGGAAATGTGCCGAAATCTTGCATGCGAATAATTCTTATTTGGCGATATCTAAAATAAACAAGATTTTTATTAATTCAACAAGAAAAATAAATATTTTATTTATATTTTCCATTAATTATAAGTATTACTTTAAAACACGGAAAGATAGGAAATATTATTTTTCAACTGATTAATCTTACTTTGAAAACCATAGATCGCGAATGTCCCTCAATATCGTATTTCCGATAAAAAGACAGTGTCGTATCGAATGATTTGCTGTGACTTTGGATTGATGCCAAGGTACCGGTGAACGAATGCATAAAACAGGAAATTTGAGAGGCAGAGTTTTGATAGATAAACGTTCTCGTTCATCGGAATCCATCAGGATATAATCCACTATCGCACTGCGAAGGCTTTCCTTATAATCATTGATTATTTCCGGTTCCAAGTCTTTTGTTATTTTATTGAAACTGTAAAATACACATTTTTATTTAATAAAGATATCCTATGAATTCATCGCAATTGTTAAAATTATTTTGAAAATGAATTAAAATAAATTGAAAATGATTTAAATTGTTCTAACTTTACACTGCTAGGTTCTTCGTTATTTGTATATGATGAGAAACATACTCACTCTTCACGTTCCTGCAATTTACCAATAATACGTCTTTTTGCCGCATCAATATTAGCATAGTCGTATGGTTGTAAATGATGCTCGCTTATGCAGTAATCTCTGAGATAAGCTACTTTAGCAACATCCTCGGCTGTGACTATTCGTCTCTGTTCCTTATCAACTGCCGCTGTTAGTTCGGTCAATTGTTCGTCGACGGATTTCGGAATTTCTGCCTCGACGTAAGATACAATCTGCAATATGATGCTATTTCTGCTATATATTTGTCAGATCAATTAAAAATGAGATTTGTATTTTTTTCAAAGTATTTGTGAGATTTACGAACAACAAAATTCTTACCTCTCGATCCAATTTTCTTTTCATTATTCTCCCCTCATGTATGGATAACTCTCTTTTCTTCAAGGCTTTCGCCTTGTGTCTTTTCTTCCGCAACCATGTGCCGTCTGCTAAATCCTTCAAACTGACTATATTTTCCGGCAGGGAAGCGCGTTTTTTCTCTGCCACAGCGGCTCTTCGTTGAACCTCTTCGTTGTGTCGTTCTATAAGAATGCGAGGCGGAGCCGCAAGCACTTTGTCAACACTGAAAGGATAGGATGGTGCAGGTTTGACTTCACGTTTCGTTATAATCCTGGCCCGATAAGGATATGCACCGGGTGTAAAAATACTGCCTATACTGTCAGTAGGTTTCGCATAACTGTGCCAGTGTTTGTACGGAACAGTTTTCGTCCATGAAGACTCTTGTAGTAATTTCGGCTTCTTCATGATCTGCAATGCTTTCGATGTTTCTGGCGATGAATAATCCGCATAATCTGCTACTGCTGCGTCTACCTTGTCCAAGGTTCCACATGTTTCCTTTTCTTCAGTCATCCTTGTCATTCGAATTTATATATCAAAGATATGAAGGCAAAATTATGCGTAAAAACGATAAGCAGCTTCTCTAATCACTATTAACAAGTATTGCAAATATTGTCTTCCATTTTATCTCATTATGCCATTGCTTGATACTTCTATTCTTAGAAAAAGTATGAATAAATTTTCAGCTAAGAACTAAGTATGTATCTATATCTCTCAATACAACTTATGGATCTAAAAACTGTCAAGTAACAAAAATGTAAAAGATAATACCTTCTTACTTCTTAGCTCATATCTAATATGTTACACACACATATTTATATCACGTTACTATGACGACGGCGCGGGAATTATTGGAAAAGATATAAATTTACGAATTTATGGAATGTTCTGTATATATCATAATAAAATATTACAAAATTATTATCTATTCATATATAGAGAAAATATTTTTTGTCGCAATTTTATAAATATTTATGTTTTCATATTATCTTTCATAAAAATTTCCTCTCTATTAAAAATATATTCTTACTTTATCACGCGCACAACCTTAAATATTATAAAAAGTAATAATATTTTATAATATCTATAAGCATAAATATAATTATGAGAAAATATCGATTAATTTCTAATGTATGCTTTGGTAATTTGCCACCAGATTATCAATTGGCGTATATCATAATATCAATATAATCTCTCTTCGAAACTGGTCGATGGTAAATTACGTCGGCGAGAATGTACAGTTTCTTCATGGTTTTGCTCAGTAGAACTAGCATGTTGAGTAGGATTGTTATGAACAAGAGTACCTAATAAAAATTAGAATATAAATAACTTGTCAATAACTATATAAATATAATCGTAATTCAATAATATAACTTACGTTCATTGGCAAATTTAGCGAAACTTTTCATGAGAAATTGCTTATCTTGAGACTGCAGAAGAAGCATGTTGGATAAAATTTGCAACATTTCCTTACTCGCTTCTGTTTTTGCCCGCAAACAGTAGATTGCAATACTGTAATAAAATTTAGATATCCATATCTTATTCTATATCATAATGAATGATACTATAATAATATTTCGTAAGATATTTACCACATGCCGACCAATATTGCAGCGCCAGTTACAGGTCTCGCGAGTTCCGAAACAACACTCCAAAATGTGCTATCTCTTTTCAACGATAACATTCCATCAACAATGAAATCCCAAGTGTGAGAATAATTTCTGAATGGTCCACAGTCGTCACTTTCCACGTTCGTGATGACATATCCTATTGTGAATAACACAACGACCATGCCAATAAACGCAAGAGCCAAGAATACAGTTTGCGTTTGCGCCGCTCGCCAAGGCTGCGACGATTGTTGATAGCACTTTTTCAACTCGTATCTTTTTACGTAAAACGTGAAGATGAGCTTTATCACAATTATAAGAGACATTAGTGGACTGAAATAGAAGCCCATCCAAAAGAGCATCTGATTGTATATAAGATTCAATGTATTGCGAGCAATATCGAATTCCGGTCTGGGAATCTTCCTCGACAATCTCTTATACAACATGGAACGTGTAAATTGCAAACACATTCCTAATATGGAAGCAATGAAATCCAGTATAATGAGTCGATAAATTTCTTCCCCCAAGTCTGTTTGCCAACAATGTGATGTACTGTTGATTATCCAGAAGGTAAATAAGGTACCAATTATTGTCGCAGCAACCGCATGATTCCTAACTACTGTCACGTAAAGTTCTGTGCGTTTATTGTTATAGTGTTCTAGTGATGCCTGAAAAGAAATAATTATTTGTACTATAATTGCATATTTCATTAAAATTATAATTATTTTTATAAGAGAAAATGTACTCACTAAATAGAAAATAATTATTGGAAAGATATGAATAATACTAGTAATGATTATTGGTACAATCATCACTGAAATAGTTCTGGATGTCCCTATCTCGTAATGTCGTAATAGCAGCCAAACGAGTATACCAGCGCCACAAATCATAAATATAACAATAGCTGTTACGCTAAGTTGCATTATAATTAGTAAAAACTTGTCAAGCCAATGCAAATGTGCATGCTCTCTTGTTTCCGCTAACAATTCCTCCAATTCTTTGTAAATAGATGCCGATTGCAGAGCAGCAGTTTTTGGTAAAGATATACTAAAATCCCATCCGCAAAATATTTTATTGCTATATAAATCACGCAATTTTCCACGTGTTTCTATGTAAGACTTTCTATAAGAAGATATAACTCTAAAAAAGAACGTATTATTATTATCATCAAATATTTATATTTAATATTGAGTTTAAAATGATTAAATTTAATCACATACTTAACAGAAAGTATAACAAAAGTAACTGTGTAACAAAAAAGTAGCGTTAGGAAATAAGCAAATGGAATGCTATATTTGGACCCAAATGGTGTGTCTACTGTGCCATTGGAATAAAAACCATAATACATTATTGTGTGGGAGAAAAAGGCCTGCAAACCAAGATGTTGTGATATGTGCATCATATTTAAAAAAACACATGCATAACATAATATAAACATAATATAATCGCACTTACACTGCCTGTTAAAAAGTCTAATACTTTAACATTGTTTTGTACATGTGTTTGATGCAATGATTGTGGTAATATAATAAAAAATATGCTGCAAACGTAAAATATTCATTAAATTCATTAATATTCATTGATAAATCGTGTTTTTATCAATATAAAAAATAACAATATATAAGATATTATTAATATCAAACAGCAATTAGAATTATGTGATTATTCTCCGAAAAATCCCTTCTTTTAATTTTAAATAACTTTTAAGTAGCTTAAACTTTTTGTTAATACATACTTTTAGTATAATTTTATAATATATATATATATATATAAAATAAAATAAATGTATACCTTAAAATACAAGAGATTAGGTTGAGAAAAAGTAACCATCTCAAAAATTTAAAGTATGTTGCTACACCACTTCCATTATGGCTCTCAATAGTTTTTATCGCTTGATGCCATAATTTCATTGTCAGCAAAGTGTTCTGCATTGTCACTCGAATCTGTGCCAGAAAGTATTTAACTTTTATTATTTCTTAGCTCATTGGTTTTATAACAGAAATAATAATGTGAAAAATTAGTATTATTACCTTTGCAAATTTTAAACTAATGTTATATTTGAGCCATTTCCAATAACTAAGCGATTTTCTCTTTGTCCTTTGACTAACAGTCGCTAATAGTTGTGACTTGACAGATCTCTTTACCGTAAGACATTGTGGTATTGCTTTCAATGTTTCCATCCTGAATCGCTCCGATTCAGGATCAGTCTGCATAAACTTATCACTTGATTGCAAATGATTGGCAATTGCATTAGCACACTCTTCATTAGATAATTGAGTAATACTGTGCATTCTTAAAGTAGCATACGGAATAATAGCATTCATAGCATTTGACGGTCTATATTTCTCATGCTTTCCTGAAGATATATTCCATTTTATATTTGCATCAACAGTTTTGTGAATAATTTCGAAAATCGAAATTAGACTTAAAAAATATACTTACGTGTAAATTTAACTGGTAATAATTGTTGCATTTGAATATATTGGTCAGAAGATTTGGAAGATTTTCCTTCTCGAGTTAATGAAGACATTTTTAATGTAATCGTATATATTTATTTCAATTATATTCTAAAATAAAACAAATTATTTTATAAGTATATTATACAAATATCATTTGTATATTTTAAAGTGTAAAATACTCACTTCTTGTCAGAATAGTGTTTGTAAATAAAGAGCAGTCTTGATCAACGATTATTCTTATAAGTCATTTCCCATATTAGATTAGTAATGAATAAAATATTAAATACAGATTTGTTTAATCACAATCTCTTTGGGAATGATACAGATACACAGATATAATTAAATAAAACGCATTAATCTAACAAAAAACTTAGTGATGTCTAATAAACATGGTTATAATTTCCTTCCAAAATATCCACTTTTTAAAATTTAATGTGATACACTAATGCTTATATATAAAATTAAATCAATATTTAATTACACATATTTGTTTCATTATTTTCCATCATATTCAATTAATTCTAATAGTATAATATAAAATTATCTGATCATATCATATATGATCTTATGTCATTTCACCATCATTCGACATCTTTATGTCCAATGACGCATGAATCATCAATTACTACACGAGAATTGATGACTTAAAAATTTATGATCATAATCTCTTGTTTCTGAACAAATAATAACTATTTTTGCTAAATATAATTAATTTGGAAAATAATGTTTAATGTTAAAAAAATTCATAATTAGTGCGTGCATAATTTTATCAGTTTTCTAACCTAGTTAATTTTTCTTTATACATACACAAATTTCTAGAAATTTTTAAAATATAACTGTATTTTTATTAAAAGTATCTTACGAAATATGCCGAATAGATTTCTCTACGATTTTATTGTACTTCAGATCTTTTATTTTAAAGATATTTAAAATAATGTATTTAATTAATTTTTATTTTGTGCACAAATTCGCATAAATTTGAATCTTTTCGCGCTCTAAACCACACACACATACAGTATGATTAAATTTTTATTATTTACACACACACACACACACACACACACGCAAAACGTATATTTAATCTTTTGATTTTTTATAAAATCTATATATATGTAGTCACAAATAATAATTAGAAATAATTATTTTCAAAAAGTTTTAAATAACAATCATTCAAATTACTTAACAAAAATATTTAAAAAATTACATTTTAATATTTTAGTTGGATACATATTTGATAAAGAAAAAAAAAAAAGCTCAACCTCTTTACAAATATTTTTGTATTAGATTTATATATTTATATTTAATGAGATTGGCTTGTAAAGCTTATTTAAATAAAATAAAAAATATATATAATATATATATATGTAGAAATCAAAATAATATTAAGAATATTAACAATTATATCAAATAAATATATTAATAAATACGCATTATACCAGGAACATTTCTTATTACTTTTCAAAGGTATAATTGAGAAGATATGATAAAGTAATAAATTGTAGCTTTATTACCATTATGATACGAAAGACTTAGATTAAATAAAAAATATTTTCAACATCCTTGCATTGTTGCGTTTCAGGTTGTCCTGAATAGTCCCATACGAAAAATCTAAAACATCAAATGCTTTCTTGCTGCTTTATAACACATGGGAAATCCGAAGAATTCCAATATTTGTTTATCAATCGATAAATAGCATAGTGTCATTGACACATTCTATTGTTAGTGCACTATAATACTATTTTCTTTTCTTGCAGCATCGATATAGAAGAGTATCCATATTAGATTTATATTATGTAAACTGTGTAGAATAAGTTTATAGCAATTTATAATCAACATGTAGCTTTCAGTCAGTGCACCATATGATTGATTTTTTCTTTTAATCTCATAAAAAACCTAAAACAGTTTTACACACTATGACATGTTAATAAGAGTAATCTATCCTTAATGAATTGTGCATTGTCTTATATATGAAACAAGTTTTTTATTTTGAGAATACTGTAAATAAAATTTTAGAAAATAATAAATTTATTTGATCAATAATTATTGTAGAATCATATCAGCTTTAGTAGTATCTTAAATATCTGAGTTTTGCTGGTATCATAAAATAATAATAAAAACTAATTGATTACTTACATTTTTATCATGATAAGTACAATATAGTAGTGCTTCACCACATGTTGTAATCAGTATCATCTTGATCGAAGGTTATGAAAAATCCGACTAGAGTTGAATACACAACAATATTACCTGCTAATGTCAAATAACACGCGCCCCATTGTATCTGTAGATATACAAAGCTTTGTTTTAACTATTTAAAAATTTTAAATATTAATATACTGTCAATTAATAACATTTAATCTATTATAATTATTTCAATACATTATTGACTGGAGGTGTATCAGTTCATCTTTTGATTTTACTGGAGAGATAATTTATGTTTAGAGATATATACAGTTTATCCTGCAAAATTTCTGCATAAGACATCCAGTCAACAATGTGTCAATGTAACAAATATTCTATATAAATATATATAAAGATATATATATATATATATATATATATATGTATATGTTTACATAAACAATAACTTACTACTGGTTGGTCCACTGGAGATCGTGCCAACACGATTGGAAGAGCAAATGATGATACTACAAATCCCATTGTAATAAATATTGCCAATTCTAAACATGGATTACTGTTGCTTCCTGAATCATCTGTATAACGGCGGGCTATTATGGTTGGGATAGGTGCCAATATATAGAATAATACGACAAAAAATGGCCACCATACTCTGAAAATTAAGTATAAGTTGTAATATTCTAATCTACATCTTAAGAAAATTGTAGATATTTAAAACAAATGAGTTAAATGGGAAAATATATTTACTTGTATATTGGTAACGCACAACCAAGAATAACAAATGTCATTCCAATGGAACCAGCAAATGCTAGCAGTACTAATCTGTAATGATTATATACTTTCTCGTTATCATTGTATAATACAACTCCTTGTTAAATATCAAAAGAAAGTTTGATCAAATTTATTGTACGTAAAATGTAAAAGAAAATATTTTTGTTTTTAATTACTTGCTCACACAAAGATACTTACGCTGTTTCGATGATAAAAGATTCATGAAGAGAAAATGCCATGGAATAAGAAAAAGAATATAATTAATTATATATATCACACATTAGATAATATTAATTAAATATTTATATGACGTAATTTAATAAGGCATTATTGCATGTTTAGTTTTGATTTTCAACTGATAAATTTATTGCGCAATAATGAACGATCGGTGTTTTAAAAAAAATGAACAAGCTCACAAGTAGATAAAATAATATTACAATGTCGCGCAAAGCCTTCTTAGATTATATATAACTGTCATTTGATGAAATTAGTATTAGTACATTAAGGGAAATCATAATGAATCTTTCTCCGACCAATGTTAAAAGGATAATACATTGCTCCTGAATTAAATTACGAGACTTGACAATCCGGAGAGTCGTGTTTGTGCAAATGTCAAAACAGTGACAACAACGGGACGGATAAGGTTATGTTTTGACAGCTGATTTCGCGTTATTCGCGCAAATTTCTCGTGCGACGATGACATTTCTCGAACTTTTTACGCGGTTGCGATTAAATGATTTAAGAGTGCACCGAATAACCTTTAATTCCGGCCATTGCAAATCGATTTGACAAGTGTGTATATTCCCCAACTCTTGTTTCACGTAGACTTCATACGTGACGTAAACTGTCTAAAGCTCCGTTCACACTCGGCCGCAGAGGAAGATGATTCCTCGATGAGTTTCGATACGTTCGTAGCGTTTGCACTTTAACAACACGATATGCAAATAATATTCGAATTTCGAATAGCTGCGAATGTTACTAATATATTCTAAATTAGCGCCAATTATTATTCGAGTTTTATCTTCTATTTTAGCAGCTCACTTCAGTACGTTTTTATTTTCAGTAAATTTCTCAATGTCCAATAGGAGAGTTTGCTTTTTAGTAACTTTAACTAGCAATATTTTAGGATCCAGAACAAAATTGTTTTCTATTGGATATCACGCGCGTGAATTAAAACGATCGCAATAAAATTTAATTCAAATAGACAATTAAATCGATAAAAATTAAATAATTAAATAATAATGCGTCATTAACTGCGCACTAGCTGTGACATTTCTCTCACCTCCGTGCCGCATTCCATTCTCCCACTCCTCTCCCTTGCTCCGTTGCCACTCCATCCCCACTCCTCACCACCTGCGCGCTGTGCTGCGCAGCGCATTCCAACAGCGCTGCGCGTGCGTCATTCGCACGGCGACATTCGAGCGGGAGGGTGTTGTTTTTCGCGCGCTGTCAATTTGACTGGAAAAATAAGGACATGCGACACGAAACTCTTCAGGTGCCTTTTCATACGCAGCATGCTGCAGCAACAAATCAGGCACGTGATCAAAATTTATTAGAGCATATTTTATTGTTCTCTTATTATTTCGAGGTTAAAATTACGATTTTTGCTTTTATATTCTCACAATAATCTATTTTATTCTTAAAATCCATTATTTAACTAATATAGGAATAATAATAATTGGAATCAACTAGTTGCGTGTTATTTTGCTTTGCTACTTTTGCTGTTCGTTCAATTGAACTTCACCAATAGCAACAAACTGCTGCGGCAGTATGCTGCACATGAAATGATACATGACAAACCACAGTCGATTATTTCAAAAATAATCGATTGTGATAGGTCAATTTCTTACGACACTCCATTGTAGAACAGCCTTAAGGCGGTCGTCGGGTGACGCAGAAATCTCTAGGAAATCTCTAGGAATCTCTCGCTGAGAGTGGCGAGACTGGCGAGAGCGAGTCACGTCACGCGACGCGTCACGTCCGCGCAGTCGGTCGACGCAGGTCGACGGGTCGTGATCGGCTGCTAAGGAAGGTCGCGATCGGGTTTTAAACGTCACGTCAGGTCAAATCAGGTCAGTTGATTATTTGTAGCTGTCGTCGTGCTAAATAATCGTCGTATCGCGCAGAAATGTTTCACTTACGGAGTCTTACGCGGTCATCGATTGTCGGTCTGAAGCAAGCGTCGAGCAATGACGTCGTGCAGAACATGTTGGCGCGCGCCGCGCTGGCTGTCGTTCAAACGGCAGCCCGTCGCGGATATGCCGATCACCAAATTCCAGACCGTCTCAAGGACGTGCCTGAAGCCCCGAATCCTAGGTTCTTCGATATGGTGGAATACTTTTTTCATCGCGCCTGCCAGATCATCGAAGACAAATTGGTCGAAGACATTGACAAACGATCACGTGTAGCCATCGAGGAGCGCAAGAAGAAAGTCAAGGGTATCTTGATGCTCATGGAGCCCTGTGATCATATCCTCGAAACTACGTTTCCGCTTAGACGTGACTCGGGTGACTACGAGATGATCACCGGCTATCGTGCCCAGCATTCAACCCATCGAATACCCTGCAAAGGAGGTATATGCGAAAAGAGAGGGCAGTCTTTTTCTGTTACTCCCTCCTCTCTCTTCAATTTCGAATCGCGATCGATTTTTTTTTATTTTGCTCAGTTTCATCATAAATATATCGAACTCGCATTTCTCGATCGATTTCAATTTTTTTCCTTTGTGCTGACCTTTACCACCGACGAGGTATTATTCCTCTTCGGTGCCTTTCCTACATGTTTATCCGCCTTGAAAATAAAATACAAATTTTCTTCTTTAAAAAGATATCGTATAAAAAGGTATTAAAAAATTATATATATACACATACACATTCTTTTTTACGATGTCTATAAACTTAATATAATATTTATTGAAATATTTGAAATAATGATAAAAAGCAGTGGAAATTGTGGAAAGAAATTGCTCTCACGAGTCGACTTGCTCCGTTTGTTATTATTTATTCTCATTTTTGCTTGATTTGAACTCCTTCAGCTTCATATATATTACGAAATGCCTTTAGTCGATGTGTGATAAGTTCACACATTTTTACACGAGACGATGCATATTTTATGAAATATATGTTTTGAATAATTTACGCAATTCATTAAAAAGCTGTCGCTATCGTATAAAGATAAAGTATAATATTCAAGATTTACAAAGAGATTTTATTGATGATAAATATCATTATTCATTTATTCCTTCTATTGTTTATTCTTAATACTTATTAATGTTTTTTCAAAAACAATGTGAAAATAATCATTGACATTTACTTACGTATTTATCGTTATTGCGTGAAGTGATTTATTTATTGGTGCGCGTAATACTTACGACATTTTTATGGCTTCGTTGCTAATGACTTCAGCCTTGAGATCCAACGAAGCTCAAATATACATATGTATGTGATAAAAATTTTCGCAAATTTATGGACGTGTTTACGACTATATTATGTCATAACGGTTTCCAATAGTAACCAGGCATATATTTTTGGCATCTCGCTTTTATACAGATTTTTTTGTAATAATTACAGTAAAAAAACAATTTTTTTGTGCTGCTAATATTTTTATATTTTGCATATAGTTTTTATAAAATATAACATTTTTTGTCATTTTTTATTTCAAACAATAGTTTTTAAGGCCAAAATATTTAAACCTGATCAATAAAAATTACAGATTATGATTAAATGGAGAGACAAACATGGTCACTACTTAACTACTAACACTATCAACGAGCGATTTACTCTGGCGTTTGTTTACTCGTACTCTGTAATTTGCCAGTTTTAAACATTTTTACTTCAAAAACTTGCTATGATATTTTGATTCAAAATTTAAATTTTTCGGGACATCCTGTATTTATATATCCGAGTACTTGTGAAAAAATGTGCTGACAATTGTGTATATTATAGCTTTATCTACGAAGAAAAGAAAAATAAAAAAATAGTCCACGAGTCTCACGTTACGTTGCTGATGAATTAAAAACGCCTATTGTATCACATCTCGCGATTAAACAAGATATGCCTCTGTTATGTCTCCGCCCATTGAGACGGTAGAATAAAGATAGAAAACTTTAGCTTTAGAGGCATGTAATAGATTCATAAATAACTTTTAAATAATAAAAATCTCACAAAAGGCATATCAAGTCCCATAAGCGTTATGTACACGATGAATAATACTTTTACACAAATGATATAATTACCATATTATTTCTCATTTCTGTCACTCAAAATGAGATAAAATTTCGACTATAAAAAGATAAAATTCTCAATTATATAATAAAACTTTAAGGAAAGAACACAACTGAAAGCACTTTTTATTTTCTTAATTCATGCCAAGTCGCCAGCGATTGTTTTAAATTAAATTCGTAATTCGTTGTGGACAGGTTTAATGAAGAGTAATTTTGGATCAAAAATGTAAAATAAAATACGCCAAAAGTAAACTCTATACTTGAAATTAATTGGAGAATGTGATTTTGTTAATACTTTATTTCCACAAGCCTGAATTTGCGAAAAACCCTTTATTTTCAATCGCTTATAACTTGAAAATGATTGACGTCTCAAGATTTTTACTGAGGAAAAATTCTCCAAATAACAACATCTACCTGTATATTTTCGGTGTGACACCTTATGTCAGACACCCTGTATATTGTATTGTAGTATTATAATAAAATACTTTTACTTGTGAGAGATATAAGATATTTTAACGTAAAATTATCACTAGGCATGTACAATCATCAATATAACGCGGAAAAACCTGTCTATTTGCATTTTAATTGCTTAAAATAAATTATTCACAAGAATGCATTAATGTGTTTGTGAAGTTTTAAAAGCGAACGCAAATTATAGACAAATTATAAAAATTAGTTTCTTTCTATATTATTATTTATATATACACACATGCTTTCTTTTCTTATGTTTTCTACATCTATCTTGTACACAAGAGATATTAATAATTAAAATGCATTTCTAGGTATTCGATTCTCGATGGATGTTTCGCGGGATGAAGTAAAGGCTCTGTCAGCTCTAATGACATTCAAGTGTGCGTGCGTCGACGTACCTTTTGGCGGTGCTAAAGCCGGCATTAAGATAAACCCTAAAAACTATTCGGAACACGAATTGGAGAAAATAACCAGGAGGTTTACATTGGAATTAGCAAAGAAGGGATTTATCGGTAAGCTCTCATTATACGTTAAAGAGAAATAATGGAGAAACATCTGCGACGTTACATCATCGTAAACAAAGTAAACTTGTGATGAAGAGATGGGAACAGAGGCGTGACGTTTGCGCGATAATTTTAGATATTGTTGCGAGCAGACGTGAAAATCTGTTTTCTCTGTTTCCCGTAATGTTTAGTGCCGCGCAAATTCACCCAGACAACATATCTAAAAATGGGATATATAAGGTAGATAAAGATATCTTAAAGACGTATTACAACCGTGTTACGATATGATGTCTAAACAACGTCTTAAAGAAGTCTTTAAGATACCTGTCCTGATTTTAGACGTGCTGTCTGGGCACATTCGTTGTTACGTCATAGCAGAAACACATTGCAGAAATAGGACTGTTGTGTAGTCTAATTAATTATCACAATTTATTAACTTAACAAGCTAATATAAACAAGCACAAATTTTAAACGCATTTTACTTACTACAATTTTTACTTACACAAAATAAGAATAGAATCTGTATAAAAAAAAAAAGTGACTAAAAGAATAAATAACTATAAGCGATAAGACATGTTAAGAATCTACAAATAGATTAGCTTCAAACATATATACGACATAGACAGAGAGCGAGAGAGAGGAGAGTGTAATTAATGTAAATATAAATTATTTTTATCTTATACATTTTAATGAAAAAATTCACACGCTCACTCTGCTGTATTCTCGCTGTTTTATTGCAATATTGAAATATTGTATATTAATTAATAAAATATGTGAGACATTTTGATATAATAATCGATACAAATTAACAATGATGAAATTAACATTTGATTAATGTATTATAAGATTAGATTAAAATAAGAACAAAATTTAATGATTTTTTAAATATATTTTATTATTAAATTTTAATATTAGAAACAAAATAGTGATATACATATGAATAACGCAATTTGTTGTCGAATAATTTCTTTATCTCAAATAATATATATTTTTTAAGGACCCGGTGTTGATGTACCTGCACCGGACATGGGAACCGGCGAGCGGGAAATGTCCTGGATAGCAGACACTTATGCAAAAACTATCGGTCATCTCGACATCAACGCTCACGCTTGCGTCACCGGCAAACCTATTAATCAGGGTGGCATTCATGGCCGCATTTCCGCGACAGGTCGTGGAGTGTTTCATGGATTGGAGAATTTTATCAACGAGGCTAATTATATGAGCATGATTGGTACATTTGCGCGCGAATTGTTACTTTTATTTATAACTTAATATATGTATTTAATTACGTACAATACGGTATCGATTGTCGGATACGATTTTTATAAATTATTGGGAGCGATTAAAATTAAGATTAATGGAAAGTTTTTAATTTAGATGATTATTTTATAATGAAAAATTACACTAGATAGTTTATAAAAATATTTTTTATTATTTTGCCACATAGGCATTTCTTGTAAATTTTTGGATGCTGAATAAGATGAACCAATTTTCACCATCACGTCAGGTTTCCGAAATAATTGAGGTTTAATATACAAAAACTGACTTGCAGTATTTGAGATTTTTTGTGAAAAAGATTTAACGTTAACTAAAAATTTCGATCAGATAAATGTATTATTTGTGCTCTATAAAATAGATTCTTTTTTATTTCGATAACTTAGTTTTTAATTATGTTATGAGAAATTAAAGCTGGAAATTACTTTTTATATACGACATCCGTGGTACTCTATGAGTAGGAATTCCCAACTTAATTTTTCATAACAGCTAAAAAGTATCGAAATAAAAAAAATGCATTTTATAAGGGACGAACAATATATTCATAACATCCGATCAAAATTTTTTAGATAACGTTAATCTTTTTCACAAAAAATATCCAATATTGCAAAGAAAGTCATTTTTGCACATTAAACCTTAATTATTTCGAAAATCTGACGTGCTTATAAAAATATCATTTTTAGCATCCAAAAATCTAGAAACATCTTGTCTGGTTTAAAATAATTTTTGGCTATAAAGTAGTTATCTTTCTGCTACAGTAAGTTCCGTGTAATATCTTATGGCATTTGAATACCAAACAGCTTTTTTTAGAGAGAACATATAAATAAAGAAATGTAATAATCCGCAGGTACTACACCTGGTTGGGGAGGCAAAACGTTTATTATCCAAGGTTTTGGTAACGTAGGTTTGCATTCAATGCGTTACTTACATCGCGCCGGTGCGGCTTGTATAGGCGTGATTGAACACGATGGATCCATTTATAATCCAGATGGCATAGATCCAAAGGTAAATGGCAAGATGTACTCTGATTACTGTGATTATCTTTTTACTACGAATTGGAAAGATTTGTTTATCGATAATTACGCTTTCTACGTTTCAGGAATTAGAAGAGTATCGCATAGAAAACGGTACCATCGTTGGCTTTCCTGGAGCCAAGCCATATGAAGGTGAAAATCTTATGTACGAACCGTGTGACATATTTATACCCGCTGCCATAGAAAAAGTAATTACCAAAGAGAATGCCGGACGTATCCAGGTAAAGCAATTTAATGTTGCACAAAATACTCGTCATGTTTCATGATTTACATATTAGATATATTTGAAAGAAATTACATTTTGGACACACACATGTATTTATGTATATCTATATATATATATATATATATATATATATATTGAATTAAAATTTAGTCAATCAATTACAATTTATTGAAATTGTATGCTCTTATTTTTAAAAATTCTTTTCTTTAAAACGTATGCCTTTTTTAAAAAATTCTTACAAATTTGTTGATGAGAAATAGTTATGTACCACACTTATATACCGTATTAAATTTGATAAATTAAGACAGAAATACAATTTTAGAACTTGAAACAGTCTTGAAGCACACTTGAGGCGTTAATTAAATCTAAATTACACTTTTTTAGGCAAAAATAATCGCAGAAGCTGCCAATGGGCCGACCACTCCTGCCGCAGATAAAATTCTAATTGATAGAAATATTCTTGTAATCCCGGATTTATATATTAATGCCGGTGGTGTCACAGTCTCATTCTTCGAATGGCTAAAGAACTTGAACCACGTATCCTACGGCCGTCTTACCTTCAAATATGAGAGAGAGTCCAATTATCATCTCTTAGGTACAGTCAACAATTACTATAAAATTTAACAAAAAATTTGAGTGAATTGAAAGTGCAAACGCAATATCTCTAAAAATGTATTTTTGTCCGTAGAATCGGTACAGGAATCTCTGGAACGTAGGTTTGGTCGTGTCGGCGGCCGTATTCCCGTCACGCCATCCGAAGCTTTCCAGAAACGTATATCGGGTGCTTCCGAAAAAGACATTGTCCATTCTGGTCTGGATTATACAATGGAAAGATCCGCTAGGGTAATTAACTAGACATTAATCGATGTAATAAGTTTACATTTTGCGTAACGTGAGCGAAATATCATTGTTCATAAACATACACTTTTTTGCATAGGCCATTATGAAGACTGCCATGAAATTCAATCTTGGGCTCGACTTAAGGACAGCCGCATATGCCAATTCGATTGAAAAGATATTTACTACTTACTCAGAGGCCGGTCTCGCTTTCTAAGTATTTTAGTCGCAAAATTGCACACAGTAAATATTGTAATAATGATAAAAACAAAGTCAGTTTTTAATCTTTTGATCACAAATGACTTGATATATCGTCTAAGAAATTCATAGATAGTTGATTACGATTATATCAATTCGCGAGTAGTATTCAAACTTTCGATGGAAACGTATCTCGTCTAGCAGTATCATTTATCACGTTTCACATTGTAATAATTTGCCTCCGTTATACATATATATGTAGATAAATATATATATATATATATATATATATATATATATATATATATATATATATATATAGAAAAAGATTCACCGGATATTAAAAAATCGTCAATTAGCATTACGAAATAGCATTCAAAAAGAAATCGACATTGATTATTCTTTTTGCAAAATGGCTGACAAATAAGTAAAATCAGTGCATTTTTATATTCCAATTTTTATGCATGTGAACTTGATAAATACAAGAAAGTATAGTACGTTTTAAAGCTGTCTTATATAAAGCAAATAAATATCTATAATTCGCTAGTTTTCTTGAACATGCGAATTTTATATACTACTATTACCAGCTATATTACACACTGACAAGAAAGAAACCGTTATGATTTTATTATTTACAACAAAGACTTTGACTTTTGTCGAAACTTGGAAAGCGATACAAGACACGTGTATCTAACCAGATATACGATACGAACATACATTTGTTATATACACGCAAGATTCTGTTAATAAAAAAGCACTCAATTTTGAAATTGAGGTTTTAATTATGCGCAAATAGCACAAAAGTGTCGTTTGTGATGTTATCCGATATGTCGAGTGCGTTTAATAAGTGCCATCGCAACAATACGCTGTAATTGTCGCGCGATAATACTGAAATCGCAAAAATAAAAATTTATAGTTAGATAATTTAATATAATCTTATTAATTTAACTTCCTTTGGTTATTAACCTTTTTCACGCGTATCCTTGACTCGCCTTTTAATAGCAGATATAAGAAAAGCGAGTTTGCCTGTATCCTTTGCAAGTGTTTCTCTTCTCACATATATTATTCACGATAACGATAACGAATCGCGCATAAAATACGTATATATTTTATCTGGCAATTTGCCCTCAAAGACAATCAAATGTAAAATAAACTTTAATTTCAAAAAATCGTGTGTGCGTATACTGTATACACATAACATATGTATATCTGCGCGTGTAAAGATTGTAAAAAATATATGTTCCAAGCTTGAAATCTGTCTCAAAGCAATACGCGTTCACAGGACGATCGAATATAACGATACAATAAAAAGCAAACGAAGCGGGGATTGCGCGCAATCGGGTGAAATATTTCCCTCCCGATCTATATCGGGAAAATTTGGAGATGAAATGCGGAGCACGGAGGAATGCGAGATACCGCAAATAACTCGCGAGCGGGGTAGGTGGTGGCATGTAGGTGTGCGCGCCGTATATGACGGCAAAGTATGGTCGGGGCGGCCCGAGCTAGTCCAAGGTCCAAGTTGCTCCGCGTGCATCGCTATACTCGCTACTCGCCAGGGGCGGCGCCCGCTCCGTTCTCTATAAAGCGTCGCGACGCCGCGACCACGATTTCACTCCCGTCCCGTCTATATTCTGCTCCCGACCTGTCAGCACGTTCCGCGTCGTCGGCAGCGAAGCAAGGTGACAAAAATCAAACTCGCACCCTTTCTCGCACCCCAAAGTCACACCTACTCCGATTTTTGCATAATTTTGTTGCTATCGATCGTTGTCCTATGATGTAAAATAGTTGAATTATTCCGGTTGCCTGGGATACAAAGCTGTCCAAATTTCGGGGTGATGGTGAATCTGTAACAACATTGGATCGCGTGTAAAGTGTATGCCGGCAAGTTGGCGCGATCCAAGATAATAACACCGAATCCAACGTTCGTGACTGACTTGAGAAGAGTGATTAAATCCTGTGAACGGAATGAACGATCACGTTCAACCATTGATGTGCATATCTGTTCCTATTGTTGAAATGTTGTTTTGTTTGCACAGCGGTGCGCGCATTGAGCGCATTGCAATCGAACGGTTGGCATAAACAGAGAGATGAAAGCTCATTATTCACAGCTCGTATAAGACAGACGTTTTTAACCGTGCATATTGCTGCAGTAACGATGCAAATCTTGCAATGCTGCAAATGTAATATAATAATTATTACATTTCAATAACGAAGTTTCATATAGTATAACAAGTTATTGCAGAAATGTTTTATCATCTATAAAATTTCTATGCCGTATACAAAATGTCAAAAAGCAAGAGAGAAATTCCTTAAAATTGCCCAACATATTATATATAATATAATTTTGTACTTTATACTGCGCGTTTCATGTATGTACATTCACACACACAAATATATATGTGTTATCTTTTACAAAATGAACTGTTTATTAGGTGGCGAGGTTCGAATCACGGGTTACTCCCACCAATGATATGTCCATACCTATGGCAACCATGAGCAACAGCAATGGATCAACGATGCAGATTAACACTCGACCTGATGATATCCGAAAGCGAATCATTGGATGTGAGTTCTCCATAATGACGATTAAACAAAATTTTGAAACATACCGGGAGATTTTGTACACAGAATTTTCTCTTAGAATTTACCCTGAAAATCATGATAATCGTGCGACAATATGGTATTGGAACTATGTACATAATAAAACTTACTATGTACATATAATAAAAAATATAATATGTACATATAATAAAAATATAATATGTACATATTAAAGTATACTATGTACATAGTAAATAAGATTCTTCTAATACTATAATGTCGCACGATTTCCATGATTTTCAGGTAATTTTAAGAGAAAATTCTCTCCGCGTATGATTCAGCAATTTTTTCATTTTTTTAATGTTAATATGTTTCCATTGAATTTCTACCTCATATTTTCTATAATCGCATTGATTAAATAAGAAAAGAAAAACGTAAAAATTAAAAATAATGCGTGTGTAATTTTGATTTTGTTTCATTTCTCGTTTTGATTTTGTTTGTAGCAGCACAAATCATACACTTTATTCAATTGATTTCATCTTATCTTTCTTATTTTGCTCTCTATCTTTATTTTTTATATTAATTTTATTTCATTATCTTGAAAAGTTATTTTAAGAAATATGATTAATAAAGGTTCTCATAACCGTCACAAACGGAAGCTTCATATACGTGTATCATTGTTCTCGAACCTCAAGTTCGTGGAATGAATTATTTCAAGAGTGTAAAGAAGGTCAAATACTTGCATACGTACGTAGCCAAACTTTAACATAGTGAATCGTGCAATGGTTTGTCAGTGATTGATCGTATACGGCTTATCAAAAAAGTCGGAACTGATTATCTTAAAAATGTATTGTACATGTAAAAATATAAATCTATAGCTTTTTAAAATTGCAATATCGCGCGATTATATTCCCGATATAGATCTAATCTGACGATAAAAATTATAGTAATAATTATATATTTTCGCGCAAAATCCAAAAATAGTTTATTAAAATAATATCATAAAATAAAACTTATTAATTTTTTTATGTCTTTCTACTTTTTCCACGTTTTAGTACGAGACGTTTTACATTACAATTTCTTCTGATTTACAATAAGTCATCATTTTCAGATAAGACGTCTCGTATCTTGTCGTATATCTCTGCTATTGATACTAAAACTTTGGTCAAACATTGCAAACAAAATAATCAATTGCGCGAACGAAAATTGAAATTAAAGATTATAAAGATATCCAAATGTGTCAATGGAAAGAAAGAAATTTAATCTCCTTTTTTCCAAAATTAATCCAATATTCCAATCTAATTGATAAAATTTAATCTTCACTCTTCAATGCGTAGTCTGATACTATAAAGCTTTACGGCTCCAAATATAGAAAAAATCGCATCGACAATCGATCTTGACGGGTCGCGTCTATCGTGTCTTCTTTGTGACCTGATCATCATTATGTCATATGGTATACGATATACGTTCATATTCGATATATGACACAAAGTATATAGACCTACAAACTCTCGTCTTAATATCATATTTTTCACTAGGAATCTTTTCTTAATCGATTTGAAATACAGTTTTTCTCTAGAAAATATACCGAAGATGCCTATATGAAACAAGAAGCAAAATTATATTCTTTCCAATTGATTTTTTAAAAATAGCTTTTATTCAATGCATAAATTATACATACATACATACCATTCATATATATATATATATATATATATATATATATATATATTTATAGTTAATTTGAAGAGATATTTGCTATAGGTACATTTGTAAATTGATGAAAATTGACGTACGTACAATGACTTCCGAATATGTTTGCTTGGAAAAAATAAAGCTTAAGCTTAAAATAAAGCAAAGCAAATGATTCGCTATAGGTCTGGGACACCCTATTCACCCTATTACACGTCCAGAGACACGCGCGTGAACTTGATGCATTAGCATTCACCTTGTACGCTTTCTATAGACTCGCTATAAACGCTATAAACACATCGTCGAATGAAATATCCAACAGAGACCGAAATCGTCTAGAGACTAGTTCGATTAATCTCGATCTAACAATAAAGAACAACGTCGCACATTTACCCCCTTTTTTTTAAAATAATGTACGACGCCACCACCGTCGAATAGTTCGTTCCTGATAACTATTCCGATAAAGCCTTTTGCTGTTTCTACTTTCGCAATTGATCGGACGATGATAAGCATCACGAAAGCGATGTAAATATTTATTCTGACGACGATCAAGTAGCATGCACGATAGTTTTATATGATAATATATATATTAATATTTTATTATTGTAAAATTTAATGCATTTAGTACAGACACCGACGAGCGAATAGGTACGTTATATCACGGGGAGAATTTTCTCTTAGAATTTACCCTGAAAATCGTGGTAATCATGGACAATATGGTATTGGAAGAATTTTATAAGAATTTCTCTGATTAATATTTATCACAATAAAAAATATTAATATGTATATAATACTTAAATTTTAGTGCGTACATAGTATAATTTTAGTACGTATATAGTAAATTTTACTATGTACATAGTAAAATTCATCGAACATATTTTATATTTTATTGTGGTCGATATTACTATTTTCCTAAGAGACCCAGCAAACACCAAGTAACTATTATATGACTGTTAGTTATAATTTCCAACACGTGTGTTATATTGCATTTATATTGTTAGTTATAATTACAATTATAAATGCAACTTTATTATTATAATTACAATATAGTTATAATTACAATTATAGTTACAATTATAATTACTCATAGTTATAATTACAATTATAAATTAACAATATAAATGCAATATAACACACGTGTTATATTGCATTTATATTGTTAATTTATAATTGTAATTATAACTATAAGTAATGATAATTGTAACTATAATGTAGGAAATTATAATTAACAGTTATATAATTGTTACTTGGTGTTTGCTGGAAAAAATTCTCTCTGTGAGATAATAAATTTTCAAAAAAATTGAAAATACACGAAGTTTCCTTTTTCCAACGATACTCCGTACTGAAATAAAATGCTACATTTTTTAAATATAGAATAGAGAAAATGCTATATTTTGCAACAAATGTTGGATTCGAAGGAACACGGGTTGATTGTATATAACCAGAAGGATTTTCGTAAATACATACGTGTCTCACCCTTGCGAATAAACAAGGTGGACGAAGGGATAAATACAGAGAAATATATAGATAGAGGAAAAGAAAACCGTAATTAAAGTGACGAAGGAGGGTTACACGGGGGTAGATATAATTTAAGGAGGGATAAGAAGAATGGAAAGGGTGGGTGGAAAAAGGGCAACAGCCAGCAAACAAGGGCGGCGCAAACGCGCACCTCGCGCATGCTGCTTCGGCGAGGGCAAAAGACAGGGATGAACGAAAGAGAGGTTACTGGGCTGACAATGAGAGGGAGGAAGAGAGAAGTGGCAAGTTGTGCGGCAACATTTCTAGTCGCGATGAATCGCGTGAAAGACGAATAACGTGCTCCGACCATTTACATTTGCATTCTTTGATACGAAACAACTATTGTCTTCGTGAAAAAAGGAAAGAGAGGGAAAGCCATTTCGGTGCTTCCGTCCAAAGTGATATAGAACGAGAATCGAGATTAAGATATCTGGGATCGTTTCGAGATGACGGATGCTGGTAAGCAATTACATCGAGGTGATTGATTGACGAATGAGGGCGGAAAAAGCTATTGATTTAACGGGACAGTTTATATACGAAAGTGTCATATTTGCCAACTGCATGCTCATCTATCAATCGTCATCTATATAAGATCATCTGTTGGATAAATGTATATAGATATAAAGTATAGGGTTATTATTCCAAGTTGTTTACTATAGGTGTAATTTCTTTGAGAAATGAGAAAATACAAATTCAACAAATTAGAATCTCTCCCTCAAAGAATTCAAAAATGAATTTTATATACCCTTTTGTTTAAGAGGCTGCTTGAAACTAGCAATAGATTAATTGAGACTTCGTTTATAAATGTTTCTCGAAAAATAATATTGCGACTAGACTGAAATCTTCGACTAAAGCTCTTTGTAACATTATTATTTTTTCGAATGTAGGTTGTGTGCATGTATGACGTATGTATATATTGATCGGCGCGTAAAGCAGCCGAAGGCATTGGAATCAATGGCGATTGTACACGCTTACCCCAACACATACACACAATGTATAGTATTTAGTTGTTACAAAAGACAATTATCTACATCTACGTTATTTACTAATATTAGGAAAAAACCTCTTCTATGTTTCTCGAAACTTTACAGAAACATTCACACATACCTATATATCTCGTTCCAAAAGTAATCAATTTCTGTTTTTGTACAAAAATGTCCTGTGCTATTTAAAAATTTGTACGTGTATTCCAGATTTATTTATTATAGCCGTAAAGAAAATAAGTAAAAAGAAAATAAGTAAACCTCGACACTTTTTTAATATACGATCAAGAAAGTGCATATATTTTTTATGTGCACGTGCGCTTATAAGTTTATATATATTTTGATATAGCATTCAGATTTATACACCAAAAAAGTAATGCTAAACGATATTGTCGTGTAACATTTATTCCTATAATAATATCGATTTTATTATATGTTACACGAATATCAATTAACAAATATTGTACATACACACACATATTCTATATAGAAGACTAATCTTTATTGAATAGCAAAATAAATGTTAAATGGTGTATTTCTCTTGTCTCCATAGCGACAAGGATAATCATAATATCATTACATACTTATTGTATTCACTCAAATTATATATAAAAATAGAAGTAATGTCACAGAGACAGAAAGATGTATTCCCTAGACGCGCTATAATGTACATACTTGAAAAACTAGATTATTAGTGTCGTCGGTCACACAAACAATTACGACAGTCAATAGACGGTATCCAATTGTGTCGACGTTACTATCTGATGACAACTTTTTAGAACACATGTTTGATACTATTCGCCGTTCAATACTATTCAACTCTTGTTCAATTATCGACAGACTGCTTTACACTAGGAAAACTAGGCCATTAAAGTCATTGATTTTAATACGAGAGTTTAATTTGTCAAACTTTTTTCCCTAAACTTTAACATTTTTTAATTTTCTCTTCTATTATAAATATATTTCATATAAATATCGATCTGTAAAAAAAACAAGTTTAAAACAATTTGAGTTTTCTTCCAATTATTTATTTTATTCGCGTATTAATTAAACTTTTTAAACATTATTGAAATGATTTAAACGTTTTCGGGAAAAGGTTTTAATTTTTATATATAATTATATATAAATAATTGTATAATCGTAAAATTTTATGTAAAATATGTCTATTTTTATACATAATTATACAAATTTATATATAAATTATAAAGGTTCATATATAATCATGTCAAATTATATATGAAACATATATATATTTATATGTATGAAGAAATATAAATGTATATATAATTATATATAAAAAGAACTTTTATCTAATTATGTATGGACATATTTTATATATAATTTTGCGATTATATATGTATAATTATATATATCTCTATATAATTTTATGTTATATATAAAAAATTTCCCGGATTATTATTATACATTACAGCAGATGATAGTGCACAAGGAGACTCAACAGCATGTGGTAACATTCTCGTTGTATTGTCATGGATTGTCGTAATTTTGACGATGCCGTTCTCTCTCTTTGTCTGCTTTAAGGTAAGATATTCTTTGATATATATATATATATATATATATATTTATCTATTTGCTGAAATTCAAAATATTCCGATGTAACTATAATCAGTGCCATAACTAAAGCGGTGCCCTCATACCGGGCGCAAGTTTCGGGACGAAGTCAAGATGATAAAACAAGTTTGAAAAACAAATTTTTTAATTTGAACAAAGTTTGTGAAAAAATTTTATTAATATTTATTTATATATTTTATTAATATTTATTTGCAACAAATAAACATCCTTTTTGTTATTTCAAGAGTTTAATGGTTTTATTACTTATACAAGTATTTCGGAAGAGGAGAAAGACACAAAATGTTAACGCAGGCTAGTTACAGCACTGACTATAATATATGTGTATATATATATATATATATATATATATATATATATATTGTATATGGTGTTATATACATACTATATAACAATATCCATAATATACATATACATGTATATATTTATTCTCTCGCTGCGATCTTATTATTAGATATTGCAAGCCATTGAGTGATATGCATCAGAGTGTGTAGCTGTCGCGCATATATATGTATACGGTTTCATTAACAGACTACATTATATTGATCATTCTTATGTCATCTATGGCCTTTATTATTAATTTTGCAATAAAATCAAGCATTAATTTATACGATACTGCGATACTCGCAATATTCGAATCAACATTTTTCTCCTACTTTCAATCTCAATACAATAATATATATTTGTACACAATATAGAAGTTCAATTCCTATACAAATTAAACTTATCAAAATATTTTGAAATTTTTAAAATAAAAGAGAAAATTAAGACTAAATATACCTGTAGAAACAAAGTTTCAACTCGGATGGCCATTTCGAATAAGTGATTATAATTTCTCATCACAATTTTTATCAAGTTTTTATCAATATCATCAATTTATTTGACATTTATTTATTAATAAAATTCTTATTTTAATACATCTCAGAAAAAATGTATCTCCTTTGGATGATTTGCAGGTCGTGCAAGAATACGAGAGAGCTGTTATATTTCGATTGGGACGTTTATTATCGGGTGGTGCTAAAGGCCCCGGTAAGATATGAATTAAAACTATAAATATGTTAACCCGTTTAATTATAATGTGTGTAATTAATTGAAACACAACACTTGTGATCGCGGTTATATGTATAAGAAACTTTTATAATTGCATAACTATTAAACACGATGTTTGATTGTAAAATTTAGATATATGTATCAGGTGTTACTTATATAAGACACGTAATCTTATATAAGACCGAATAATTACACCTACAATATTATACGAAATGCAATCTTCTTCTTATATTTATGCAATTATTAAATAAAGCCTCATAGTATATTGTGTGTTTATGTTTCTAGGAATTTTCTTTATTCTGCCGTGTGTGGACAATTACGCACGCGTTGACTTACGAACGCGAACGTACGATGTACCTCCTCAAGAGGTAAAATCGAATTTACATATTTAAATATATATATGTATTAATTATAATAGTGATAACGGAAGCTGACAGACCATTTTTGAATTTTCAAATCTTTATTGCAAATATGTAGTGTATTATGCATGATAAAATTGCCAATTGTGTCAAAGATCATCATTTTCTTACTTTGATTCTTTCGTAATTTAATATTATTAATTATCTATAATATTATTAATTATTGTCTACTAAATAGCCTCCTTTAAGCACAACTGCAAGCATATCATTGTTATGTTATAATTGTGATTATTGCTTCAGTCACTAAGATTATTTAAACTTTAAAATGCATAAATATGTTATTAATTTTCCAACATTCAAAGTCAGTTTCTCACAAATTTTTTTGCATAAAAATTATCCTACTTTCAGTTATTTTTCGACCTACATTTTTCCTCTGTATTATATCCTTATGCGGATAATGTAGTGTAGAGAAACTTTGAATATTACATATAATGCTAAAATGTCAATAACTTCATTTTTGGATCTATCTATAATTTATCTATTTATACATATATTGACACCTATACTCTATATTATAGGTCTTGACGAAAGACAGCGTTACAGTATCCGTCGACGCAGTGGTTTATTATCGCGTTAACAACGCGACCATTTCGATTGCGAACGTAGAGAACGCGCATCACAGCACGAGACTATTGGCCCAAACAACCTTGAGGAATACTATGGGGACTCGACCGCTTCATGAAATATTGAGCGAACGTGAAACAATCTCCGGAAATATGCAGGTATGCGAGAAATAACTTGACTTGCAATAAAAAACATTACATAGTTGATTTTTTTATTTATTTTTGATATAAAGATATTTTGTACGAAAACTTTTCAAATTAAACGATAAATTAATGATAATTCTTTTTTATTATTGCATTTATAAAATTTTTAATCATTCTCTAATGCTCATCTAGATACAATTTATTAAAGCACGACTCGCAATCAGTTCTGTGCGTACCTATATATTAAAAATAAATCAAGTTTTTAAGTTCAATATATGTCGATAGAATTCGTCAAGAATTAATGACGTATGTATATTTTAACGATTATAAATATATTAGGTTGCCTTAGACGAAGCTACTGATACATGGGGAATAAAGGTTGAACGAGTCGAAATGTAAGTAATGTAACACAAATTACTCTTACTGTAATGTCACGCCATCACTTTTACTGTATATAATGAAAATAATAATTAATTGTATATATATATTTTAAAAAGTAATTATTTTATATGATGATGATGGATAATGATAATGATGATGATAATAATTATCGTAAAAGATCCGCAATAAACAAACTGTAGAAACATATATATAGATAACACCACCAAATTCTGTGACTAATTTAGAGACGATTTTTCCTCAGTGAAAATGTTGAGGCACCGAAAATTTTCAAGTTAATAAAAATTTGAAAAAAAAAGTTTCTCGCAAACTAAAGTTTGTAGAGTTAAAATATGAATAAAAATTGACAAAATTACATTTAGTTTCAGGTAGAGTTTACTTTATAGAATTTTAATGTAAAACTTTGTTATAAAGATACATGATGACAAAAATTGAGAACATATAAGAAATGATGACCTCCCTTTTTGCTGAAGAAAAGTCATCGGGTCTAAATTGGCCAAAGAATCTGATAGTGTGCTCATATACCTGTTTTTTTTCAATTACATTCTGTGTGTGTAGTTATAGGTATATATGTAGATAAATTGCAATTTTTGCATTATAATATTTACATGTAGCAAAGATGTGCGTCTACCTGTACAACTACAGCGAGCCATGGCGGCGGAAGCCGAAGCCGCACGTGAAGCACGCGCTAAAGTAAGTCACGTCAACACCAAACTTTGATCATTTTGTTTGTATCGTTAAATATTGATAATTTGATAATTATATTCTTAGGTAATTGCCGCGGAAGGTGAACAAAAGGCCAGCAGGGCTTTGAGAGAGGCGTCGGAAGTCATCGGCGATTCTCCTGCTGCTTTGCAGCTCCGTTATTTGCAGGTGAGACAAATAATGTATTATTATTAATTTGATATCGTTATTAATTTATTATTATCGATTAGACGCGTGTTATCAATCATTTATCATTGCGTTCTCGCATTTTTTTTCAAATTTTCTTTGCAATTTTCTTTTAATTTTAGACACTAAACACAATATCAGCGGAGAAGAATTCTACCATTGTGTTCCCGCTACCGATTGATATGCTGACTTATTTCATGAAAGCTCTGCCGAAAGAATAATCGCGTATAAAAATGTCGCATTTGTGAGACATATAAGGAAAAAAAGAATGACGATTTTCTTCAAACTCTTTGAAAAATAAAGAGTTTCGTTTGACGATGTATCCGCGTATGTTAGACAAGGTTGCATATTATATCTCAACGATGAAGAGTTGCCAATATTTGACCAATCTGACAATTTTAAATTAAACGGGCTGTAATCGTTAAGTGATATATTATATGCACATGGATAATTGTAAGTTGTATAATTTCGTCGTGCAAGATTCTTCAATTCGAAGAATTATATACGCGCATACAGATACAGTACACAGACTGCGTTTAAAACATATTTTTGGAAAATCTTACAAAGTTATATTTTACACACATTTACATGCTGTAAAAAGTATGTAAACGTATGTTTATAACACAGACATAGAATGTAACTGAACGACATCGATATATATTTGCGTATCTCCCAATTTTGACGCAATAATTTCACTTGGGTCAAATATATATTTATAATCAACACTCGACACTGAAAAAAATACAATGATTAGATATATACACTTAATAATCCGTTCACAGATTTCGCACTGCCACTAACATCAAATTGTACAAATTGTGTAATATTTGTACAAACTGCAATCCATTTTACGATATAATAAATTTTGAACGATTAATTACTATAAACAAAATTTATTTCGCACAATAATTAGTCGATAAATATAAAAAACGATTATTTCTATCGTATAATCTAACAGATATATATATATATATATATAACACACACACTATATATATATATATATATATATATATATATTGAACTGCATTATCGAAACTGATTAAAACAACCAACAGTTCGTTAAATTTTTGCCTATTTTGCCTATATTGCACTAAACCACGTCAAGTGTGACAGATTAATTCAATATACATATTTTTTGATTGATAAATTTAGAGATAATAATCAATATAAAAACTATTATTACAGTTTTTTAGAGATAATAAATTTTACAGTCACTAGAAATATCTATATTTTAAAGGCCTGTGCGATATAATCATTTGGTCCAACATCGGCAACTCTTGCTAGCTAGATATTTATACATTGTTTATTCGATTTATATGTATATTCATTAATATTTATCCTTTGATGACTTATCTTATTAAAAGAAATCGAAATATATATATGAATAATCAAATTACATGATCTCGAAGAGAATATATAGTATTATTGATAAAATATTGAAAGTGGATAAAAGCGGACATACATATATGTATATTTCTTAAAAGCATATATACATGATATAATGTACGTTATATCATCAAATCAATACATATATATGTATAAATGTACTAACAATTTTATATATTTGGCTACTACTGTTTTATAAAACCACTTATAAAATGTTTTATTTATTTAATATTTATAGTTATTCTATGTTGTAAATATTTTTCCATACTTGTAACCAATATAAGAGGGATCAAGTTTTCACATTTTATGGTAGCTGTTTAAAGTTTAAAAAGCAGAATTATTGAATGTATTGAATTATATTGACTGTGAGTGAAACAAATATATGAAAATTATCGTGATGTTTCAAAAGACTTATAACGAAAATTTATTGTAACTGTGATGACGGTTAGATAATATTATATAAAATAAGTATAATAAAGTCAGTTTATTTATCTCTCGACTGACGTTTTTAAATAAAGTGAGCTGAAATAATTATCTCACTTTCATATTTTAATTTAAATGCAAAAAATCATGGCATTTGTCTAATTATTATTAGAATAAAAAACATTTTGACCAATATATGATATGTAAAATAATAATGAACAACTGATTGAATATATAATATGAATGACGATGCACAATGTAATTCATGTATTTAACGTTGTTTCTACTAATTTACAACAATGTAGTTATTTACGAAATTGAGAGAGCACAAATAATTAGAAAATTTCGAAAAATTATTTAAAGAATTAGTTGCAAAATTCTATATTGTTTTAAGAATATATGTATAAAATATATGTACATATATATCCTCTCCTCTCCTCCCTCTCTTCTTTTATCAAAAATAATTTTATGGAATTTTTAAGATTTGATCACATTGATATGATCACAATGATGAATAACATTTGATAAATATCTACATATACACAATAATGACATTCGATGCATCTACTGCATACTTGTGTAGTATAATCATCTACTCATCCATCTTCCTCTCACTTCACACATACATACACATACACACACACACACAAAATACATATATACTAGCTATATATAATATAATATACACGTGCATACACACGGATACTTATGTGTGTATTTTTATTCTATCATTTTTAAGTATTATTAGAATTTGATATTTTATAAAAATGAAATAAAAAAAGCTACCTCTGCTTTTATTAAATGTATACATCTATTAACTTAAGCGTGTTGGCTCAAGATTCTAATCAGTCTACCAATTTGCGCAGACGTTAATAACTCAAAGTTTGTGAATATTATAAATGTTGTAATCATAGTATTTTACTCGTTATTATACTCTGCATACTAAACCAAAAAGTTACATGACAACCAAATATTAACACAATAATTTTTACAGCGATTGTCGATATCATTATCCGTTCCGTTTTTATTCTTCTTAACATTTTCATCTTATTGTTAATAATCATTGTATTTTATTATATGGATTGTATAAATATAATATAGATATAGATACAATATCTGTTAAAAATTTTAAAAATGTATTTCTTTTCTAAAAGATACATATATGTTAATTAATCTAAAAAAGAATGTGCGCAATATGATATTATTTTATCATAATGTTTATTTTTAATTAGCTATCAAATACATTTTTTATCAAGCTAATTCTTTACATGTTAACATATATAGTTATAAAAAAATGTGTGTCAAAAATTTCAAAATAAAAATCGATATTCCACAAACCTATGTATATATTATTCCTTTAATTTGACTTAACTTTACAATGATCTTTATTTTAATTTTGTTGTACAAGGTTGTTGCACATAATTAAGACAGAAACCTTTATTTCCGACATCACTTGGTGCCTCGGTACTATCCGTGTGAAAAATTAATCGGAACGGCTTCACGGTACCTAAAGGAGTAATCGAAAAATCTGTATAAAGGTTGCGTTTATGTGTATGTGTGATAAAAAGATAAATTGATATTTATTGAAATATTTAAAATAATTTACAAACTATTGTGTGAAAGAACTGGAAAAATTCTTATTATTTTAATCTATCTTAAAAGTATACGTATATATATTTTAAGGAAAATGTATATTTTCAATACACTCGCACGTGTACATTACGTATGTTAAAACAATAAGTAATATAAGAATCTGGTCGAAAACTGATAACTCACTGATAACAGACGACGTGTTCCAATTCTGAGTTTCCGAATTGAAGGTACCGCCACATAATCGATCAACGCATATCAGTGGCGTCGTGGGCATCCGGCCCAAATTGATGGCGCATGGAATCGATAACCAATCGGTCAAACAAGATGCTCCCGTCATTGATGCTATTTGCGTATTCTGCGTGTTTCCTGTTAGCGTAAATGCATTATTACGTATTATTGGACCCGATATTCCTGTCGTGATAGGTATCATTCCTTGAGCTGTAAACGATAAATTATATATAAAATTATAAAAAATTTTTTAGCTTAAATTATATTATATAGTTTAATTATATAATATATTAATAGTTAACTATTATTACATATTATTGTATACATTGTATTTTTCTTTCATCTTTATATATCTTTTATTATATATATGTTTCTCTTTCGTACCATCGTCAGTACACGCCATATATTGAATTCCACAAAAGTTTCTCTCCATTCTTATGCATATACTGTAATCTTGATTTGACAATTGCAATCCAGTCGTCGGATCGTAATTAAAAGATTTTATTTGACCGGAAACCCCAGTGAAATATTGGAGACAGCCTTCTTCGGCTCGATATATCGTACTGCATCGTATCTGCGAAATGCGAACCTTCCACGATCGTGAAAATGAGTTACCACTCGTGACAAAAGTCAAAGTTACCGGATTAGTTTGTCCAATGCCTGTATCTACGTACACTAATATAAAGAGTATTCAGCTATTATTGTTTGAAGAATTCAATCAAAAATTGGATAACAATATTGATGAAAGAAAGAATAAATGATACTCTTCTTTTCAACTTACTGTGATTTCCATTATTGTTACCGCATATCGTTGGTACCGGATTGCCACCGGAAACGATAAATTGATCGTAAATACAAACATTATTTGTCGTTTCCGGACCCCTGATATTAAACTGTTCAAAGTCTAATCTACATAATAAAAAATAAGATGAAATAAGAGACCAACTTTTCTCCAAAACTTTTATACCAAATACATAAGTGTTTGTGTGTGTATATCTTTAACATTTTAAATATATAAATTCTCTTCAAGACCATACCGATATTGACACACATCCGGATGTGATTTTACTAGCGTCACTTGACAGGATTCCACGATGTCAAAAGTGGATGGATAATTTGGATTGACAAAGTATGTGTTGTTGTCAGAAGTCATACCGCCGCAAGACACCGTGACTGCCAAAAAGTTAAAAAAGCAATAAGTTGGAAATAAATTGAGACATTTTTCTTTTTTATATCACAACGTAAGCTTGGGCGTCCGCAGGAATTTTTTTCAGGTAAGGGCATGATTAAATTTTTGTTTGTTTCCTATTATATTATTCTTCCCTAATTTTTTAAATTCAATTTCTTAATTACTTTTTATTTTAATATTTTATTATTTTATTTTAATATTTTTATCCCTAACACCACACGTATCTCGAACACGTTCAGAGAACATCCTGAGGATGTTCGAATGTCCTCTGGATATCCTCTGAATATTTTTCGGATATGTTGTGCTGTGCTATATTAGGGATATTAAATAAATTGCAGATAAATTCCAGTGTTTATATTCACAAGGAGAGTGCTTAATTTTTTTACTGATTCCTAGAGAGGGCAAATGCCCCTCTGCGGACGCCCATGAACGTAAGAGAGAGAAGGGGACAAATTGATTAGGTAGATACTTACCTATGCAACACACCCCATAACCGTTTGCACAGACACCGCTGGAGATTCCACCGCGTTGTACGCATTCTGCCGCTGCGACACACGTGCCGTTTTCTCCATCTAATCCACCGCAGACGCTATTGTCGAATTTCACCAATGTGAACAGCGAGAACACTATATGCACGTCGCATATAATAGATTTTTTTCTTTATTTTATAATATGTACTGTCGACGGTATATTTATATATACTCTACCACTACCGGTATATGTACATCACTTACGTCTTTTCTCTCTGGCAATATGAGTCCGATCATTGTTTTGAAATTTCGGCGACTCCCACTTACGTTTCGCCATTTCTTCAATCGAAATGGCAGCATCATTTTTCTGCCATAATCGTCTTCTATTTGCAATCCTACGTCTGTTGTGATTATTCCAAGCGTTGACGCAAATGTTAAATATAATGCAGCCTATCAAAAGCGCGATGAACGATCGATTCTTGTTCATCTTAGGAATCATAACGCGTTAAATATTTTCAAAAGAAAGGCAGTGTTCAAAAATTTAAACACACCACTATATCGTTATATAGATAGACTGCTCTTTCACTTTTTTGTTAAACTTGTATTTTCAAAGGTATAGACGTTTAGTTTCTTGGACAGACCGTGTCACTATCTCCTGTAGATTCAAGGTGTCAAGTCTAATATACAGAACCAGAAACACTATTTATACGGTCTGCATACCATGCAGCAAATTATAGCGACTGATAATGAGATAAACTTAAATGTCCATATGCATATATAAGAATTTCAAAGAGAAAGTCTAGAAATTTAATTGACGCTTCGAATAACGAGCATTGTATTTGTCTTCTGAATCGAAATAAATGTTTTACTTTCTCGTCGCTTCCAATCGCGTAATTACAATCGCCCCATTGTTGAATAAGAGACGCGTTAAAGTGTCATAAGCTTGTGAGAAAGTTATTTATATATATTAGAAAGTTATTTATATATATTAGAACAACACAAGCGCGCGCTATTTAATAAGATCCATAATATTTAAGATCCATTAATCTTTTGATAGAAATCAGCTAATATATAACTGTTAAAAGATATGAATCAAATTTAAATAATATATTATTAACACATGTTAATTATTTTTTAATTTGCAAGGAGAGTTAACCTCTCCCCCCTTCTTCAGGATCTGCTATTAGTAATTTCACAATCAGTGATAAGATACTGCATATACATACGCATTTATATAAGAATTTAAAAATCCTGTTTAGATGACTCGCAAATTAATAGTCAATAAATAAACTTCTCCAACTTCGCGTTGAGTTGACTCGTGAATTAGTGGTTAAATAAATTTTTTCCAAAGAAATCTGACAAGACATTTGATTAAATATCATTTTACGAGAACATTTTTAATTAGTTTTTTAATTAACTAAAACAATGAAAGCGCGCGCGCCATTTCTCAATTTTATATTAATACCAAAAATACAATTTTCCTAATATTAGTATTAATTTTCATAATATTAATGTTATTTTTCATAATATTAATTTTGTTTTTCCTAATTTAGTATCATTTTTCCTAAGATTAGTATTATTTTTCCTAAGATTAGTATTATTTTTTTCTTCAGATTAGTTTTATTTTTCCTAATATTAGTTTTTAATATTAATTAATTGAAAAAAAGAGAAGTCACTGTAGTAATTCCCTCCCAGAAAATAAAAAAAAATTTAGTACTCTGCATTTAAGCATTTAAATAATTTATAAAGATTTTTTTACATAATATATATTCGGCTTAATTATATTTATTCAAAAGTGTTATTATACAATATTGTATAATAATAAATTGTATAATAAATGTTCAAATCAGATATTTCACGATAAATGTTCAGTTTGCGATTGCAAGAAAATCGTTATTTCAGAAAATTGAAATAGGATCAAATTCAAAACATCTTTAATTTGCCTTTTTCAATTTCTCTCGAATTTGTGATATATAATTTATTCTATAAATATAGATTAAATTTCAATTTGTAATAATGCTGCATTCGAGTAACGACTCTAACAAATGTCGAAAAATTCAAACGACATCAATTCTTTTCATCTGTTATTTTGAGAACAAACATTTTCTTTCTCGATGCCTACACGGTGTCAACAAATAAGAATGAAATGTTGCGAATGAGAATGGCAGAAATGTTACAAGTAATTAGTCAAAGAAAACTGTACAGATACCTCTCTCTTTCTCTTTCTCTTTCTCTCTCTCTCTCTCTCTCTCTCCTGTATTTTTCAGAGTATTACAACAATATATTTTATTTAAATATAAAATTTTCTCTGAAAATTTTTATTTTTTTTATTTCATATTTTTAAATAGATAGAATAAATAATTTTTTTATTTTATAATGTATGAATAATTTTGATAATTTGAATTATAAAATAACGAATAGTATTTTATAATTTAAATATATTCTTACAGCAACAATGCTATACATCTTATATATTTCAAATATTATTTTGATTACGTGTAATCTGCATCAATAAATTATTTTAGGAAGCTCAATAAAAGGTATGATATATAATTATAGAGAGAGAGAGAAAGACATAGAATATTTTAATAGCCACATCAAGTGCACTGGTAGCATAAATATTGTTAAGTACATAAGTCAAATTTAAAACATTTATTTCTATTCGCTCTTTAAATATATAGCTGTATATAAATGTATCATATAAATTCGACAAAGACGTGAAAACAGACAAATTAATAAAATTTTAGACATAGGCAAAACTTAATTAAAAGTGATACGTGAATTTGATTGTTCGGAAAATAATGAACAAAATTAATTTGTCAGCTGCTACAATTAATCTAACTTTTTATCATTTATCATATTTATTTTCTACATTCAGTTAAAATTACGTTTTTACTTTATTAATATTTTCTTAAATTCATTATTAACAAAATAATGTCAATTCTAGCATTAATATTTTACAATAATATATAATTTTAAAATTTTATTTTTAATATGTCAAAAAATTTTTTTATATTTCTAAATTACAAATATGTAATTTAGAAATATAAAATACGTATTATAATTTTTTATTATATTCCTAAAAATAACAGTCTATCATTATTTTCCGAACAATGTAATATAAATAAAAAATAACCTCACATTGCGTTGAGTCAATGATCTAAATCTCTCTGCTTTAATATATCCGCTTTAATATTCCACTACTGCTCTGCTTTAATCCCATATGATTTGGCACTGATCACTGCACTGTTTTTTCTATTATTTTATATTTGCAATAATTATTTATCGCACTTCACTATGCACACAGATGCACTTCGAAATAAATGGACGATACGAAAAAAAAAAGATCACTCGCGAATACATTCGGCATTTTCGATCCCGCTCGATCACATTCGATATCGCATTCGCGAATAAAAACACGAACAAAATATCTGTTGAAAAAATATATTTTTCCGATTCCGGAAAAGCGAGCGTCCGAATATTAATCACATTAGACCCATCGAAATACCCTTAAATTAATTCATGACATCTATAACTTATGGTGACATCTCCCGGCGCGCCGCGTCTTTCCGTGACATCGTGAAGTGAGCGGAAAGTGTCATGGCGGAGTGACACTTGCGCGCCACCGAGTGTTACGGATAGTCTCGGCATCACAATATCTCAAGCAACGGCCGTCAGTGGCCGCCACTCCCCCACAATTTAAATTTTTCCGATTTTTATGAATTCGCGCTTCTCGGACATTTTCTCCGATACTCGGGCAATCCTGGAGATGCTGGAACACTCGCGAAACTCCACGTCGAGCGGATACTTGCACTCCCGTTTATTCGCGTTACTCGCGCACGAAATTCAGACGAGACGCGGAGCACTCGCGACGCACATCCTGCTCCTCCATCGCTGGACTCGCAACTGATCGGTGGCGACACTGGCTGAAGCAGTTCATGTTCATCGTGACGTCACGTCAAAATCGGCTGATTTCATTGTGTTACTATAGGCGCGGGAGTTTTTCACACGTAAATAGTAAATAATATAATCAGCAAGTGTACATAATTTTAATTCGCTGAATTTCTATTATGTATAAATAATTGAAATTGTATACATAATAGAAATTCGGCCAATTAATATTATTGTACGTAATAGAAATTTGATGAACTAAAATTATAAATACATAATAGAAATTCAAGAATACAAATTATGTATAGAATAGAAATTTGGTAAATAAAAATTTAAAACGCATAATGGAAATTCAAGAATTAAATAATTATGTACACAATAAAAATTCAAGAATAAATTATGTATACATAATAGAAATTCAGCGAATTATTATTTACATAAAAGAAATACGACAAATTAAAATTATATGCATGCATAATAGAAATTTAACAAATTAAAATTATGCACACAATAATAATTTGGTGAATTAAAATTATATATACATAATAGAAATTCGATGACAAACAAAATTATGTGCATAATAGAAATTCAGTATATTAAAATAATATTAAGTTTAACCGTAAACTGTATAAAACTGTCAAACGACCTGGTTGTGATCAAGCCGCGAAGCAAATAAACTTTGAGATAACCAACCAGCATCGTGGAAAAGAGGCCTGAATACTTCGATTAAAATTAAATTTACTAGTTAATATATATGTCTTTTTTAAAGAAAGGATTATATTTCGAGATTGTTTTTACGAGATAGAGAGATAAATATCTCCAAAGACTTCTCGAGCTTTCTGTAAGACTGATTTCTTGAATTTAAACATAGGTTTTATAATAGATGATTCTTCATTTATAAGAAATTTATATTGAATGGACACAAAGATCAATATATGAAATTGCATTTAAAGTATGTCTCTTATTGAAGAGGGGATATTTTTGTATTGAATTTTATAGAAATTATTTTGATTATATATATAAATTGACATTATACATAAACAGTTTAAATCACGAAATCGAAATTTTAAAAGTCTTATTAACATATGCATAGGTATATGTGTATATAAAATAAATACCAAAACAAAATATGGAAATCAATGGAAAAGTGAATTACAAATTATAATTATATTATAATATATTACATGTATTTTATATATATCTCTGATTATTTATATATTCAATTATTTAGAACTCTACTGTTTGCGAAACACTTGTTTGATAATGATTTTAATTTAACTGTACGACCAATAATTAATTTCAAAAGATTTTCATGTTTAAAATATTTATATTTCCAAGAGAAATTGTAAAAAAAATGAATAATGAATTCTATATTTTTTCCTAGTCACTCACAATAATCATATATATATATATATATATATATATATATATATATATATATATGTATATATCGAACTGTTCGATTATTTGCAATGCAATTTACATATATCGTGCACAATACAAAATTATATATATATGTAATGAAATTACTACATATATATTTATAGCTAATTTCTAATTTTTCTAAATAAAGAGACTATAAATTTTAATTATAAATATATAAGAATTAGTATTACTTAAATACAGCTTGTATACATAATATATATCTATGAATGTATATATTATATAATATGGTACACATATATTCACATATACATAAAATATCATATACATATATAGGGTGTATGAATAAGTAGGAGGGAAAATTTGCGATAAAGAATGCGATATTCTTTTTCATGTAGATTTGATAAATGAGACGGTGTGGGGCGCTGCGACGAGCGTGCGCCGACGCTATTGCGCGAACGATTGGCAACGAATTGCGAGCCGCAGCCGAGCCTGTACGAGCGGCGGAGAAAGATCGCATATCGCTGGTGAGTTCCATCGGAACTCCGGAACAGTCGGAACGACGGACGAAGTAGGAAGGTGGAAGGAGGCGAAGAGGCGCAGAGACGAAGGCGCGGCGCGACGAGGCGAGACGAGGCGAGAACAGCCGAAATGGAGGAGAGCCAAACATCGGAAAGTGTCGCCGTGCTACCGGACATGTCCGAACCATTGACGAGCGAGACCGAGGAGGCGACCACGCTGACGAGTGAACACGAGGCACATCCCGTCGCGGTCACGGCGAGTGTTACTTCGGTGCCAGGCGTACCGGGCGTTTCTGGAGTTGGCGTGCCGGTTTCTCTACCCGTAGGCTCCATCATTGGCGTAGCGAACTCGGCCCATGGCGCGACCTTCAACGTCATCACCTCGGATCAGCTACAGGTAAAAGCCGACGAAATCCGGATATCAACGTGCCGCGCGTCGAGACAATTTTAGCAATTACGATTTTACGCGAACGGAAGAAACGCGAGCGAGATGACGATATATGATTTTTGTCATCTGTTATTCATGACAGGAACGTGACGCCTACGAGTGCGCAAGTGCTACGTGTGTGGATTTCGTTGACACATTTCAGTTGTCGACCGCGAAACAGCTTTAAAATATTATGTCATTCTCAGGCCACATAATCATACAGTATTTATTGTTTACAGCTGCAAGGTTCGGGACAGTTCAAACCGATGCTATGCGTCGATAATGGATTTATCTGTGACTCTCGTACTGATAAAGACTCGGATCCACTGCGTTGGAATGGTGAGCTGAAGACAACCCACATAGTAATTCAAAATAGTACGGATGAAACGGAATCGGAACAAATACATGTTTCCACGCCTAATTCTCAGCCAATATACAGTTGGTCTGAATCCGCAAATTTAGCGGTTTTACCTGTCAGATGTAAGAATACAAATGCAGAATTGCATAAGAATAGATTCGGGTCTGGTGGCAGGGGTCGTTGTATCAAGGCCGGCTCGGAATGGTATACGCCTAGCGAATTCGAGGCTCTCTGTGGAAGAGCGTCTAGCAAAGATTGGAAACGAAGTATTCGATTTGGCGGAAGAAGTTTGCAGACCCTCATCGACGAACAAATCTTAAAACCGCATGCCACTTCTTGTACTTGCGCAGCGTGTTGCGATGACGACAGTGCAGTAAGTAAATCGTTTGTGCTGAAATACAGTTTGTTTAAAATCAATTCAAATTTTAGTTACATGACAATGTCCATCTATTTAGACGGGACCAGTACGACTGTTTACTCCATACAAGCGCCGAAGGAGAGCCAGGGATCCGTCTGATGGAGACGCTCCATCGCGTAAACACAAAATTGAAAATTCGCGAGATGGCAGCAATAACGAAGAAAGTGGCGACGAGATCGTCGTGCCTGACAAAGAAGTCTGGCCGCAGTTTGTTTCCACAGATGGATTGGTCGTACAACAATCCCAGGAACAAGACTCTGTCGTGCAGAATGCACATCAAATGGAGAATGGTCAAAGCGATGACATGTTTAAGAAATTGGACGAATTATCAAACAAAATGATAAAATTAGCTTACGAATTTAGACGTACTTTGGAAGAAGCAAAAGAGCTAAACAGGCAACAGAGAAGAGAGCAGGCGCTAGTTGCTCAACTCGGAGGACGAACGGACGTTATCGAAACTGTTGGACTACAACCAGCGTCCGACACACATAATAAAAAGGTAAAATAATACTAATGCGCGCAAGAGAAAAGATATTTTATTAGTTATTTTATATTTTATAGGAGAAATTTCACTAATAAATATATTTAAATCTTATTGAAAATTCCACAACTCACTTTCTCTCTGTAATATTAAATCCTTTTAACTTTTAACTTTTGAATATAGCATTTACAAATCTTTTCTTCATATTCTGAACACTTATATTATAATTAGTAAATTTGATATCTCTTTGTGTGTATAATGGTATCTTGTCTCACATACATTGACTAAATTATTTTATCTACATTTTATATCGATATTAGTGAAATATCATACAAATAAACAGAAAAGATTAACAATTTAGTAGGGTTTTGAAGATATTACTAATACTGCAGCTACAGAAGAATATAAACTACATGTATATTATTTATATTAAAATTTCAAATAAAATTCAGGTTTTAAATGAGCTTTTAATAATACTATTTATACAAAATAAATGTAGAAACTTATTGTTTATAAAATATTTTTTTACTGATGGTTAGACAGTTTACGATTCTCGACAAGACAGAATTTCATTTATAATGTTATGTCACATATTTTAATATATATGTATGTATGCTCATATATATATTTTGATTTGTATATACTTCCATATCAATCAAATGTTTCCTGTATTACATGATGCATAAAATTTAATGATTTATTAATTCTGTCTTGAATTTTGTTATAAAGTGTAAATTATTTAAAGAGTTTAGAAAGAAATAATACATTTTACAGTATAATAAAACTAATACATCAGACTATATCATCAATAATAATAATAATAATAATGAATTTTAGTGTGCCAATTGCAATCGAGAAGCATTCGCTGAATGTTCCCTATGCAGACGTACACCTTACTGTACTACATTTTGTCAGCGTAAGGATTGGGCAAGTCATCAAATGGAATGTGTGAGAGGTGCAGCCGAAACAGTGATGCTCATAGTAGAGAGTAGCAGCGGCGATACGAGCGCTCTTCCAACGGCCACTACGGACCAATAGCTAGTGTTCCTTACACCGATTCACCAAAGGAATATAGAAAATGAAGAATCTGATGTGGAATCGTTTCAGCTCAAAGAAGGAAAGACTTGAAGCGTGCAAGTTACATAAAAACAGAAAGAATGTACATAAATGGATGGTAGAAAATATTATATGTATATTTATATTGCATAAATATTATATATATATATATACATATACAGTGTGTGTGTATAAAATATTGGATGCTTTCCAGCAACAACACATTGTGGCACAGTGTATCATTCTATCTTTCATGTTCACTGATATTAAAAGAAGATAGAATGATACTGTGTGTCGAACTGTGTAATGCTGGAAAACACCGATTGTTAGCTTTTTAACGCTTAATAACATATTCTTCAAGTTAATATCCATTTTTCTATAAGAATATAAGAGTCATCATTTTTGTAATTTATATATCTTCATTATGTTTGTTTTTTATTGCTGCACTGGTGAACTAGTGTACACTGGTGCAATAAGTTAAAATGAGACAAAAATATTGTTTTATTTTAACTTACTGCACTAATTGATCAGTACAGCAATAAAAAACGAACCCTATGTATCCTTATAACTAAACCTCAAATTCAAAGTCTGCAAAAAGGAAGAAAATGGAAAATTAGTTAAAAAGAAAATATGATTTTATTTATTTGATCTCTGAAACTTTTTACTTATATAAAATTTTTTTTATTTTTAATAATTGTTAATTATTCAAAAAAAAAAACTTCAATGCTTTCACATTTTCAAAAAAAAATACATATATATTTTATTTGAAATTGGCTAAAGAATGTGCTATTAAATGCTAATTTAATAGTGACAAAATATCCTCAGTGTGTATGTATGCGCGCATGTATGTGTATGTAATTTTATGTATTTCTAGATTACTAAGTTCGCGACAATTCAATGTTTTTTGAAAAAAGCTACATGAAGATAGTATAGTGTAATAATATAGTAGCATATCGTAACAGCGCTAAATCACACTGCGATATAAAGAAATGCATCATGTTTATATTTTACTTTATATAGATAATATTTGCTTTTAGATTAATTATCTCTGTATACAATCTTACAATTAATTTTCAATGAACGTATAGGCGATAAACGACCAAAGGCGACAACCTCTACAACTATATAAAGCAAATATATAATATAAAAATTACATTTCAAATATGTTTTTGAATATATTATTCATTGCATACATATATATATATATATATATATATATATATACACACACACTTGAACCTATTTTATTTATATACATAGTTTCTATACAATCCTTTACTAATATTTAGTACACCAATATTAGATATAGATATTTTTCAAAAATATCAACTGTTTATATTATGTGTACATATACACAAAATAATGATTCGTATAAAATCTATTATACAAAAATGTATTCAGCATTCATACTTTATTTCAGTATGCGCATACACCTGTACAAACACATTGTATGGGATTTATTTTTATTCAATGAAAAAATTAAAATTTAATTTAATATAATTATTATATTTAATGTATTAGAGAATTTTCGTAATTTTATTTACACATAGCTCTCAAGAGTGATATTTTAAAATTGAAAATCTTATTTTTTTAATAACCCGATCAAAATTATAGTTTATATAGGATATATTATATAATTTTTTAAAGTAGTAAGTTTTATACAACTTGAGAAAAATATATAATCACACTTTGCGTTTAATGGAGATAAAATAACAATAAAATTCCAATTTTTCTTTATTCTAAATGTGTGTAAATGTAAAACAGACTAATGTAACTATCTAAATATAAACATGAATAATTTTGTTTTTTTAAATGTAAAAATTTTATGTGGTCAAATACACATAAATTGTGATTCTTTTAATACTATCTTTCACTCTCTCTATCCATCTATCTATCTCTAATAATAAATTAATCAATGAAAATAACCAGTTAAAATATATCTAGGAAAAATAATTATACTAATTTTATTCACTCACATGTTAATGTCAATAGGTTATTTATTCTTCATTATATTTTATAAAACATTAGAAAAATTTTGTTATATGTGCAGATTTTTAAAATCAATAATTTCCGTAATGTCTTAATCTATATAGTAAAGCAGAACCTGTTCTGTTAGAAATGCTGAGGTAACCACTGCCAGGAGAAAAATTAATCATTTGAGGCATACCTATATTAGTTTGAAACGTCGGAAAGTTCGAAAATACGGTAAATGAGGGTATATGCACCATTTTAAATGCATTATACTTTTCAACCGATGCCGCACTCAATATTTCTGATGTCGAATTAAATTTCAAATTTGTTACACTAGTTACAAGATTCATAACTATTTTTAAAGGCTTGGGGCTTTGGTGCTGTAATACAGTTTGTGTGTCGTAAAGATTAACCACACCTTGAGCACTACCTGTAGCTATAAACTGACCGTTCGGGGATATAGCGAGCGACATGCAACATATACATCCGTCATCTGTAGCACGATTAACACATGTACGTGTATTTAAATCCCACACATACATTTCACTGCCATCTGTATTTCAATAGGTTAAATTATTGAAAATAGAAATTATAAAATTGTTCTAAATTCTAATAGAAGGTAAAAATTAAATTAAAATTAAAAATCGTGAAATTTTACTTACTGCCATGTGTAATAAGTGTTTTACTATCTGGAGTAAATGTTAATGTCCTACATTTCGAATTCATTTTGAGCGTACTGATAAGTTCTTTAGTAGAATTATGTAATAAATATATTTCATCCCGTCTTCCACACAATGCTATTAAACTGCCATCAGGAGATACTTCGTAACGCTAGAAATATCAAAGTATAATTTCATTCGTTATAGAAATTTATTTCTAATATATGTAAAATTAATAATACAACAAACCTTCATATTCGTAATTCCATATGGTAAAGGTAATTTATACGTTTTACCATTCATTAAATCATAAGTGTAACAATATGGGTAATGTTGGGAACCAAGCAAGATTTCCGTTCCATTTTTCATGAATGTTGCTTTGCTAATCGGATATTTTTTAAATTGCATGCTATGCAATTTATTATTTGTATGACCATCTACCTATAGAATACAAATGATTTATGTAGCAATAAAAATTTATAGTAAATGTTGTTTGAATTTAATTAAATAAAATAATTTATATTTATTTAAACATACATACCTGAAATAGTGACAAAATACCTGATGTACCCGCAACCAAAGCTACAGTGGACGACGGATGAAACTCTACACTTGTGACAATAGGACCTTCTGTATGAGTACTTTTATTCAAAGCTTTGAGTGTTTTGATGTCAATAATATTTTTCGGCAAATTCTTTACATTTGGTGGCTCCAAATGGCAACTATGCTAAAAATAAAAATAAAATAAAGTAAAATTCAATTTATAGAACTAAAAAAGAAAATTCTAAAATATTAATACCTTCAAGATATCATTATCCGAGTTATCAGCTTTATCTTTTTTCTCAAATTCAGCCCATTTTGGAGTTCCCACAAACTGTTTGTATCTATTCTCCAAATATGTTGTATACAATTTTTCTGAGCTTTTGATTGGCAATTTACGATTCTGTATACTTTGAACTTTATTCACGCTGTTACACATATATAAAATATCAGTGAATGTATATGTTTGTGCACACATTGATATTTAAGTATTAAATGTATAAAATATTTAGCATATACAACATATGTGCACACGTGTATATTTTATATATAAATTAAAGCCAAAAAAAAATAAAAGATTAAACAAAAATATATCTTTCTTTACACGTACGTATAATTGTAATCGTCATCGTCTATCCATGCTGCTGTCTTTTCTTTCAGTTTAACACTTTCCCCATTATTAAAAGCTAAGATATCTTGATCTGAATTATTTTCATCTTTTATTACTTTTTGATTGTCAGTATCAATGGGTTCATTTAGTACTTCTGTCACAGATTGCTCATCCAATAAATTATTTATGACATCACTTGGATCACCAAAAACTATTTTTTCTAATCTATAAATTAAATATTCACACATTAAAAAAAAACTTATTGCCTTATTTTCATTATGTATTATGCTTCACCTAGCTTCTTCATCAGCGTCATATTCATTTTTCCGTTTTTTCCTCAAAGGAACCGAGAATTTTTTATTGTAGAACACTTTCGGCCGTACATGTTTTTGAATTTGTACTCATTGCTGTTTACCCTACTCTTAAAATTCTTTCTCCGCACAATTTTCTTTTCATTGATAATTACTTTACGCTTCAACTTTATTTCCTGTGTAGTTTCTTCGTTGCCGGTTGTCTTACGCTTAAAATCTTGTTTCTGCATATCTTTTTTCTTTTTATTCATTTCAAAATTTATTCGAATATAGGATAAAATATAAGGAACAACAATATACACGATTTTATTCAATATATCGTGAATATACTTTTCTATACACGTAACCTAACACGATATTTTACTCATGTGGTCTTCTTTATCAATAAGGCCGGGTCTGCAATTGGTTGATTTAAGGCTGGATTTTCATGTGACGCGTTGACGCTGGATTTCAGCGTCAAAAGACGTCACGTGATCAAATGACGAAATGAGCGAATCCCATTTCGTACTGCTTACTCTTGATTGTGGATCTGATCTTGTGCATCAAATGTGTGATTAAAATTATATTATTTTTAATAACTATTATAGACTTCTTGATATAACAAATACATGTTTAAAATTTATTACAATTATATATATGAGAAAAGTGACAAATTTTTAGATAGTGCATTAATAACAAACACATTTCGTGCAAATAAAACACATTAATAAACGCATTAATAATTTAGAATCATCCCTCATTGTAAAGTGACGCGGGTAAACTCGAATCCATGTGTTCAGATGATTATGATTAAATACGAAAAGACATTTTGGTTGGTACTGCTCCACAGCTTCCAAAAGGCTATCTGGATAACCCGGCGAATAATATCTAAAACAATTTGTCAATTTAATAAAGAACAGCAACTAGATTAGAGGAAATATAAGCCGCATTCAGCAGAACAATTATTCTCAAGTAGCAAAATGACGTCACTTTCCCGCTTAATGACGTCAAAATGACGTACATTTGCTACCTGGATACTAATAATTGAACGTGGTTATTTCTGAACACACCCGTTGTTAGTTGCGCGTAGCTTGGCGCGAAATACAAATGTATTTTTTTGATAAATAAATCTCTCTTTCTGCGTGCACATGCGTGTGTGCGTGCGTTTGTATGTGTGTGGAGCATGCGCGCGCGCAATAAATATCCGTGAAAAAATGATTAATTAAATGTATGAATGTAGAAAAATATTGTATCGAGACTTAATATTATTGATCCACTAATACGTTTCACATTTATGTACTGTTACGTATTTCGAATGCGATCAGCTGTGACAACATGGCGGGCATGCCGTTTATTGCTTGACCGATTTAAATTAAGATTACAAGGTTCTAGAAACAGAGTCACGCAGATATATATATTCGCTCAGTATAAACAAGAGTGGCAAAAATTGACTGGATTTTTAATATAAATGTAATAGAAAGTCTGTCCTCTCGAGCATACATCTCATCACGTGTAAGTAACTTATTCGCGTGAAAAAGGGTTATGCGTATGAGCAACTAGTGTTTTCAGTAATTAATTTGTTTTTTAACACTCATCTACACAATCTAATCTGTGTCTTTCTGTTTTTTGGAAGGAATTGTATTTGTGATTGTACATAAACTAAAGTCATCTTATAGTTCTTATATATAGTTCTGCAAATTATTGTATAGCGCATACAAAGTTTAAAATAATTAATTTAGCTGTAGGTTTTACGAGGAAAAGATTATTGAATATTGAAATCATTAAATGAAAATTGTGGAAAAAGTATTTGTTGGTGTGATTTATAAATTTAAGTAATGAGAATAGATGATAAAATTATGATACCGAGATGACTTTGAGGTATAATAGATGATAGGGGGTAATATATGTGTTTGATAGAGAGAATTGTTTGATGTGAATATTTTTCTGATTTTATATCAGATAATAGAATTTAAATAAAAAGCAAATAACCTGACAATTTCCTCTGGAAAACAGCAATTGATAATTGTTATATATTCTGAGAGTGCGGTGCCAGGTTCAGCCTGAATTTCTTGTACTTTTTTAAGCCACCAGATGTTACAAATAGTCTTCTTGCTTTCGCATCGTTTGGTAAAATCTGTATAAAAAATAGAACATTATGTTACAACTAAACAAGCAATATATATATATATATATATATATATATATATATATATATATAAATGTGAATTATTTAGTAGAAATATAAAAACATTATTTAGTCTGTAGAATAAAAAATTGATTTTAACAAAATCAATTAATATTTTTGAAATAATAGGATAAATGTTATGGGATGAAATGACTTTATTCTACAAAAATATGGTGTCAAAAATATTATTGTAGCAATCATATAAGCCTAAAGTTTCTAAAATCAGACCAAATTTGCACAATTGTTTGTGAATGCATATACTTATATTAGTCGAGAAATATGATATATCTATAATTGAAAGGTATATTATTGGAAGAAAATTGATTTTTTATATTTTTTTATTTAATAATTTTATTTAGTTCTTTATTTAATTTATTTATCACATGCAACTATATACATTTATTTTTACGTGTGTGTGTATAAACTTGTGTTATTTAATGTGCTTGTGACAATAATGTTGACTTATCATTTGAAGAATTGCTTGTTTCTATTGCTTTGTACTACTTTGTACGCAATCTTTGTATTGTATGCAACATTCACATACTAGCCTCGTTGTCTTTGACGCCTATGTCATTAACAAAAATAATACAAAATAACAGCAATTTCCTTCCTACACATACATTATTGTGCACGTATAATTACACAAATTATTTTGCTGTATCATTGTATATGCAACATTTCATACACGCCATTCCATATTTAATTTTTATTTTAATTAAGATATTGAAAGCTAATATTGCAATGAATGTAGAGTATGTTGAATTTACTTGTTATTACTCCAAATTATACTATAACAATATATACAATAACTCACAAAATTATATTGTAAAACAAAAATTATTGAATCAAAAATATTCTGCACTACTAATTATAAATTAATTTTTATCTTTTATCAATTATGAATTAATATTATAAGATAAAATATAGATAAGTATGTTATTGTGTTTCAAGTTTTCTTCCTGTCTCTCATTTGCAAAAGATGACGATTTTAATTTGCGTCTTTGAAAAGTGAAAGAGGAAAGAGAAATGAGAAAGGGAGAAAAGATATATAATTAAAAAAAAAAAAAAAACATAAAAGATAAAGAATATAAGAGAGAGATAGGACAAATATTTCTAATATTAGAATGTCTTTAATTTTCAATTGCTATACGAAATTTTAACTCATTCTCTCTCTATTGCTGGCATGGAATTTAGTAAACAACATCGTTATTAATAGCACCAATTTTAACGTAATATTTATATCACAGAAAGCTCATATACTGCACAGCTTTGAATAACAGACGCATAATTTATGTTTACACTAACAATAAGTGTGTGTTTATGTACATATGTATGTATACATATATACACTTATTGTTATCTTAAAAATTCCGTATATTAAGTTTACGTGTAATCTGCCTAATTTTATTTAAAACATTATCGTTCATCTATTTTAATTTCCTCATTTTCATCTGTTTACAGCGTCTTATTGCAGTTTTACATTGTGAATCATCAGTAAAACTACGTCATTGATATGTAGTGGAAGATACTGCAACGTACATTTTCAACCATTGCATCATATTCGATGATGAAAATATCAAAATCATTTACAATCAATTTTACTGTTATCAACCTGCAGTAAGGACGACTATTGATCAAGCTTTGAAGCACACATTTGACGAAAAGGCATTTAGACTGAAACATAGAAGCATTTGGAGCGAATGTGCGTTCGAAAAATTGGAAATTGTGTTTTTACGTTGTAAATGTAAAAACATGAAGAAATTGACTCTATGGAAAATTAATATGTTTTAAATTTAATCAACAATGATTCAGTAGATGGATATTAAAAAGTTTCAGTTTTTTTAATGATTAGAAAGGATATAATGTGGTATAAAATGTGTTATAATACCGTATAGTTGGAAGTATCGCATAATCGCAAACGCTTGGTACATAGTCTTGATAAAGAGACAAGATAGCTGTCTTAAATAATTTTCGAGATATCGTGACAGCTTGAATGACAAAACAAGGACATTTTACTATTATTCTCTCTTACAAATTGCGTATCGCGTGTATATATGTATTCGTGCATACATTGGCACACCTATAAAATCTCTTCTGCGAAGTTGCCTAATCAGTTTTTTCGACATCACGCTACAGAGACTGGTTGCTTTAAAAGATGAGTTTATTAGAACTTACTCGATTATAAAAATCTTTTAAAAAGTATCTGGAAAATTAAATTTACGTTTCAAACAAATTGTGAAAAGTTTGTTAATTGTATATTTGTGTGAATAGTACGATATTAAAAGAAGCAAGTGTGTGTAATAAAAGAAAGAAATAGAAAGTAACCATCGAAATGATAAATAATCAGCATTGTGTGATTCTCAATACTGGTGAGACCAATAGTTATCATCAACCGGTCTCTGCTAAGCCTTCTGTTGTTTCTGTATCAAGTATTGATTCTGATGTCAGTGATAGAAGGGATGTACGCGAGGAATTGTACGCCGGAATCTTTAGGAGACACAGAAAAACTATACTGGTATTAGGCAGTTTTCTCAAGATGTTAAGAGTAAATAGAAACATGAACAATTATGCTAGTATTAAACCCAATGATGAAACAGATGAATAAGCTAATATATAATTGCATTTAATATAAGTGCATTAATTGCTTTTTGAATTATTAATTTAAAAGTTTGTTATCTCGATACATTTTTTCTTTTACACACACAAATGCAGCTAGATGATTTTTTTTAATTCGCAAGAAATTCCTGCAACATGAAAAAAAAATTGTAAATAAATAGATTTTTTTTATATACTTATAATCAAATTTCTTAAAATTATAATATTAATTAAATAATAATCGATATTGAAATGCCGTATTTTAGATCGTAAAAAATATAAATTTTATATATACATATATTATTGTACTGCAAAAATTTATTATTTATTGTTCTCAATCATTTTATAAATAACTACCTAATAAAAAATATTTAAAAAATTCGATTTCAATACATATATTCAAATATTTAATATTTTTCTATATTTATCAATTGACTGATTTTACTGTTCTGTTCAATTTATTTTTTTTTAAGTTTGCTATTTGTGTTTTATTATATTATTTTTATCAATTTGTTATACATATGTGCAAATTTTTCTTACGAATTTTTAAGTTAAAAGAAATATTTTCCTTCTTCTATGTCACTGATAATAAATGACAAATAACAAGATCAATTGAAGAAAACTGCCAGTGAAAAGATTTATACACAAATAGAGGAGAAATTCTTTTGTACATTTATGAACATTATGACTGACTTTTTTGCATTTTATGAAAATGCAGAAGAAATTGAGAAAAGCGATTTATCTTTGCGGACAAATTTGCCTATTAAAAAATTAATTACTATTATAGATATACTTTTTTGTAAAAAGTTACCGTCATTGGATTTAATAATAACTCTACGAAATAACTAATGTGTACATATTACATACAGAGTGTCCAATAATTTACAAACCACCTCTCGCATGTAGAGAATATTAAATTGAATAGAAAAATCCTCTACTATTTTGGGATTTTCGCAATTTAATTTCAAAATCGACTAATTCACGCGAGAGAAAATAGCTTAATGTTTCGCAGTTACTAGGCATAGGCACGCGACAAAGTATAATTGAAAGGAAAAAGTTTAATTATGTATTGTGCTTAGCAATTGTAACATTGGGCTATCTCTTCCTCTCTTCTCGTCACGTGCAGTGCATATAATAACTATGTAACACACTATGGTCTGTCTTTTCTTGGCGCGCGTTTGTAGGTGCGTAAATTGTGGCCGATTTTTAAAATTAATTTTTCATTAATTATGCTTTACATGCTTCACATGTACACGAGAGGTGGTTCACGAATTATCGCACAACCTGTATGTATATATATATATTGTATATATATAATTTTCGACATATTGTGTAACTTATTATGCTTACTTTTAGCATTCATCAATTAAATAATGTTAAGCAATTTTTTTTGTTTTGCAGAAATATTTGGACAGATTGTACGCTTCGAGCCGAGTATACGCTTTAATTGCTTTAAGATTTGAGACGCAAAAATATTGGTAAAATTGGTTTTCTTCTGTATTTTTATTATGCATATTATATATTTGCATTTTGAAATGTACTTATTTCAATGTATGTCGTCTCATGTCTCAAAAATGTTAAAATGCGATATTTAAATCTTTTTATGATATTTAAAAAAATGGAACTTTTCACGCTTTTATAATATATCAAATCTTTTTATACAATTTAAAAAAATTTTTGATCAAGAACAATGTATCGAACTTTAATGCCGACATAATCTAAATTGACCCATCAAATCGGTCAATATCTTAATGTAAACTGCAATTATCGTCTGTGTTATTATTACGAGCTTAATATTTACGAATCGCGCGCGCGCGCGCACATATACACACATACACAAAGTAAAAGCATATATATATATAACAGCATAAGATTTGTATAAAAGTTATATAGATTAATGCGAATATCAAATCAATGCCTTATTATTACTTGATACTTTGACATCTTTTAATCAAGTAATTATTAAAATTTATTACTAATTTAATCGCTCTTGGTCGTACTTATATATCTTTTTGTATGATTCGCATCTTTATACTATACTGTTACACGTACAAATACTGCCATTAGAAAATAAAACTACGATATTGTAGACACGAATTAGTGAACCAATTCGAAAAACAATGCGTTTAATCATTTCCTATTCGTAAACGACAAACTTTAAATAAAAATCAAATAAACTAACTAAATATGTGTCTCTGTATTTAATAATCGAATCACGCGTTATCGTAAGACTGAAAAATGTGCTCTTTGGAAGACATTAAATGTGCCATGCTATATAAGAGGAAGAGAAAAGAGAGAAAACCAAAAAGGAAAAGGGAAAGAATTTTTTGTTTGTATTTATCGACATCTGGATTACTAATCTAACATTGAGTGTATGCAATGATGCAAAGTATATCAATGCACGTTTTCTAACAGCAACATATTGCAATTATATTCTATCTAGACAACGTACAATCCGATTAAAAAGTTTTATCTTGCCTTCACAAAATATAATTGAATGAGCGATATAAAGTATTATTAATGATTGATTTACAGATCGATTAAAGGATCTGTATAATTTACAAATTATTTGCGTGATGTTGTGTTATTAAGTATTGTTCGTATTGTTACGTATATGTATTACGAGATAATGTTTAGAAATTCATTTGAAACTTTAAAATACTTGGAAACTGTATTATTTTATACTATAAGTTTGAAATTTAAAAAAGAAACATTAATGCGCATTTTAATTTTAAATAGCACGAGAACGAAAATTTGTTTGCAGTTTGTTCATCAGATTGCTCACGCATATATTTAAACATTGCGTAACATAGACATATGTATGCAATTATGAAATAGAATTTTTGAGGAACATAGAAGAAGCAATAGATACTTTGTTTATTTAACTGTCAAGATTCTACATGATTTTCTAACAAGCAATTATATATGTTCTAAATGCATTATTGTGTTGGGTGAAAAAGTTGTATTTTCACTTTGTATAACGTGTTATTAAAACATATCACACGAAAAATCACGTGTATATAAAACACATAATAAAGTATTTATATTATGTTTAATAAATTTTTGATTTTTTGTAATTATTCCTTTAATTATATTATTGTCATAAAATATTTACGATTAGATTACTTTCAATTAAATTACGATCTTACCTTGCTGAATTGTCCCAGCACATACTTCAAGATATTAAGAGGTACGTCATGTAATAAAGATTCGAGAGCTTCGATGTACATGCATTTTTGTAGAACTTGTTTTAATGCTGTATTACATTTTGCTCTGAGATCTTCGGAACTTTTCGGATTGTTATACAGCTGTTAAGATTTAAGTAAGAGAAGTTTAACACATCAGCTAGTTTGAACAAAACTAATTCTGGCAGAGGTAACTTGACATTCTTAAATACCTTCAATAAATTAGATAATATATTCGCTGCTGCAACTGCTTTTGCATGTTCAGGTGTATGCTTGCCGATTTGTCCGATCGCCCATACGGTCACCGCAAGAATGTGATCTTCAGTTTCTTCTTGTAAAACAATTGCCAATTGTACGATACCCTGCAATACAAAGTAATCATTCTAAAGTATCATGTTAGAGAGATGCGAGAATCGAATGTTATTTTTCATCGATCGATACTTTGGATCCTATTACAGCTACAGCCAACTGATCAGAATGACCAGCAATGTAACCAAGTGCCATGATCGCTGGTAATCTAGTCATCGATTTTGAAGTGCCGATTAATTCGATAAGTGCAGCAATACCTCCATTGTTTGCTATAAGTTGCGCCAACTGAAAGGAAAGAGAAAGTTAAAACTCTAACATTAAAGAATAAAATAAAAAATAACTTTTCATTAAAAGCTACCAATTGCTGCTTACTTCCAACGTGTGTTTGCAGATTTCTCTGGTTAAAATTGCCGCAACTCTACCGACATTTTCATCCGGATGCGCCATGTGTATTAAAACATCAGGAAAGATCTCTATCTCGATCACAGCTTCTGCTAATTCTACAGAGTGTTTGGCTATACTGCTCAATGCTAATAACGCTTGACGCTGCAGATATTAGAAATTTAAATATAATATATTTCAGAGATTGTTTAATGCATATGGTATATCAAATCACCTTTACTTTAGCATCGGGATTAGTCAAGGTTTTCGCGAGGAAGGCGATTGCACCTGCATCCACAGCCGCTTGTGCGAGCTCGATATCGTGTTTACTTATGTCGCTAATAGCCGACGCGCTAATTTGTTTAATGTACAATTCGGGTTCTTGCAAGCACAATACAAGAAGCGACACCGCACCTGACAAAAATCAAACATAGCAAAATATTAATAGAGAATTTTCTTTATATTTTTAAGAAACATTAGCTAAAATGATTTTACCAGCATCTATCGTTGTTTGAGCCAAATTTTTGTTGTGTCTTGCGATATATCCTAAAGCCCAAGCAGCCGCTTCCTTTACTCCGGGATCAAAATCTTCCAAACAATCAATTATAGTCTCCAAACCATCATTTTGCACTACTATTAATGCCAATTCTGGTGAGTGTTTGGCTATCGCTCGCAAGACAAAGAGTGCTGCTTTCTTGTAAAACTTCTGTGCAACATATAATATATACATATAATATATACTTTTTTCTTGTTTCATATATTTTTTGTAATATACAGAGAGATAAAAATGTTGAAATTACTGAAAAATTCTAAATATATATAAAAATTTTTTTAGAAAAAAACTAAAATGTTAAAAATTTATTTTTTGTGCTCTATCACGATTAAAATGCTTACATTTAATAAGAAGCTCATACATTTTGTTTGTCTATATTCTTCAGCAATTGTGATAATATATCTCCTCTAACAACAGCGTATGCTAGTTTGGAATTATGATTCGCTAGCTTGCCAAGAGCGAATGCTGCCATATGTTGAATAGACGGTACAGCATCCAGTAATAAAGGACGCAATAGATCTATCACACCCGCCGCTTCTAAGCAATCGATATTATTAGGTTTGGAGGATAAATCCGCTATAGATTGTACAAAGAGTAATCGCGCCTTTTGATATTGATCAAACACTACAAATGTAGAAAAATAAGAAATTACACATATTTTATTAACAATATATTTAAGCAAATCAAATTGTATATATTACTATAACATATTTCTCTCTTTCTATACACAAGTATATTATATAAATTGTACATTAATACAAATTTCTAATTTCTGTCACAGAAACGTTTTCTCTCTCTCTATGTATATCTGATGTATTTGTTTATATATTATAACATCAGGATAAAATAAATATCTACCTTGTAAAATCGAGCGTGCCGTCATATTAATCATTAGAAAATCTCAAACATTGTATTAAACAACCATTATCGCTAGTTCATCTGTGACACTCTGTGTTGCAACATAAGAACAATTTTTGACAGATCTTAATGAAATCGTCATCTGTTTGAAAATGAAAATCTCACGCTCTTAAAGCCGATATCAGACTATGCATTAAAAATTGAGATCGAAGATAAAAAATAATTTTGACCAATCAAATTAAAGAAAAATATTTTATATGCCTATGGCTAAAGTATTAATAGACAATTATCAATAGCCAGTTTGATGAATGCTGTTGCGCAAGCTTTTCTAGTATGTCAAAATACCAAGTCGACAGCTATCGGCATACATATAGGCATACAGAATATAGGTGTATGTACAGAATAGTACTACATCATCGGCTATAAATCGATCGTTCTTACACAGAGTCTCAGCAAGATAAAAGTAATATTATATGTATAGATTTTTTTCTTAGAATCATTAAAAAAAATTCTGATTAACTTGCAAAACGACCAGCTAAAAATTTCTAACAATACAATATCTGTATAATATAAATTTTGTTTTTGATTATCTTACATTAATGATAAAGTTAATATCAAAGTTAGAAGAAATATTATTAATTTTATTATAAATCATACAATATATATGTGTAACAAATAAATATTTATTTGATGTAATTTGCTGATATGACTATTGTCAGTTTTTCAAGCTGCTCTTTTCAGAGCAGATTTAAGGAAGAGAGAGATAGAAAGATATTAAAAATTTCCTTTTTTTAAAAAAGAAACTATACTTTTGAGACTGGCAACTAATTGACTTAGTGATGGATTTGAAAGTATCTTTTATACCTGTGAGCAAAAACTCCAAGTTTTTACATGTTTTTTATTATAAACAACAGCTATATGCTTATCAATTAATAATTAGTACATAACATTTTTATCTTTTTTTATATTTCTCTTATAAAAACGATTTATATAAGCTATTAATTTACCGTGCCTTAACAGCTACACACTCTTAATTGTTTGTAGATCTACCAATCAATTCCTGTTCTCTGCGCAATTCTTGCTCACGTTGTTGCTCCTTATTTAATGCTTCCTTTTGTTTAATCTGTTGTAAACGTAACGCGCGTTTCTATAATAAAATTTCTTTTTTTAGTACAAATATTTGTACATGTGCTTATACATATACACATATACGTGAATGTGCACGCACATATACACATTTGACAAACATTCTTTAGAAAGAAGCTTTAATTTACCTTTAATTTGTAAGTCCTTTCATGAATATTAATCATTTCTTTTCTTATCAATGCTAATTTTCCTTGGTAAACTTTGACAACTGCAAACTGTAAAATAAATATGTGTGTATGTGTATATTACTTGACGTTTCTATTGTGAAATAGAAATATTAATATTCTAAGTACATTGCTCTATAAGTCATACCATATCATTCAAATCTACATCTTCAAATGTCTCGTGTATCTTTTTGTTTTCAAGTTGCATTTGAGCAAGCAAAGTTTCTTGCTTATTTCTATAAGAAAAAACATAATTAAAGCAAAATCTTAACTTTCTTATTAATGATTTACATACTTACGTGAGTTCAAAAAGTTCTTTCCTAACTTGTTCCAATGGAGGTTGACAAGTATTCAAGAAACCTTCAGTTAACTTTTCTACAGCATTTGAGAAATCTATTGTATCCTCGCTATTAATAAATGAATAATACTATTAAATTAAAAAACCATCAATATTATATTAAATTATTTGTAATATTTTTTTCTTGTGTTACTCTCAAGTAGCATGTATTATACACATATAATACACAAATAATATATCAATAATGTTATTCTAATTGTAAGTCATAAATATTCATAAAAAAATGAAAATTACATAGATATTAATGTCATATTTTTCTAATTCTCATTTATCTATAGTTACAAATTAATTTATGTCTTTTTCTTGTTATAAATCCTAAGAAACTCTAAGAAAATAAAATTTGAATTGTAATATATATAAACTTGTTTTATGTTTAACAAGAAATGGAATGATTTTAGACGATTCATTATTGCCAATAAACATTCGCGCACGCTCACGCACATATGTATCATATATAAGGTATCTTATAATATTATATATAAAATGTTTGAAATTTTGTTTTTAAACGATTTGATGTAAACAAGTTATGAAGAGGTTACCTCGCCTTTTTCTCAATTCCCAATTGAATTTCGGCCGATTCAGCTTCTCCTATGTCGCTCATCATTTTCGTTGTAGCTAATTTTCATTTCACTCGTTATTATATGCTCCCAACATGATTGTGCACACAAACATCAAACCAGAAGGAAAATAATACGAAATCATGTGATGGTCTGGAGCCATGGAGCATAGAACACAGAACTTCTAGTTCGCATGTGACACTCAAGCAATTCGTAAATGGCGCCATGTTACGTCAGAGAAACTTTAGAGTTGCGTTCGGCAATCCGTCCGTCAAAGTGCAGAATTTGACCAACCAATCAGAGGCCGAGGATCTCTGCGTTCTGATTGATCGCTTTATTCTAGGTGAATAGATTTTCGAACACAAAATCGGGAATGTTGCCATCTGAAGGTCGATTGTGTAATTTTTTCTAAAGTGAAAATGTGAAAAGTGAAAAATTTCTTCCAATCACACATCGATTTCATTTTAAATCAATGCGTGATTGGTGGAAATTTTTCACTTTTCACGTTTTCACTTTAGAAAAAGTTACACATCGACCCCCTGATGCGCTTCTATACTTTCGAATTGTTTGCGATCAACATTCGCGCGTTTATTCATGCTCATTCACGGCTTCACGTTTATTGCCGGTTCATCTGTCATCTGTCAACGAAGTATAGAGGAATAAACAGAGCATCGGTTTTATACGCGCGCGAATGACCTCTCGCGTGTCGCGAACGACAAAAAGTAACGCGAGTGCAGTGTTTCGAAGCTTTTTCTACGAGGATAGTTCTCGACGAAGAGGTTGGTTTCCTATAGAAAAAGATGGTGCCGACGAGGAATGTCAAGTACGCCGAAATCGGAAGAGAAGAATAGTCGAAATGTGAGTCGAATTATTTATTCAGTTATATTTACTGATGAAGCGATAAAAATATATACGTCTATATATTAATCGGATATTTACACTCACATAGCACGTTTATAATATTGTGCATTTTTTTGCATTGAACACGAATCTGTAAATTATTAAAATCCGATTCCCCTACAGAAAAGCGAAATTCATTATTCACTGTAATTGATTTTTTCCTACCTGAGAGCGACAATTTTTAATTTACAGATTCGTGTTTTACACACAAAAATACACAATATTGTAAAGTTTCAGCA